GTGCTTTCAAAGGCCTGCTTCCCTGATCTCGAACTCCTGAGTTACCTGCGATGGTAACGAAAAAAACTTGGTGAGCGGAAAATATTTTCATTACAAATCCTAGACTTGAAATAAGGACGACTAGCAATAAAACACTTCAATCAAACTAGCCTTTCTAAGCGGCGTATAAGCAATGGTTGCCTTGAGAAGCTAATTACAAAATATCTTCCACTCTTGGTAACGGTTCACTGGACGAGATTGCAAGCGTAGTTTGAGTGCAAGTTGCAGATTCTACTAATTTGCTGCATGGCAGTAAAAATTAGTTTTTGAAAACTGTCTTATAATTTTCTTACGATCGGCGAGTACTTTTAGAGATGTAAGTATATAAGGAGAATTTGCATTTATTGCTAATCCATGTTATTCAGACGACAATTGACACTGCAGTCCAAAAGCAAAAAATGTCTTTAATTTCGTTCATTCAACTGTTTAGCAGATGATGGGGAAGTGGTCTTGTAATCAGCGTTAAAGCCCTTCTTTATTTGGACACATCACCATCACTTTTGAAGGGATTTTCGAATCAACACACTTCCCATCTTATGACAATCAAAACCTTCAATCTGACCAAGGTGGATCATTCTTGCCATTTGCGGTCATATTCATTTGAAAGCTTCTTTTTGAGAAAGCGCTTAAAACTTATTTCGAAGCTGCTATCGTACACAACCTCCACCTATTACTAATAAGGGAAGCTGCCTAACTTAGCGCGGCCTTTCAAAGGGATATATTAGGTCGTTCCGAAAGTAATGTCGCTTTTTAAATGCACACCACACTCCATGGAATCGAGATTTCTGATAGATCTTAGGCGCATTTGATGCAACATTTCATCCTCTTTCTAATGGTTGTAATTTCATTGCATAATATACAATGAACTCTCGAAAAATTACCAAAGTCTGCAAGTCTTGCTTCTTGCCATGGTCAAGTTCGGCTATTTTTCTAAATTTTTGTACTTACTCTCCGAAGTATAAGTGACTGGTAGATAGGGCAAACCCTATAGGACACAAAGCAATTTTTTCTTTTCCTTAGCCTACTTCGTAGAATTTCTGGAATCAATTTTTCAATGCTATCAGATTCCATATGGTCAACTCAAACCTCACAGAACAACAACCGACAAGCGACTCCGGTGTCATTTGACGCAGCTTTTCTCCTCTTTCTACCACTTGTTTTTTTTTGTTTTTGATTCATCAAGTTTTCCTGGATAAAATCATCATAACTCATTTTCCAGGGCGCCCCAGGCTGTACCAGGAATTTTCGAAAGTTGCTAATCTGAAGCGGTGTATGCTCATTTGGTTTGTAAAATTAGTGCCAAACCATAATCCATCTTTGTAAGTTTCAAAACCCGAAAGTTTATTGGTGTTTGGTGCATTTGTGTTTGAGACGAGCCTGCTAAAATTCGGTGGGTCCATCAAAAAATCTATAAAAAAAAATGACGAGCTGTGGAAAATAGAAAAAAGTTGTGCTGTTTCCTGTAGGGTTTCCTCTATCCATCCATTTTGGACTCCTTCCGAAGGTTGTTATAAAGATTTAGAAAAATTGTGAAACTTGGCCTTCTCAAAAAGCATGGGTAGCAGATTTTAATAATTCTTCGAAAAGTTATTGAATTCTGTGCAGTGATTACATAACCGTTAGAAAGAGAATGAAATGATGCATCAAATGCTATCAGAATCTCTTACATATCTTTGATCATCGAGATGTGGTGTACATTTGAATAAAGTGACATTACTTTCGGAACGACCTAACAGATTCTGGTTTGCTCCTGTTTTTTATTTTTTGTGCGGACGTGGACTCGCAGTGAAATAATGAAATAGCTAAATAGCGCAGCACACATTGCCCATGACGAGCATTAGTTAATATGTTTCGATAGAGCTGTGTCCACACATTATTCTCGGAAAAGGAAGCTCTTCTTTGAAACCAAGAGAAGGACCGATGATTTTTGTAACCATGCATGGTTCACAAATCATTCATTCACAAATCGTTATTCACGATAAGTGAACAGTTGCAATTTATAATACAAGCGAATACTGTTGTTGGCGTTGTGGCGTTGTGGCGTTAACTTGAGGCGTTCAGTTATGTTCTGCAAATCCAGTGTAAGGGCATAACTCAATGTTTCTTGTAATAAGGGGATTGTAGAAAAGGGTGTTCTTTTCTTCGCTTAGAGTAGGACTTGTGTTTTACTTGCTCGTTTGCCACACGTGACTATAAGCTGTGGTTGAAAACGGGCTCACAAATAGGTTTATCGTTCAAATCTTCACATACAGTCTTCTCAATCTTCTATCTTCCTGCTCACAATCCGGAAGTTCTTCTTCCTCTGCGATAGACTTGAACTTGAACTTGAACTTAAGATCCTTACGGAACTTATCACTTGAGGAAGCATGATCTTACGGTGGTGTGAGCTCTATTTATACAGAAAGAATATCAGATAAAAGTGGAATCTTGAAATAAATTTCGAGCGAAAAGAAACATAGATGATATGATAAACGTTACAAAAAGCAAAACAACGCATATCGTCGATTCGTTGACTGTACGGAGTGGACATAACCGCGGAGCACGCGCCGCGAGGTACGCTTGCCCCAATACAAACTCATTGTCAAAATCGTGCTCTCGCAACATTTTAACCGCGCCGCGCGTGGTTAGTAGCGTTTGAGCAGTCCGTACGGTCAACGAGTCGACGATACTTGAGAAATGTGCGATTCCATAGAACACAAATTAACTCAAATAGTAAACAAATACTTGATATAATTGGTTAAACAATTAACAAGTTTATCTAAATTATATACATTGATTATGGATCACTTGGTCGTCCCGACACTCCCGGCGCAGCTAGTGAACGTCCTGCGGCCATCTTTCAGTGCTCTTTTGGCGTCAGAAACCTCGTGCCTTAATGTCTGGGACGTTACAAAGGACGCGAGGTGTCTGCTGTCGCGTGGGATGAGGTCTTCGAATATAGATCCCTTTTGGCGCTTGCAGTACCAGCATTCTCTTCTTGCGTAAAGGCATTCTTTTTGTGGAGGGCAGTTTTCTAGGCAGACTCGGCAAAGTTCTTTCCGTCGAATAATCTCACATTTTTCGTCCCCATCCACATCTTGGGCAGGAGTCAGAGAAGCGCTGAGTTGATTCATCACAGAAGGCACACATGATTCCTTTAGAGCCAAGGTTTACTTGTCCCATTTTCCGATGAGAGAAATCCTGCAAGACCGTCTTTATTTCGATGATGTTCCTTTCAAGTCCGTTCTCACAGGCTCTCGAAGGCTCGGGTCCGTCGGTGCTCTGGGTCTTAGCCGCAGGTCCTAACACAGCCTGTGACATTCTCTCTCGCTGCCTTTCATCACTTGACAGCTTTTCCCCTGGCTTGTCGGTCCTTTGAATCTTAGCCGTAGGTTCCTGAGACGGCCTACGATGTTCTTTCTCTCGCTGTCTTTCATCACTTGACAGCTTTTCCCTTGATTTGTTCGCTTGCTCCAACTGTTGTTTGAGCTCTTTTCCGCGCGAAGCTTTTCCATGTCCTTTTTCTGTCGCATTATCTGCCCTCCAATCAATCAATTGCCTCTTGATGTTGAGGCTGTTTCAGCGTTCCTTCAGCGTACTTAAGTTGTAGCGTTAAGTTGAGGCTTTAGTTATGTTCTGCAAATCCGGTGTAAGGGCGTAACTCAATGTTTCTTGTAAATAAGGGGCTTTCATGGGCATCACTAGTAAGTTTTCCCAGTTATGTACCAACTTGGCATAACGCATAAGCTTTTTAAAATAAGGGACCAGCAAACATTGGGATATTTTGAGCTTCCCTACTATCTGTCAATAACTCGACAGTAATATATCTTGCAAAACATGTTTTTCTTGATAAACAGGTCGGACAACCTATGCGAAGTCATATGGGGAAGTCAAGCCGTGATTTTGGGGTTGCTTTCCCATTTCTTTTCACAAATTATACTATTCGCTCGTTCGTTCGGTTGTCGTTTCCGATACCTTGTTTTTGGTGAACTTCAACTTTGGAGCAAGGTACAAGAATAGAGCAGATTCGGTTCGGGGATAGCAAAATCGAGTTGTTCTCAAACACGTAAGTGTGGAATTTTTTTGAACATAAGAGGAAGCGGGTACAAGTATGAGTCGTGAATGAGCAGGATCTACAATGCAAGGTCAAAAAGTGCCGTTTCTCACCGCCCACGTAGTCTTGATCAGCAGGTCGGACAAACCATGTAAAGTCATCTGAGGAAGCCAATATGCGACCGGCCATCCGCAGTTCGGAAGTCCTTTAAGGAAATTGCGCATGGCATCCGAGCAATAAGCAAGAGGCGCCGACCATCCCGCCGCAGCACAAATGATGATACAAGTCTTCGTGTGGTTTTCTCAATCGTACGATAAACCTGCATACTTCGAGAACAACAAGATGTTTGCTAAGTTGTATTGCTGAGTCCTTTGATGTCGAATTAGGAAACGTTTGTTTGAGTAAATCGTTTTATAGTCATTAGCAAATGATCAACTTTTTGCTCGAAAATTGTAGAAGAAAATGCATAGGATTCTCTTTTTGTTCTCAAGCTTATCGGCTGTGTGGGTTGTCCTAAGCTCCAAATATTCGATTTGGAAGAGGATCGCATTTTGATGGCACACAAAATCGAAAATTGACTAGAAAGAAACCAGAAAGTATGCGTCCCAAGCTATAGGCTGCTGCATGACGAAGGCGCAATACCTTCGGGCACGAACGCGGCTTTATTAGCAGCAGAGCACAAGAGGCGCAGGATTTACAACGGTGAAGATACGCGCGCGTCGCATTTGCGCCCGCTCAACTAACATCGCTTCTGCGCCTTCGTCATGCAGCAGCCCTTACATAATTTGGAAACTGATGGACATGCGGTCATTTGCTAATCGAGGCACAATTCAGTGTCCGTTTCAATTGCTCATGAAGTTGTTTTGCTTGGAGAAGCGCTCCAGCTTTGCAGGTTTCTTTTTCAGATAATAGATGATTTGGAGTAGAACTGGCTTTCAATGCTTTATGCGTGAAATGATCGGATTTGAAGGTACGGAGTCAAGGTTTGTTGCACTGGTAAAGCAGATTGATCTTCTCGTAGTCGCGACCTGAGGGCTCCGTTGCCGATCCAATTTGATCCTAACAATATCTTGCATTTTCGTGATGTTAGTAACGAAAAGAGTGTGAACATGACCTGATAAGTAGAATCGAGAGTTTCAATGGTAACCGTGCCTGGTTTTGCGTAAGCATTCTTTGCGTCGTGCATAATAGACAAGTAGTCGTAAGGAACGCTGGTGTACTTTTGTGTTGAATCAGCCTCGGCTAGGAACAGGCGCAGATTTGGATCTGCATAAAATTATTTAAAAATGAGCTCAATCAAATTGAGGGAACAACCTGCTATATTTTCGAAATGCACATTGATGTATTTGTCTCTATCCACTCGCTGATGCTCGCCACTCAGTCCCAAACTATGCAATAGGTTCACCATTATGGTTTTTGCATCCACACAGCTGGAAGAATATGAGTTTGAAAAATTGTGAAAATACAACTTTCGCAACGTAGCTTGCGCTCACTTTACATTATTGTTCGATTCAAGATATATCCTATTCTCCCCAATTCTTCCTACATTTGCACGACATCTAAAATCGAGAGCGTACAATAAATATACCCTTAGTCAAAAACGAAAACATAGATAATCACGAGGACAACCTCGCATACATCTCTATTTACATATTAAGGCCGCAGATGTGCCAAATGATGTTTCACTTGAGATACCCTTAAATGAAAAGTTACGTACGACCCGTCTTCTTCGTTGACTATCTCGACAAATTCGTCTTCGTTCGTGCGAGGTCTAAATTCGATACAAGTGTTGTCAGCGACCTTCTGCATAGCCGCTGTGATCATCGAGCGCTCTTCAGGGCCTTGAAAAAGATATTTTAGCGATGTTTTGCTCAAATCTGAAGTGTAGTGAGCCAAGACAGTTGATAAAAAGACCAAAGTGTTCGTTTGTACAAAGAATTTTCGTTTTCACATGTGATTCAAGTGTAGAAATTCAAGGTTACTGTAGGTGCCGGTGAACTTGTATGGAACGATGTAGTTGCCATTCTCCGGGTATTGGTTCCACAACTCCTGCGACATGATAGATGCCGCGCAGACGAAAAGCACGAGAACTGCTTTCATTCTAGAGCGAAAAAATTCAGTTGATCAAATTATTCTTTCGGAATGATAAGAAAATTTACGAACAACAACAAGAACAACAACGAACATTTCACTATGTTTGCTATTTCGATCTGTTGCACATACATGAGTGAAAGCTTGCAGGGATACTCTCGCGTGCATGTTTCTGGTATTTAAGCAAGTAGAAGGACTCTAGAATCAACAAGGACAGAGATTTCGCTTTTCAGTCACGTTCTTTTGTGATCAGACCAAATTGCAAACGTCCTGTGCATGTAGGTAAGTATGTCTGTATGTTTCTACTAATGTAATGGCGCATGTGAGTATGTTTATGGAAGGTAAAGACCTGGAATAGGTCAAAAACTTATGCTTTCGAATTCGCTTGCCTTTCATAGAAAACATTGATTATGCTGCTGACCATGAACGAATGATTTGCAGCATGCCCTCGCAGCGTATCCCACTTAGTACTCACATGAAACAAATTCTATATCGAAATACAATGTTCGAGATTGTTCTTATCAATTCACTAATCGGTGAATTAATGGTTTCAAGGGATGTCCATTACTTTTTTAAAGTCTTTCCGCCGGTGACAAGGATTCAAGAGACCCAATGACAAGGATTGAAGAGACTCTATCTAACCTTATAAGCTACCCAGCACTCTTTCCATTTTCAGAAAAGTAATGATAACGGTTTCGCTCACTTTGCAAATCTTTTGATTATATTTGACTGATTTCGCTACCGCTTTGGCGACTACATGGGAGCTCTTTAAGGCTACAAAAAACCATGTGAAGATTTGTGCTTGAACCTGTGCGTATATGTGAGCCGCTGCGAGCTAAGTTCAAATATGGCTTCTCTTATTTTTGGCACAAACTACAAATTTAAGGAAAATGTGCTCAATTCGTGAGTTGCTTGGAATGGCTTAACAAGGCAACGAAAGCCACACACCGCCTGGTGCCGCAAAAGAATCCATGAATTTTTTCTGTATCTTAAGAAAGAGGTATGTACATGAGATAGAAAGCTGGGAACTGACACTCGCTTCAGATTTTCAGCTGTTTTTATACCAGACAATCCGTGCTATTTGACAAAACTGAAAGCTATAAAGTGTTATTGCATGACTAGTTTTTGAAAATGGAAAAATCAACAAATAGCCCATCATACTTGGAATCAAGGAATGACACATTTCAGAATATCACACCAAAATCAGACACGGACTCTGCCCTTCAACTGTTTGTTCGATATTTGAATATCATTACGATTAGGCATTATTCTATATACCATATGTAAGCGAAATCTATCTGGGATAGTCGTGTAGATGGCGACCAATGGGTTTCACCACCGGAAACCTCGAATTTTCTCAATGAAGTTCTATTTGATTTTGCAGTCATGGAAGCCCTGCAAAATTTTCTTGAACTTTTTGGCTGAGCAGACCATGTATAACAAAATATCTGTCAGAGCATAATATTCTTGGAGCATGTTTTTATGGAATTCTGCTTATAGTCTTACATGCACACACCAAGAAGCTCATCATTCCTCAACAATCTAGGCGAGCTATTCTTTGTCAGTTCAACACCGGCGCTCATTTTTGCGCTTTGCCAACGTGTGCTGTAGCAAAACAGTATTCGATGCATAATTTGTATTTGGTAGAGTAGAAGATGTACAAGAGGATTTGTACATGTAAGTTTATGTATATGAGACAGTGCAGCTCCTCACAAACAACAGCCTCCTGCGAGCAAACGTCGCTGTTATACTGGCAGATCTCGATTTTGAAATACGCGACGGTTATGCAGTATTTTGAGTTTTTTTTTCTCGAGCACTATTGGGCAGAACGCGTTTTACTCAGTAAAAAGACTATCAAGTAAATCCTTTGACGTATCTCTACAACGGCTTGCGATGATAGGGCGCTCGCCAAGTCAGCGCTTCATCTTCTCACGATCAGAATACTCATTTTCAAATTGGTAGCACAGAGGACGGATTTTGGTCGGCGTGGATCGCACCTTGGTACGTTGTACAACATTGGTAGTTTTTCGCTAACTTAGAAAAAAGAAAAATAACTTTGAAGAAAAGACGCTCGGCTGCCGGGGATCATCAGGGATCACACAAAAAGCTGTAAGATGCTTCTTGTACAACTTCTCCTTCTGTTCAATATGGGTGACGAATGGTAGGAATACATACGAATAAATGGCGTGAAGTGCAGAAGTATGGAGCTTCCGGAAACGAAGCTTTCTTTTAAACTGCGATCCTCTCTCCGGCGGGGATGTTGATGCATGCGGCCCTATGTAAATATCTAGGTTACTCTTTTTCTATCTAGTATATATATTACTCTTTTTCTATGTATCTTCACATACCCTAATATTTGAGTATAATGGATGACAAGACATTGCCATACAAACTCAAGTTTTCATTGTTTCATGTCATCTCCTAGGAGATTCCCAGAGAAACGCTTCACATTTTTGAAATTATTCATCCTCCTATAAACTCGATGAAAATGCTGTGAAATTGTACCGAGGGTTCACTTTGACACTGATAATCGTATCATAGCAGAATTGCAATCTCAGAATATCGAAATCTTCGATGACCCATTTTACAGTATGGAACAAATCTTCTTTCTTCGTTGTTGTAGGATTACTATAGGAACTTGGAGAGTTTTGAGCCTTTAAAAATGGCATTTTGCCTAAAAAAACCAAACAAGGTAAAAAGTCTCGTATCAAGTAACAGAGCTGATTTCAGATGTATAACATTTGCACACCTCGATCATGCTCCCTTCACAAGTAATTTCAGGAAAACACTACGACTGCCTTTTCAGTGATCTTCGAAAATGTGATCACACATCTAAAAAAGCGCAGAAATCTTGTAAGTTGCGTTATGGAATCAGCATGCTTGAAAACCCTGCTACACAATTTTCCAATTTAGTGATTTTTTTCATCTAGCGGCCTATTTCAGAACGGAGCTGCATGAAAAGTTCAGACCGCAATCCTACAATAGCGAAGAGAGATCGGAGTCTCGCTCCATTCTGAAAATCTAAGTTGAAGCAAGCTCTCCAGAATGGTACCTAAAGTTCGGCGAAAGACATCGAAATGAACGAGTTACTAACGGTCAAACAGTGTGCACATTTTTCTACCACCATGTACGTATAAAGGTGATCTATCAGCTTTCACTAACTTCATCATGTACCTAGTCAGTATCGGTGATGCATATGTTTGCAATCATTCAAATCTTGATGTACCGTGCGTGGTTTTCCAAACACTAAGCCTTTGCCGGACTCAACTGTCCAGTTTCTGCACGTGTTGGCTCGTTACTGCGTACTTAACATTGAGCAGGAGGATCATAGTCATTTTTTTACATAAGCTGGTATTCTAGTTTAGACTATTGCCGATGGTCAAAAGAAAGAGCGTTTTCGCCCAGTGCTTATAGATTTTCAAAGTATTATAACAAGTAAACTACTCCACAGCCAGTTTAGAAGAGGGCACTTTTTTGCGTTTCTTACACGTAGCGGCTAGATAGGTACGCCCTGACGCAGCAGGAAAAGGATTCTACTTGCGTCAAACATGACTCAAGCTCGATTGTCTGTCTCTTTCGCGATCTTTTCGCCAACACCCTCCCCTTTTTTTGCTGAAGATACCTCTCCTAGTATTGTAATCAAAAAAAGTTTCTGCCACCGCTGCTCAGGATACGCTTGAAAAAGGGAGAGGAAACTTCAATGAAGAATGCTGCATTGAGAAGAAGAATTTTAGCCAAATCTGCTTACCATCCTCAATCGTCTGACACCAATGTATTAAGGTAATCATTCACATTTATTCACTGCGGTATTTGATTAAAACTTATAGCGAACCGTACACATAGCAGGGTAAAGAATCTCGCCCGTTCAATAAGTTAGGCGTACAATTTGTAAACATGAACAGATCTACAGACACATTTGTTACTTTTGAACATATGAATGCACCACATTTCCATGTACGAACAAAGTAGACTGATTATATTGACTGGTGAGTATATGATACGTTAACAATGAGCAATTACTATAAAAAATATTATGCTGCCATTTTCAAAGAAATGAAACGGAATAACGTCAAAAACCGAGATAAACAGATCATCAGTACTTCAATTAGTGGGTCTCAAAAGGAAAGAATTAGATTATTCCTGTTCTAGAAGATCATAGAATGGTAAACTGGACAACAAGTGCTAGCACCGAGGATAAACAAAATTCCTAATTATTTACATATGAACCGAGGCGCTATAACGGACGTGACTGCTCGGCACTCTCCAGCGAGAGGGACGGTACTATAAAAAAAGTTTAATTGACAGTTATTTAGAAGCAGTAGAACCACAATTGTCACACCCTTCTCACTTTGAAAGAATTTCGAAAATAAGAAAGAAACATGGATTGGACAGACCTTGATCAGCAGTTGGCCACTTGCAGTATGCGGATTGTAATAAGCATAGGCCAACCATCCTATCACACATAGCGAACTGCCAAGGAAGAAAACAAGTGCCGCGTAACCGCCACCATCAGCTTTTCCTAAAACCTCATGATGATGTGATGACATTTGGAAATATCTAGAGTACAATATAGCTGCGAAAAGGGAAACCAACACAAACTTACGATTTTCATGAAAGTAGCTTCCGTTACTCCACAAAACATGAGAAATTACTATCGACCACCATAACAAAAAGCTAAGGGAGGGAATGAAAAAATTCACCTTTAGCTTTTTCTGCCCTTCGCTCCTTGTCGAGCGGTATCACGTCATCTGGTGAAGAGGGCCGTTCAGCAGCAGGGGTTGAACTGAAACAAGTTTCTTCTTCATAGCCTTTAATTAACCAAAACCGCTCTGCATTGCATCGTAGTTCAGATAAACCTCCAGTCTTATGGTAAGCCCATACCTATCGTCTTCCACCTCATCCTCATCAGTTTCTGCATTGCAATACATATTCTTTCCTTGATTCTTGCAATTATTTTCGGCCCAGTGTTGGCGGCGACGATGAATCCTAGTGTAAGAGACGTGAAGGTAGAAGCATTTGTACGAAAGCTGGTACTAACCCTCCTTGATCAGTGCAAAATGGTCCTCCATGCGATTTCTTTGCATGACACCACGAACAAGTGAAATGTTTCAATGTGACATTAGAACAGGCTTCACAGGTTTGAAACTGGATACACGCTGAAAAGCAGCCATAGGAAAAAGTGGGCAAATCACAGAGAAATCAACAAGAGTTGACATATTCTTACCAGGTTGGGCATCGAGATAAACAACTGTGTCGGCAACAACCTTATCGAGAGGGACCTCGATGCGATGATACTCGTAGATGACGCGTTTTGGGCTCACTAAAAGCCTATCAATCTTTAACCAAGAATAATAGGATATGAACAAAAATCAGAGATAATGAGAACTTTAAGGCTGTTAGCACAGAGTGGACTCACTTATTCCGTGGTTCATGAGCATATGATGGTAAAGATAAGCATCACTAATGCCACACTTCACTGGATGTTGTTCTTCGCTAATGTGAGATACATTCATGGGCACCTGCAACTAGTGCGCTGAGGTAGACAAACAAGTGAAAAATCTAACGTTTTTATAAGCCTACACGGATGCAAACTTTATGGAAGAGATTTTCGCTCTATGAGAGTGCGAATTCAGTAAAAATAGACTGGCCTGTTTATAAGCAAACACAATGGATCCGTTCTTGAATAATGTAGTTTGGAAACTGAATGACCCAGCTGGAACAAATTTTGTAGCTTTATATTTATTTCTTTGTAAAAAGTTCGATAAACCTTCATGCTGCTCTCTGAGCTGAACTTTTCGCCATTCAACAACAAAACGTTCACCATCGTCTGCGTAGAGAATACATGAGCCCTAAATATGAGATAGAATGGAAAACCCTCATTTATTCCTTGAAAAAAGTTTACATCCAGCGCTGTGTGGAAATTAGCCATCAAAGGAGCGATGTACTGCGTGGCTGCGAGCCAGTTGTGGGTTTGATCGCCAACGTAGAGAAAACCTGACAAAATTGATGTAAAGCGTGAATTATATATGGTATCACCTGTATTACAAACCTCCAGTGGCGATGGTGAGGTTTGACATATAATGACCATAGAAAGGAAATTTGAAAGTTAGCCTAGCGCCCTATGAAGAAATAATGGGTATAATCAGATATGTACATACTGACAATTACTCACAACTGCTCTGCGGTATGTTCCAGAGAGTAGAGGATGACTAGCATTTCCAACAACGCCGGGTTTTTTCAACATTTCGTCAATGTCGACCCAGTATTTTTTTAACTGTTCAGAGCGATTCGCATAAGTAGTCATTATATAGTATTGGTGATCCACCTAAAAAGTTACTGAAGCTAAAAAATAGAATCAAACGTGATGTACATGGACAGACGACAAAAGCCTTCTATTGTATTAGGCAATAGAATAAGCTTGGGCATTTATCCCATCCTCAGCTTTTAACATCTCACATTCGTCGCTTTGCAGTAATCTGTTCAACGTACAAAAACGCCGAAAGGTTCACTAAGAAGACTAATGAGTGCATTATCTATTTGATAAAGTCGACTGATGATAAAAAGTGCATCATCCCAGCGACATAAGCTTCAATGGAAATGCTTTTGATTAGCCATTCATAGTAGGATGTGGCGATAAAATATTGAAGGATAAATAGCAAAGAGCCAGGATTGCTCAACTTTCTTTTCTCTCAAAAAATTATCCCGATAAAAGATTTCAAACCGTTCTACGCAGTCATATGAGAGCATCAATGAGCAGCATTTTTGAGCCAAAATGAGATGAATCAACAACCAGGAAGTATGTAGACTGTTATGTGCGCGCAGATCCTCTGATGTTATCGCATTTTTAGAATTGTAGAAGTACTAGTTAACGATACAAAATGCAGAGTCTCAGAGTTATAATAAAGAACAAATCGTTCAAGACAGTCTAAAATCATAGCATAATAAGAACTCACGGTGTTATTTTCTTTTTCTACTTCTACGTCGTCCGGAATATGTGTATTCCACATGTCCGGACCTTCTTTCTCAGCATCAGATTTTTCTTGAGGCAGATTGGAAGAATCACGTCGATTTCGCTTCAGGGATCGTGGAAGAGAATGAATAGTAGGTGAACTATCCTCATAGTGGAGGTATAAGGGGAGATCGTTGTGCACTGAATTTCCAATTTTGCATATTCTACTTAAAAAGGAAAAAGATAGCATCAAAAGACCTGCCTGTAATTACAGCGGAAAACTGGCCAGTACACAAAAGCAACAACAATGGTCTCCAAAACCCTTGCGGCATCGGAGATTATGTAAAACACGGCTACAAAAACAAGAATAAAGTGTACGCAAAAGCCTGAAATGTGCTTGAAAATTGGCTCTAGTTTACAAAAACGAGGTAGACAACGACATATATTTTCGGAAAGTTACACATTCAAACACTTATAAGATACTAAGCAACACTTTATTATTTCCCAACCAACACTGAACAAACTGCCAACTTCCACTGAAACATAATCTGATGAGAATATAAACGAACGCGAGAGAAAGATAAGTTTCAAGGTGTTTAGGAATCCCAAGATAAGCACGACCTTTCCAACATGGTGACACTGCGACCATCACAAAATCAAAAAGTTGGAAAAAGTGCATCGCTGAGGACGAAAACATTAGCCGACTGGTAAACTACTTGTACGATCCTGCATGTGGTTACAAAAGGGAGAGACGAAAAGAAAAACAACGAAAAAATGAGATAACGCCAACCTGCAAGAACCGAAAGCGACAACGACAACTGTCAAAAACGTTGAGTAATCGGCACGATACTGACAAGGAAAGCTTGTTTAGTCGAAGTGGCCTTTCCAAATGAGATGTATACCATATTAAAGCGCATAAAACGCTGATTCCAAAACTGTCTTCCTTATCTGCAGAACGTTTATGGACGAGAAGTTATGAGCGTTTTTTGGAGCCAAAAATTGAATGTACATTTTGAATAAAATGAGTTGTTAAAATCTTACTAGCCTTCAAATATCGTAAAAGTGTGGTATAATTTTTATTTTAGAGTAATCTTCAAGTGAAGTATTCTGGTGATTATCATTGCTCCGTTGAAGAGCTAGAAAAAGTATTACGGTTATTTTTGTCACACTTGCACATTCAATTTTTGACTCCAAAAAACGCTCATAACTTCTCGTCCATAAACGTTCTGCAGATACGGAAGACAGATTTGGAATCAGCATTTTTTGCTCTACAATATGGTGTACATCCTATCAAAAAAGGCCACTTCGACTAAACAAGCATTCCTTGTGAGTCTACAGAATGAACGTCCAGCCAACCAATACATACGTTTACAAAATATTTAACTCAGCGTAGAATTATAAGATGAATGCAAGGAGCGAGGCTCTAATTACAAAAGAGAAACTAGTTGTGAAGACAGCAGCCAAACTTAAGAACCCGTCAACTGTAGACGTCACACAAAGATGAGTGAAAAAAAGTGAAAAATCAAAACGATTGGTAAAGGACATCAGACGGTGTAAAGGACTGCGCCATACGTCGCCAATTCAACATACTTTTCAAAATACGAGTACCATGAACATCCCGATTGAAACATTTTCGTAGGGTGAACCAAGTTATGTCACTACAAATTACTCAGCCAAGTGAGAACAAATACAAGGCAGAATTCACATACGAAAGCGATAAATAGAATTCTGAAGACCGAAAACCTGAGAGCCGCAGAAACTGTGACTATCGCACGTGAGATATAGGGTTTCAAAAATTAAGATGAATAGCTAGAGATTTGCAAGGGAAAGCGTTTTGCTAAAAGAAAGGAAAGAGAGACGCTTTTGAAAACAACATAGCAACGTGCCAATGTGTACAAAACCATCTTTGAAGGATGAAGAATGCTCGCGCAGCTGAACGTTCTCTGTCACAAAAGGAATTCATGTGAATTGTAAGAAGAACGACATCTGATAGCAATCTCCCAACGAGTTCGTGTTTTTGAACTAAAGTATGCTCAAGAAGTAACGTCAAACATTTACTGCACAGTGCGTCCAATCTTCCGCAAACATTGACGCAGCATGCACAAGCAGGCATTTCAGACGGCAAAACTGACAAAACGAGCACTACTGCTGAACTTTTAGCAGACAGTTACTAATTCTAGAACGTGATACAACGCTGGAACAAAGCAGCACCAAAAGCTTCGACTGAGCAAAGAAGACGCTGGTCAACTTGAAAGTTAATTCTTGAAATGTATTCAAGCAAATCACTTCTGTATCAACATTACGAAAGCTCGTTGTACATCATGACTTGCAAATGTATAAATCTTCAAACTATATCCAGCAACGTGATTACAGATCCTGAATGAATGCCACCACGCAAATGCATGACGCAAGCACTCTGCATTCTATAACCGGGATAGCAACAAGCAGAATAACAAAACTACATTCAAAGGATACATGCGGTGACGTCAGACAAACCATGCAAGAATAATTCTGAATATAAGCTACGCGAAACTGGCAGTCACAGATAGATGTGATGTTCAGTATATTGGCAGATAAATCGTAATCAGAAAAAAGTAAGAAGGAATGCAATATGGAATGTCAGTAGAAAATGTAAAAAATAAAAAATAATGCTAGAAACTTGTTGCGTTGGCAAACCCTTACGATAACATCAAGCACTTCGCATCGACGCAACTACGTATTCAGCTGCAACACCTCAAGACGTCACTTGCTGGAATTCTTAAACGCAATAAAACATAACAATGCTATTTAAGATGTAAAAGAAGATGACCATTACCACTCTGAATACCTGACAATCGCTTTCGAAGTCTTAGTGGAAATAATAGAGATAGTATATCCTACCCGCTGCATTAAGTTTCATTCAGAAACTTATTGTAGAGGCCTAGAAAGAAGGAGAGTTTCGGAAAATATATATATATATATTGATATGAATAGTCAGTGGGACAGAGGCTGAAGCCTACAATTTCAAGCAGAGATATTAAAACGTTAAATAAAACATTTAACTGCCCTTAGGTAAAATGATACGCCAATTTGGATGCATGCTTGGCTATATATGTATGGGATCCAGATCCAAAAATGTACACATACCAACAAATGAGAGCGAGTAAAATTCTTATTAGCGATCACAGAAACAGATTTGTCCACAAATTTACACAATTAAGACTGTCCATTATTCATCCATGCACTCTCTATTAAGCGCAGTTCAGTATACATGCAAAGTAATAAAATTATATAGAAATCACGCAAAAACAAAATTAATCGTGAGGTTTTTTGAAGATGGCCCGGTCAACTTTCACTTGATCATCGATGAGTCGATACATATACGTCACAACACAGTCCGCTTGAACATCAAGTAGTGCAAAAGATGCAATGATTGGACTGAAAAGAATCATTTGAGAAGAATACAAAAGCATCGATGATGCCTCTACACCAAAATTTGTTGTAGCTCCTCTTTTCGACTCCCCCCATACAGACTCAGAGGATTTGTAACACAAGAATAAACGAAGTTTTATTATAGAGAAAGACTAATACTAGATTATGCGCGTACAAAACAAGAACAACATTAAATGCATAAAAGCGTTCAAAGATGGACGAATTTTCCAAATGAGGTCAAGAACTACATAGTCCGCAATTACACAAAAAATTTACTACAGAATAAAACTGACAAAATTTTGAGTCACTGTGGGCGTACAATAGCCGCGAAGAAAAGGAGTTCAATGCGACTATCACATGTAGTTGAGCGATGAAGTTTTGCGTTGCAAAAGTCACACGATTGCAGAAAAACATAAGATCTGCCCAGAAATCTCAAAACTTATTAAAAATGACATATCATTGAATTGCTCGCATATGACAGGTCCAAAGAAACTGGAATGGAAGAGCAAGACCATCCCTTGACTGTTATAATGTTCTTGATGATTTCAGTTCTCTGCCAGAAATTTCTGGGAACTAAATAAACTGATGAGCGACAGAGAAGGGAAAACATAACACAAGGAAGAACGTGCAATTTCCAGTAGTGCAATTCGGCGACACCTACGCTGGCAAGAACTTGCTCAGGAATGTAAGGCGTTCCTATAGAATCCAGGTTCTTCTTGTCAAAAAAGTGCGTAGGCAGCTGTTGATATGAGCGACGCATCATTCATTTTTTCACAGTTCCTACATCATTACTGGTCGCGCTCTCTCTGGAGAACATATCAAAGTAGAAATTCATGCACCGCAGAAGCGATTCTTCGCACGCGGAAGCAGGCATGACTGCAGGGTTCCTTTGGCGTTCTCTAGATAAGCGTATGTTACCCCTCCTGCTGCCTTCTCGAAACACAAATATTTTTTCAGACGCAACGACGTCCAGACTCTGCGTGCGGTGACTTGCCTATACACAAGTGGAAACATAACCTCTAAAATAACCGTCAAAAGCGAAGAACTAGCTTTTGTACATGTTGAGTACTGCAACCGATTTTAATAGTTTTTCTTGACGATGTACATGATACGAATTCCCGACCCCCTTACAACTTCATAATTCTTTCATTTCGGCGCTTTGTCTCTCTTTTCGACAAAGAATACATTGCCTTCATCACTTATTGAAACAAAGACCATCGCCATCTTATAGGCATATTCGCATCAGCTCTGTGTCCATTTTTTCTAAATCTAACACGAATGGCCATTTTTGATCAGCACTTTGAGTACAAGAAGTTATACGGTAGAGGTACAGAAGGTAAGAAAGCGAACGTGCTTTGAGGGCAACCTATGATCAATCAAATTTCACGACGGCGATGTGATTTCCCATGCGGTAAGATGGCGACATGTCAGTTAAAGCATGTGCTCAAATCCCTGGGGCCCAGAGAGATTCAACAAGCTTTCGAACCAGAAAGGATGACGTACCCATCATGTGTCACTGAAAACGCTCCTGTAGCGCTTCCGGGGTTTACATAGAAACGTCCACCGCTTTCTCGAACGCTGCATTCGTGTGAATGTCCACTGATGAGAACATCCACATCCAATTGTCTTGCCAGCTGCTCTAACATCTGGAAAGTCGCTAACATTCACAAAAACAGCGTTAATGTGTGATTCGCAGGAGACACACCTGGTGCGACTTGTCACCATATTGTACTTCATTTCAGTAAAAACTCATACCTTTCTTGTTCCTTTTAAGAAAAAGTTCAAAAAGCTGAGCTCACAAATGGAAAGGAACGTGCTTACTGACGCAAAACACACAAGGTGCACTTTCTAACACTGTGATCCTTTTTAAACTACCTTACTCAAGTTAGGAGGTGCTGTATGCTCAAGAAGTCATTGTGAATATATAGAGGTTCGTGGCTCACCGCTTCATCTCCCCATGGAATTATTTGATGACCATGAATGAGACCCAGTCGGAACTGTCCCACCGTGACTACTTTCGTATCAGGATATTTTAACGACTCATCATCGAAATCTCCTCGAACGACATGAACGTCGGACGATAATGACCTAAATTTGATAGCGTCACGTTATGAAAACACGAAGAAAAGTCACCTGAGGTAATCAACGCTCTCCCGATTACACAGATTTCCAGTGCATAAAACATGTTGCATTTTGTTAGGCACCAGAAGTTTGCGGAACTTCGGCGAAAGATTGTGTTCCCTATGTGGAATATGCAGATCTCCAATGAGAAGGACTAGCTGAAAAGAGGAACTCTGGGTAGATTTCATAACGCTTTGGGATAATGACATGCATTGCAAAGTAGCTTTTTGCATTCCTTCTGAATCAATAATATTTCATCTGCTACAGGACACACCGCAGAATTACCCTCTCTCCAGGGCTGAGCAATCAAACTCAGCTTCTACCATTCCGAATCTATTTTGACCAACTGCGAGTCGGTTTGCATGTTGAAAAATCATGTCCTTCCATTTACAGTCTTACCATCTTCTCCCAGACTGCTCGGTGTCTTCTTTGCTTCCAGATCACAAAAGATTCTGTATCGATAGACTGTGAAAATGATAGAGTAAGGCGTAGATCTAAAAGTGCTTAGAGAACAATAATAATGTATGTACGGCGATATATAAACAGGATAGAAATGTAAGTAGTTTGTTGCACTAATTTCCCAGAAAAAGATCAAGTTTCCTTTCATGTGCGAGTGGAACAAACTATCGATATCTAAGATAAAACTTCCAAAGAAACCAGATGGTTTATTTGAAAGCACCGTCTACCTAGATCTAAGGTTGTGAAATTTACACGCAGTGCAATAACGAAGCCACAAATAAATTTGAATCCCACTCCCAGGTGTATTCCGAAGCGAGAAAATCGCTCCAAAAGTCGAATGCTTTTGGGGTCCGTGCCCAACAAAGTGGGTGGCCAGAATATGAGTCCGAAACCAGCTCAATAATATATAGCAACTCAAAAATCCGTATTCTGTTGTAAAAAATACAGGATTGCGACATTTCTAGGCTTCATTACCTTAGGCCGATGGGAGGAGGGATCCCAGCAGTATCCACTTTTTGGAATAATCCTGTTTCAGAATAATCTCTTCAGCGTAGTTAGGGCAATTACAAGTTAAGGACCTCGCTATTACACTGCATAGTCTCGATGGGGACAGTTCCTTCAAAAACGCACATTCAATGTATGCTTGCTTACGACTCTAAAACTTGCTGCAAACAGTATAGTGAACCAGTAATCTAAAGGTGCAAAATTTGGAAACTTCGCTTCCCCGCCGAGGTTTCCAGCTATTGGAAAATTTTGAATTGAGCTAACGATTCTTTATATATTGGATAAGCACATAAGCGTGCATGTTCTCTACACTGAATAAGACGTGTGCAGCTAAAGAGCACAGCCCCTTCTTCGAGGTCAAGAAAGAAAATGGGTAAATGTGTAGTACGCAGATGTAAATGAATATTTGAAAATCGAGACCATATTCCGATAGAGTCGATCACACTATAACAAGAAAAAGTAAAAACCAGATAGAGACTCTTTGCAACACGACACAATTTATGTTTGCCATATTTATTAGACTCAAAATAGAAAGTGTGAAAGTTAGTGGGTACACCATAAAGACGATTTAGGGCCGCATGCACTAACCTTCCCGCTGGGGAGGGGATCGCAGCTTAATAGAAAGCTTTATATTTCAAAACTCCAGATACCTGGATTTCACGTTGTGTACCTATCCGTAAGTATTCCTACTACCCTTCACTATGAACATGTCGAACAGGAGCGAGAAGCTGTACGAGCCGCATTTTCCAGCTTTTGTATGATCCCTGATGATCCCCGGCGCTTTTCTTTAAAGTCATTTTTCTTTCTCCGAAGTTAACGAAAACCTTCCAAAGTTGTACTGAACATCTAACACAACAGTGCTAAGCATGTTGCTGATGAGAACAAATGAATTTTTAAGATCGAATTTTTTGGTATACCCCAAATTTCGACCTGTGGATCATCGAAAATATCATGACTTCAAAACATCATTTGTTCTTATCAGCAACATGCTTAGCACTGTCGGGTTAGATAATCTGCACAACTTTGGAAGTTTTTCGTTAACTTCGGAGAAAGAAAAGCTACTTTAATGAAAAGCGCCGGGGATCATCAGGGATCATACAAAAGCTGGGAAATGCGGTTCGTACAGCTTCTCGCTCCTCTTCAACATGCTCATAGCGAAGGGTAGTAGGAACACTCACGGATAGGTACACAGTGAAATCCAGGTATCTGAAGTTTCGAAATATAAAGCTTTCTTTTAAGCTGCGATCCCCTCCCCGCGGGAATGTTAGTGCATGCGGCCCTTAGAGAGCCAAAAAATGGTAGTGACAAACATCTTACACACATTTCCTAATCGGCAAGCTTCCATGTTCCAAATTGTCATTTATTCTCGGCTGTCTTCTTACGAGCTACAGCGAATCCAGCAGGTCCTCCTCTCTTCTCCAATATTCCACTGAGCGTTTTAGGGAATATGGACATAGCCAAGAATCTTTCCCCCATATCGCCCATCAGGAAGTTGTAAGATTCTGAATCGTACAACATTTGGTAGTACCAAAGATGAAGTATAAAGCTCAAGATGGACAGTAAGTGATGGTACTTTTATATCCAGAAAAATTATATATTACTATCCGATGTGGATAAGCAGCAAAGAATAGCAACTTTGAAACCTACTACTCACATGGTGCTACGTCAAGATTCGAAACATATGGAAATTTCGTAAAAATGACTTCAAGGTGGCAATCGCTAATCACAGAATGGAACTTACTTATCAGATACTCCTGTTTTTCTCGATCGCTGTATGATTGGAGTAGCCTTCGCAGACGTAGTCCCGCTCCCAATTGTGCCAGAAACTCGCTAAAAAGAAAGATGTGGGTGGGGGAACGAAAGCCGCCAGGTCCAGCCGCCTTTCGCGGCCAGCTGGTCCTTTCGCAGCGTTGTTGCATGTCGTTCCAGGACCAGCAGTCCGCAGAGGCGGCTGGACCTGGCGGCTTTCGTTCCCCCACCCGAAAGATGTTACTAATCTGTGAAACTTATCATGACGCCTCACCGTTGCGTGTTAGGACCGAATACTGCCGTGCGGTCAACTATTAAAGACTTGAGATACCCGAAATCAACGTCGGCAGTTAGATCGATGGATCCTGGTTCGCTTAGCGGGTCCACCTGAAGGCTATTGAAGCAAAATAACATCAACAAAGCGGTCGTACCAATTGGTGTTTCCTGTACGCTCGAAATGAAAATTCATTACGCGAGCCATCGTGTCCATAATCAATGATGAGGCCGAATCCTCCGTTGTACACTATTCTGAAACACTTTCTATACGCTAAACAACAAAAAAAAACAGTGCTAACGAACCTCTCCGCAATCTGGTTGATGAAAGTACCAGCTTCGGGACTGCACTCCCAGTACCTACGCTCCTTATCTTCACGAATCTGTGTTGGCATCAAACCTCTACGACAGCATTTAAGTAAATTGAGGCATGGTAAAAAACGCAAAACCTTACTTGGTGTGCAAATTTTCTCCCCTTGAATTCATGAAACACAGCTCCCCTTTCTTGTCAATGTTGACATACACCTGAAGTGCACGATTAGCATATGGAAAGCTGCCAACGTTGCACGAAAGGAGGGGTGATAATACAATGATAATATAATGATAATACACATTTTGGGTTCGCAGCCTATCCATAAACCATCACGTCAGATCCGTGTTAGATAATACTTTTAAAGCGAGTTTTTAAAACGATCAAGAGTACCTCATGCCATTTTCCATTGTCGTCTCGGCTAAACTGATGAACAGGAAGGGCGTCAAGAAATTCGTTAGCGACGAATACAGAGAACTAAAAGCGAAAACTAGTCAAAAGTAGAAGCATTGTGATACACACCTACACTTTCCGGCACATCCTCGATAGTTTTATACCAAAAGATAGGAAATCCGGACTTTGTAGTGTTGCTTTTTACATATGGCTCTTTTCCTTGAAAGCATGTCTTGTATTATATAAATGATGCTACTCCTCTGACACAACCTTCATTATTCAAATAAACAGAAGATGATGGCCTATCACACAGCAACTCCTCCTGTTTCTTGATCAAAGCATCTGATGTCTCAACCAAGTGGACCGAAAGCTTCTTCTCCTGAATTTCCCAGGATGACGGTAGATCTATATCACGATATGTAAATAATCAATGACTCGAAATAACAAAGCTAGTAGATGAGTGACAGAGCTAAGAATTTTGAGATATATTGAAATAAACAACATTTACCCTAATTTCACGCGTATAGGACGCGGGGGATTTTTTTTTCTAAGATCGAACAACACAAAGACGCCGAAGGACTTCGCGACCAAAAAACTATTTACAGTGCTGCATACCGCCTGATAGTATCGTGTGGCATAAGTCTCGTTTTCCAAAACACAACGAGGCGGTTGAGCGACACGCTTAAAAAACCGAAAAAGGTGCGTCTTATACGCATGAAATTAGGGTACAAAACATAAATCATCAAGCCACTTAGTGAACTAACCTGAAAATTTTCCATGACCGATAAAAGATCACTCATAAGTTGACCAGTACCAGGACCACACTCAACAAGTTGCCAAGGTTCTGGAAAAACGCATTTTCAAAGCAAGCATTCCTTGCTGAGAGGATACAACCTGTATGCCCAGTATTGGCGAGCTCATGATAGCACCAAACACCTATAAGCTCGCCAAAAAGCTGAGTAAGCTCCGGTGCAGTGATGAAGTCACCTTCTTTGCCAAACACCTTAACAAAATGACTTTGACCAAGGAACAGCTCTAGTAAAACATGGGAACTGAAAGACCCCGTGATACAGAAGCAGAAACAACTTAGGCGGATTTACATGTGTGACGGGGCTGAGAATGTCTCTAATATTCTATTATCCAACGGCCCCGGCCAGACTTCGGTCAAAAGCGCCCTGAAAGTCAAAGGCGCTCAAATTTCACTAACCCCTCTTCACTTTCTCTCATCTTTCCTCACACGAAAAAGCGAAGAGATTAGAGGATTTGGGAGCTTCTGAGCGCTTTCGAGAGAAGTCTGGCCACTGCCTATTGGATCCGCTTCCGCTTCAGTACGCTAAACTGTGGACAAAAGGGCAAAAGGACAATCAATGACTGATTGTCCTTTTGCCCTTACGTACACAGACCGAACGGCGATATCCTAAGATGCTATAATAATTGGCTCTTAATAAACCACAAGGCTAAAACTGTTCCATTATTGGAAGTCTTAGATATGCCAGAGAACAATTTTCAGTGGAACACACCATACTGGATACAGATTACAAGATATAGGTGAGTCAGCGCCGGCAGAGAGACGCAGAAAGACGCCGATAATGTGTGCAATGGCGTACTGTTTCTGCGTCCTATGATTCGCCTATAGGCGTAGTCGCTTTCTTATTGTACATTTGATTTCTGCTATTCTGTATAATTCAGGTGATGTACTGCAGTACTTACAAAACTATATTCAATTCCTCTCCTCATTCATGCTTCAATCTGTCCACTAAAAGGCTATCTTGTGATAGATGCAAAAGAGCTCCACTGACCTTTTGTTTGTCTGAATAACGTGCGTAATATCCGACAGAAGGTGCAGTTGCAATTTTCATATATTCACCAACTGAGATTGGTCCAGTGGCTCGGATTTTATCGACAATAAATCGTTTCAAGACGTCATTCTAAAAAGGCAGTTTAACATGCAGAAAAGGACTGATAATTCAGACTCACTTCTGAAGCTTCTGTTTCCTTAGAATACAGCCTATATATATGGCATGATGGCAGTCGACGGCATCGCAATGCATATCGAAATGAACAATTCATGGAGATCAATCGTCCTCTAGCAGAGGGAACTCCCCAAAACTATGATTGTGTAGTCGCGGTCACAGTCTCTTTCCACGTCTAGTGCACAGAGGCAGCCGTGGTTTCGTCTCGTTGCAACGTTCTGAACTGAATTTCGGGTCTTTCGCTCTTTTCCTAAACCCATCTGTTGTTTCTATATGTAGCATGAAATTCCAGGTATTATGACGAAAAACGGTCAACCTTTAGATCGCCGGAAGACGAAGTTTTATCTGGCTCCGATGGTACGCTATTCCAAGTAGGTCGTTTCCCACAGCATCTTACAATAATAAGTACATCAAAAGGGAGATTTGACGATTAGAGCTTACACGGTGAAGACAACATTTGCTAGAGGGGAGAAGCTGCGCGTGAAATGGCCATGGGGCACACATTGCCATTTTGTTGCGCGCAAATGTTATCGGCAGAAAAGCACAATAATCATCAAATCTAGGAGCGTGGTACTTTACAATAGAAATAGGGACTCGAACAATTGCGCGCTATTCCACATTAGTTTACCCAGAAAATGTAAACCGCGGATTTTGCTGAACCTTCGTCAAAAGGGGTTATTCTGTACGCTGCTTACGAATATCATACTTATGTACGGTAGTGCCATCTAGTGGACGTGCGGTAGGATTATGGTAGGGGGTCAAAATCCGAATTTGCCCCAAACTTCATCTAGGGCAGTCTTGGCAAGCTGAACATGAATACCGTATTCATTTCGTAGGTAGCGCCATTTTCTCGGGGATAGGAGAATCCCGGATTTGCTCAACGCTTTGCCTTGAAGGCACCGTCCACCCAAATTTTCCACGTTTTTGCTGTTCCAGGCCCTTCTCATATCCGTGATTCCGAATATCAAGTCGAAAATCCGCAAGAACCACGAAGAACTCCTTTTTTCATGACCCGCAGAGCGATTTCTTCGGAGAGGTGATGGTTGGGCGCGTCACGCCCACTCAAAGGGGAGAAGCAAGGGGCGAATCTGTCATCCCAGCGATTTTCGAAGCAATTTACTCGCTTCGGAAGCAACTCTTGCCAGCGCGAGTTGGATAAATATACAGTTGAGGGCGCCAACTACCGTTAGGCACCAAAATCTCATCGACCCCATTCTGGGTGGACGGTGCCTTTAAGGGGGATTCTTAAGCAGGCTGATTGCAAATCCCATGCTCGTCCGCTGCAACTGTGCCTTATTGTTAGACTTACGATGAGCAGCAGTGCACGAAAGAAAACTTTTTCGCTTTTCAGCCAAATTTAGATCCCAGAAATTCTCGGAAAGGCTTTATCGTGCGAGACGAGTGCGATATAAATGATCAGCACGTCAGATGACACGCTTTAACAAAGGCTCGAGCAAATCTATCACTTCAGTCATCGATCGTACATCTGTCGTAATTCCGAGAAAAGTTCCAAAACGTAAAAAGTGCATGATATCACGTGCTTAAAGGCAGCGTCCTGCCAAATCTGGACATATGGGGCTCTCAAGTTCCTAATTTTGGGGCCCTAACTAAGCCACTGAACGGTAAAGGTATTCGCTTCGAAACTGGACCCAGAATCGTATTTCGCATGACATGGCGCAACCCATGGGTCCTCGCGCGAAATTGATGGATTGCCGTCATGAATCCGAAATTCGATCCCGTGGTCCATCTCAGACAGTCGACGGCATACCTCCGGAGCAGAAATGGCAGAGCCGCGTGGTTTCCCCAGCGGGGGATTGCCACTTCGCGCTCCGGAGCCCTGCTATTTCACGCATTTTTGTGCTCCGGGGCTCTCCCAAAAGTGGCGCACCTCCGGAGCAGAGATTTGCGCTTTGCGGAGAGGGGTCCCATTCATTCACCGTGACGTCACGGTGACGTCACAAACAGGACGAATGGGACACCCCTCCGCGACGCGCAAATCTCTGCTCCGGAGGTGCGCCACCCTCCCCTTGACTGTCTGGGATCGAGGCGAATATCCCAGCCGTTAGTGCACTATCTGAGCTGCCGGTTGGGCAGTGGCCTAGTTTTTTTATAGGGCCCCAAAATTACGATCCACGTGAGAGCCCCATAGTCCAGATTTGCCTGGACGCTGCCTTTAAGGACCCCTCCAGGCAAGATTTTTAACGAACATCGTAACCCGAGAAAATGGCGCTGCCGTACGAAATGAACATGATTTTCATGTTCAGCGTGCTGAGTAACCCGCTGGACAAACGTGGTTTAGTCCCCCTGCAATCCTAACGGAACTCCACCACGGGAGGGCAGTGGCGTACCGAGGGGGGGGGGGGCCGCCGCTCCTCCCCCGAGAACGGATCGCGAAATTTTTGAAAGTTACTTACTTAGGTCATAAAATTGTGCAAATAACTTGTCTGCACTTGTGAATAATTAAAATAATTTTTAAAATTTTTTAAAAATTCAAATTAGCCCTATAAAAAATTTTTCTCGGGGGCGTGGTAAGCCACCCCTTTTTCTGAAATTTCGGGGTTCTGAGCCCGCGAAAATTTTAGGGAGCACGCCAAAAAATTTTCCGGGGTGCTTGACGCCACGTACCTTCATCAGAAAAATTTTTTTATCCCCCCCCCCCCCCCGAGCCGAAATCCTGGGTACGCCACTGCCGGATGGCATTACCGTGCAAAATAAATGCGATATCTGTGATCAGCGTGCAAAATAATTCCCTTAGACGAGAGTTCAGGAAGACCCGCGTATTTCACCTTTTTGGGTCAACTAGTAGTGTGGAAAGCGCCCGATTGTCATTATCCGCTTTACAGGCTTGCATTTCGTAAACTTGTTCGACTCTATGACGTCGATTGCTGTTATACACCTATGATTTATGCGAAGAACTTCCTGGAATCTGAGCATTGTAGATCTAGCGAGTTTTCGACTACACCCGGTAAATTTGGTTTTGGATTTGCGAAAGCATTGAGTGTGCATTTTGCATTTTTGTGCATTTTTTGCAGATGATCGGCCTTTGATAGTTCAGTTTGCGTCAGATGATCCTTTCGTTTTCGGTTCTGCTGCTGAGTTAGTGTACAAGTGAGTTCGAAGAATGTCCAATCTTGTAGTGGGAGGTTTATATGCTTCATGCAGGTATGCAACAGGTGTTGATCTCAACTGTGGCTGTCCGAAGAGCGATGTTCGAGCGAAAGGATTCGGAAGTTTTCTTCTGAATCGACCTGAACTCCTGTCCGATATAGTGAGGCAGTGCAGAGCTCGGATTCACGATCCAGACTTCACGGTGAGTTGGCTTCTTCCTCTCACCAAGAGTTTGCAAAATATGCAATTAATCTGTATCCAATCAAGATCTCTTTAAAAATACGCGTACAGTATCCTTTGGAAAGGACCGTCGATTTGTGTAGAAAGGTAAGAGTGGTATTACAAGTTTTCGTAGTGGTCCTCTCATCTGCGTTTGCAGGCAGAAAAAGCCGGTGTATCTCATCTTACTGTACATGGTCGAACACCTCAAATGCGTTGTGAACCAGTTGACTATGACGCCATCCGGATAGTGAAGGTGTGTACAGGGCACTCGTACCTATAGTTACAAATGGCTGCGAAGACCGCGCCCCGTGCCCCAGTGCAAAACTGTATTCCGCGCGGGAACCCTGGCCATTAAGCGCGCGCACCCTATAATTTTCAACGCGAAACAAGTAGCTAATGGACCGGATTTCGTTCCTTATCACATTTTCATCATTTTTCACGTTTCCTTCTGGACTCATCATTACGTTATGGTGTTCAGTGAACGAATATCTTGCTTCAAAGTATCTTTGCACTTGTCACTTCGCTGTTCTCGAACGCAAAAGATGTGATTTCACTTGAGTTTCAGATTCCTGAGTTTTTTCTGTTTGCTTCATATTCACGATGCTTTTCTAATTTTATAAGACTCTGGAATTCTTGAAAGAAACTTTTGTTATGCAAATTACGATCTTGGATTATAGGATTTCTTTCCAGGACTCACGTATACGCTCTGTAAGCGATGTCCACAGTGAGCTCTTGTCATGAATTTATAAGCAATTTGTTCACTACTGTTTACTGTGCTTGTAGTAGTCTGACATAGATGATTTTTATTGTTGAACTAAGACACGAAAAGTGAACAGTGTGATTAGTCTTTCATGGATTCCATAATTATTTCATCGCATTCTGATCCAGCAGATTTGTGGGATCCTCCAGTCGTGCTCACCAGAAAAAATAAACGAAAATCTGAAATTATCAACTCAGTTTTCATCTTTTTCAATGAAAATTTGAAAAAAAAATACGCAAGTACCTTGCCAATCGCTTGAGATTTCTTGCATAGGTAACCAACAGACTGCAGAGATCACCTCCAAGCTTGAAGGTATGAGGTGGCAAATGACTTCGAGAAAGTCCTCACACAATGACTAGTTCGCACCTCATAAACTGGGTCACCTGAAATTTATCATCTCAACAAGGACTTTGAGCTGGAATTGCAAATGTAAAACAGAAGAATACAGAACGAAACTCACTAGTTATTTCTACCGGGTACTTTTGTTTCCTTTCGATTGCTCAATGGCATTGAATTTGTTCTTTGCAACCTAAAAAGAAATGTGTAGCAAGTTAATCAATAGTACAACATCACTATCACTAGTACATATATAGATATTCCGACAAAATTCGTAAGTGGAGTAAGTAGTACATCTCTCAGTTTACATTATGCGCAATAGCAGAGGAATGCCTAACAAACAGGATACACATGGTCATGACAATTGACCTCGGTGGTCTCCTGACAGTAAATAGGTGCGCAAACACTCGAGTATCCACCAAGGTTAACCTAATGTGATTACATTGCTCTATATCATAAAGTAAGCAGTTGGCATCTATCTGGCTCGCTCTAGCAAATGATAGTTCGACGTATAACACAGCAGAAGCGAAACTAACCAGAAGTCCTCTTCGTACTTCATGAAATGATCCATGTGCTATCGATTTAGAGCACGATCAATGCAGGTAGTCCCTAAAAAGATACAATCTGCGATGACTGGAACCATTGTGATTCTAAAAACTAAACTAGGGAGCATTCTACAGAATTTATAAAACAACAAGTCGTCAAGAAACATATCCTGCAATCGGTAGATACTCACCTAATTCATACAGCAGATCTAGCCTCGTTTTTCGCACATGTCTGCGGCCCATCAGCTGGAAGGTAGGACTTGAATAGGCCAGACTAAACAAAAATATTGCCCAAAAACACTTTCCGCGTAATGACAATGATGATATCAGCAAAATAAATCGCGAAGAAGTGAATCGAGGCGGAAGTCAAAGTGGAAAAACGAAACAGAGCATTATGTTCTTTTTGACCTCCAGCACAACTATAATCCAAGATCGTAATTTGCATAACAAAAGTTTCTTTCAAGAATTCCAGAGTCTTATAAAACTAGAAAAGCATCGTGAATATGAAGCAAACAGAAAAAACTCAGGAATCTGAAACTCAAGTGAAATCACATCTTTTGCGTTCGAGAACAGCGAAGTGACAAGTGCAAAGATACTTTGAAGCAAGATATTCGTTCACTGAACACCATAACGTAATGATGAGTCCAGAAGGAAACGTGAAAAATGATGAAAATGTGATAAGGAACGAAATCCGGTCCATTAGCTACTTGTTTCGCGTTGAAAATTATAGGGTGCGCGCGCTTAATGGCCAGGGTTCCCGCGCGGAATACAGTTTTGCACTGGGGCACGGGGCGCGGTCTTCGCAGCCATTTGTAACTATAGGTACGAGTGTACAGGGCTCCTAAATCGCAGAGTCGTTTGCACCAGCGGTCGCGCGAGCGCGTCGCGCCCGTGCATTTTGCCGGCGCCGCCGCCATCGATCGAGGCGGCGCCATTGATGCCCGGGCGCGACGCGGTCGCGCGACCGCTGGTGCAAACGACTCTGCAAATTAGGAGCCCTGTGTAACCGGTTTCATTTTCGTTTATCACCATGAAAGAGGGTAGAATTGTCAGGAATCCGTGTCAGTGCCCGTGATAGCCAATGGAGATGTAACGAAAAAATTGCAAGCTTTGGAAATCGCTGACCAAACGGGAGTTGATGGTTGGTTTTAGTTGGAAGTAGCATAGACATCGTATTTTTGCAGCACATAAAAGTACAGGAATCAGGTCAAAAAAGGTTATTACAGTCGATGGTAATTACGTATTCCCTTTCGCATTGGAACTACAGGGCTTTACAACCTGAGTGTCCCACCCGCCCCGCTAGGACGCCACGCTTAGGTCCGCGCAGCGTTCGTGGCGCTGGCTGCGCGTCGACTGAAGCTTGGCGAAATCCGGGCGATACGCAGCAAACGCCGCGCGCGGCCTGAGCGAGGCGGCCGCGTTGGAGGAGCCGCGCAAGCGAAACTTGCGACTCTCAGGTTGAAAAGCCCTGTACGCATGCCAACACAAGGGTCCTGCGTGCGGACCTCCAGTCGATGAGGCCCACTTGAACGTAGCGCGAAGCTCATTGCATTTACGGAAAAGGGAGCACGTGATTGACACAGACTGTACATCGTTGTTGTGATAGTTTTGTAAACAACACTGCAACTGTATTTTCCGCCCTCTCTTCACCCATGAGTAGCGCGTTTTTGATTGTGATTAAGATATACAGGTTATAAAATTACGAACTAGTCCTTTTTGATCAATGGAAATAACTTAAAAATCTCTCTAAAAGTTCCACTCGGCCTCATCTGTTTTTTGGGGGCGGGACCGCCATCATACTACTTTCCAATTTTGCGGTTATAACGCGGAAGCAAGAATTTTTTCTAAAAATTCATGAGGGCGTATCATTATATCCCTTCGGAAAAAGTTCATAAAACAGATCCCTCCCCACCCCTTTTTTTCCCGAAATGGGTATCATCACTGAAGTCTACCGCTGCAGGTGTGATGGCTGCAAACGGACTCCTTTATAATCCAGCTTTGTTCGCCGGATACGAATACACTCCTGCGAGTTGCGTCAGAGATTTTGTATGTTATTTATATTATTCTTTTGGTTCCTAGGGTTTTGTTAGATCTGTGACTATAAGACTGCGTTTTAGCTACGACTATCTGCTGACCACGGTTTACCGCTTCATTTGTTTCAACAGCACCTGATCTATATGCTCAGAGATCTAACCACCTCGTGTCAACGACGGGTTCTGCACGAACTGTCTAGTCGTCCTGCAATTGAAGATTTTCTTGTGAATGTTTTATCAATAAATGATGCAGATTGGATGCTTTCGTGTACTCCGAATAAGTCTATCTTATTTGCGAAATACCTTTTTGCATTTTCCTAGTAAGCGGCAACTCAAAAAAAAAAGATTATTCTGGAAATGTGAGGCCGCGTTTAGACTTGCCATGTGCCAACGCCGTGCCGCGCCCACGTGGACGCTCCTAATTGATCGATGGATGGCATCTCGGCGCTGACACGGGCAACCCTGGGCGTAGTGTACTTCAGAAAGTACTGCTTGTCTACTGAGGTACAAATCTATCATCAGAATAACTTTACCGCAATAAATAAGTAATGTGATTGATTAGTAAACGTTAGCATACAAAAAGGAAAACGAAGCAAATAATATGATGGCATAAATTTCACCTGCAGCAGAAATTATGACTAAATTAAAAAAGAATGCATGGAATAGAGAGGGAGCACCTAATGGTTCTGTGAACCAGTAAGATCGATGGCTTATTCAAACGTGGATTGCAAAACCAAATAGATTATTAGAGTTTGAACAAACAAATACTTGAAGGAAGACGTAAAGCATAAAAATATGTGCAACAAGGAATTGATGAGAAACTCGTAAATCTGCATAGAAAGACACTTTGTGATCGAATCAACTAAATATTCCTCAGAGTGGTGGTTCCTTGAGTAAACGCCTCTTCTCGGCTGCATTGTTTTTGGATTCATCCGCCTCATCCGAGTTTGTGGTAGCTGTATCCGTGGGTTCTAGAATCATAGAAAAATGGCTAAACTTTATTTTGATACAAACGTTTATGTGTACCGGGTTCCATCATCAGCGCAAATTCTTCCGACGATCGACTTTCCCGACCATGTTTCAAGCCAGAAATCTTCATCCGATAACTGAATAAATAAATGAACAATAAATAGTGAGTCGCATAAGGCTATGATAGAATTTTTTTAAACATATTTTTGGGGTCTTTTACTTTCAGAGGTTTTTGGATCTCCATTGACCACGATGGGAAAGCGATCCGAGAAATTTTGGGGTCGGGGGGGGGGGGGGGCTCAGAACTTTTTTGAATGAATTGTATGGCCTTAGCTAGGCTCTCCAACACCAAAATTCTCGTGAGACTATGACCGTTCGCGAAAAAAATTTTTTATACAAAGTTTTATATACATATATATATTAATTTGATTTTCAAAGGTCTCATATATCTTGTTTGATAAAAACAAGTCCCTTGAAGTTTTTTAACTGGTATAGGTCACTTTTACAATTTCAACCTTTTCTCGGCGGCTGCGGGGGGGGGGCACTTAAATTTGTGATTAATTCAAAAAAGGTTTGTTTTTGAAGTTGATATGCACTCACCGAACGACTAATAAGCTTTATCAAGTTGAAAAAATGTGGCTCGCTAGTCAAAAGAAAAAGTTTGCTTATTTTGTGAATTTTGACTGTAACCACAAAAATTGGTAGTTGTAAAGCTAAGATTTTGTTCGGGAAGTTACATTTTACAGGGTGTCCCAAAAGTCTTGTAGCCTAATTTTGCACTGCTTTAACTCAACAATCACTGGTGATTTTGGTCTCAAATTTATACCACAGAATCCTCCAATCATTCTTCGTAAACTACATCCTTGAAGGTAAAAAATGATTTTCATGTTTGACTGAAAAAAATAAAATTATCAAACCATTTCTAACTCAAAACGCAAAAAGCTATTTCATAAAAGTTTGAAAATTTATTCCGCTACTGCAAAAATTTAGCACACCGCGGTGCAAATTTATATCCACAATATAGAGGAGGCTTTGCACTACTATCACTATAATGGCTGCATTTAAAAATATATTTCGTCAAGAGAGGCGAGAAAAAACCTGGAAATTTTCAATGCGTGCCACTGCAACTATGTTTTTGGAATTAGTTTCAAATCTGTAGAATTGCAGCAGTCACTGAATTTGGAGTAATATCCTCTTCGCATGTTTTCTAGAAGGGAATACAATGCAATACGGATGACGAACTTGGTTTTGAAACACACTGTAGCCGATTTTCTATTTTCATTTTCCGCAAATGTGTCCAAAACTCCACCATGAGATCTACACGTGCCTGCATTCAAATTTCCGTAATTTCACATAAAACTCACAAATTTTTCTAATCATGGTATGATGTAGCTGAAAGCTTGCTCTATCATACAGCACATTTTCTAAGCGATAGGATTTATTTTCATGAAAAATTGGGACAAAATTGATGATGACTGCCTGCGTGCCTCGGCAGTGGTGATCGCCAACAGTTTGAAGGTTTCCGTTATCAAGGAAAGATGCTACCGCGAAATTCGAATGCTGTGATGTATTTGCTACTTTTTGAATAATGTGTACACCAAATTTTATATCCCTATGTTGTTCCGTTCTGTTTTTATCAGAAAAAATGCTAGGCTACAAAACAAAGAGATAAGTCCACAATGAGAAGCATTATTCCAAGAATTCCAAAATATCCGAAAGGTAACTACTGTTTTTTACACGACCGGTTTCGGGGCTAAGAACTAGACCGGTAGTGTAGCTTTCTTGGTGCCCCATACACCCTATACAAGACTTTTGGGACATCCTGTATATAATGTCAGCAAGATTGTTCTCCTTTGACAATGAGAGACCTCTCAAAACATCTTGCTACATTTCAAACTTCTGTCCAACGAAATTCACACTCCCCGCTCCACCTCTCCGTTCCTGACGTCATTGAAAGACCTACCCGTCATAGTTTCTAGATATTCTCACCTGACGTTTCTATCAAGCGGGAAATGCTGAATAACAAGTGTTTCTTGAGTTTCCGTTACGTTCACTGCTTCGTACTTCCAGTACTGCTCACTGAATTCCGGCCTTACATAAATGACATAGTCCTATAACAATGGAATAACTTGGATTTGGCCAATTCTAAACCCTTTCGGTTACCTGGTAAGCGTGTTTGATAGGTATATGTACAATGAGTGATGTGTTTTGTAGATAAGCCGTCACATTCTGTGGAGCTGGAAGTTCTTCGACGACATTGATGTAAGTGTCGAACCATGAGACCTGGAGCAGAGATTTTGTTTGAATAATGAGAAGAAGTTTAGGCCGCGCTTAGATTTGCCCGTGTGCCGGCGCCGTGCCAGCACTGTGCCAAACCCACTGACTATCGATCAAACGCCTCGCCCTAACCGTTCTTGCACGGCGCTAGAACGGTGCTGGCACGGGCAACTTGTACGCATTCTTACCTCCGAAGCTGGACCTTCGTGACGTTCGTTCGTTGCTGAAACCTTTAGCATATAGTGCGAGTCCTCTTCCAATCCCACAGTTTCATCAATAGTGAAGCGAGTGCGATTAGCGTGTACTTGCACATATTGCCATGGTTCGTCGACAGTCTCTCCGTTTTTCTTGAAGTAGATCGTATACCCCTAGAAATACACTATAAATGTCTACCAGCTGCATTCATAATCGTCTTGCCTGCCTTTATCTCTCCATTCGGTTGCGTTGGTGGGAGCCAAGAGATGGTTACCTTCACATCTTTGGAAAGCAGAGACGTTAGTGATGGGGCATCTCGAGGCCCTAAAGCACCGATATCATAATTCAATAGATTTCTCTTAAGGCTATGTCCAGAGTAGCCTATAGCGCCGTGCCGATATCGATCGATCATTGCGACGCGGTCCATGTGGCTGGCACGACGCTAGCACGGGTGGCACAGAGTGGAAAGCGGGCAACTCCGGACGCTGCCTGAATAAAAGCTTGAACTTACCCCCATTAGGTGTTGGGAAAGTTATTGGCTCGGACTTCGCCCCCTCGCCCCATTCATTCACGGCAGATATCTGCAGTGTCACATTCACATTGTAAGGAATTTCAGGTATTCGAACAGGAGGTCCCGCTACCCGTTCGACGAAGTTGGAAAGGTAAAGAATGTATGACTGAAAAGCTCCATTAGTACGTAAAAAGATTTCAGACGCTTAGCTACCGCATTTCCATTCGGATAAAGGACTTTGTCCCAATTTATGAGCAGGCTGTCGTTTTCGTCAAAGCTCCAAGTGATATTATGCGGAGCGTCTCCTGGTTCTGAAGCAAGCATCTTATAGACCGGACGATATATAAGGAGAGAAGAAGTTCGTAGATCAGTGCTAATTTAAGCGCTATTCTTTTTTTTTGGGGGGGGGGGGGTGAGAGGGAATGGGAGGCGATGGGATTTTTTTTCCCGACTGAGAGCGTCATTCATGCTCTCCGAACGATTTTTGGAGCATTTTTTTTCGAAGTTCGATATTTTCGAAATAATGATAGTTGCGAAAGTTACGTCTTCGACACTTTTTTGCACAGCTAACTCAAATTTTTATATATAGAAATTTCGGTTATTCAACGACCTCAGTATCAAATGACAAAGTTGAAAATTGAAAAAGACTTTCATATCCTCTAAGAAGGACCTTGGGCGTGCTGAGAAAAAGCTCGAGTAATCAAAATTAGCAACAAGAACAGAGACGCGCAAGATTTTAGATACTCTTATCAGTTTTTTTCCACAATATCCTATTTCGCCATTGTGGTGCACGATTTGCTAGCAACGTCCTCCCAAATTGATTCGAGTTTTTGATGTTGTATAATAACGGGCCCCTAACCAAGTTATTGTTCACGTCCCTCTGCGAAAGATTCCAAAGCAGAAAACCGCTTAAGGGAGAAGCGATCACGCCCGCCCATCAACCTGGGTTATTCGAAGATAAGAAGTCGAGATTTGGGCTCCAATGTATCCAAAATTGTCATAGGTCCACCTTTCACCTTTTACCTTGAAGCGCAATTTTCGACTTGCTAACTTCAGATCACCCACGTTGACAGGCGAAGCCAGCATGGTCGCTTCTACCTTTGCGATTTTTTCGCTCTGGAAATTATCTTTCACAAGACTTGGGCGCCTGCTTATTAGGGGGGAGGGGCACTATTATACAGCATCAAAGTCACATCATCCTCAATTTGGGTGGTGCCTCTAGCAGTCCGGAGTGCATATGAGTATACTTTTTGGCGATTTCAAACAATGTTCTTGAAAAACAGCTTATTTGGTGCTTGAAAGGTTTAAGGGATATGATATCAAACGATAGGGAAAACGTTGAAATCAAGCATCTTGAGTTCACTGCTCATTCGAGAGAATGAAGATTTTTGCGTCATGAATCGATAAAGCTATAAGAATGACTTACTTCTCACGATCAAAAGTTTGGGGATTGCTATATTTTCGTGTTTGTTCTCCGCGCGGCATACAACCGTTTGATTGGTAAACGCTTTCTTCTCGAACGAGCCACTTATGTGATAAATGTTCTCGGCAATCTGTATTTCCGTTATCTCGCTTTCGTCATCATCATCCCATGAATAAAATAATCGAGGAATAGGCTGACCCTGGAAGGTAAAAAGTTAAAGCGAGTTATCTCGAGTCGATAAAAGCAGCTCACTTGTGCGCTGCATCTCAGCGTAACGGTTTGACCTGGTTCTGCTTCGAACTCAGCTACATTTGTAGTCTCAAGGTTCATAACGATGGGCTGATCTAAAAGGAAATACCGTTTACACATGAGGAAATCAACAATCAAATCACCGACAATGTTTATCACTGTAGCACTCGACTGAGTCAGAAATGATGCCGGGTCCATCCTCAGTAGTCGCCTGCACACGAACGAGGTAGCGAGTTTCAGGGGAAGTCACAGGCAATTCGATCTCTGTCTTATCCGTCTCCATCTTAGTCCATTCAGAAAGGTCCTCAGCATTTCGCAAGGCGTAGTAGACGATGTATCTCTGTAATCTACTTATCAAGACAGTTCCAGAATACAAAACAACCAAAAATGAAAAATCTCGTATTTCGCTACTTTGTACATAGGCGTCATACAGGCTTATCACAAAAATGACACTCGTTTTGCATGAAGGACTTTTTTATGGGGTTACTGTAGATATAAGGTAGGGTCTAAATCACGAATTTGAATGAAATTTCGTCCAGGGGATAATCGACATGCTGCTCGCGGATAGCACACTCAATATCACGCACTACTCACGAATATCACACTTAACACGCGAAAACCTCTTCCTGTACGGTTACGGTGGGTGTCCATAGGGGTCAAATTCAACAGCTTTCCTAAGTTCGCCTAGGGGGGGGGGGGGTCGTTTAGCACGCCGAACCTGTATTTCAAGATAATTTAAAGGCAGCGGCTCGGAGAATTTCGTTTTCCAAATTTCCGCCTTTTCGGGGCCTTCTCGTCATGTGAAACCTATATCTGGACTTTTCAGCGCTTGAAAATGGCGAAAATGAGCTTTTTTTTCAAGCTTTCCACATCCGAATTCAGTGAGGATACGCCGAAAAAAAGCAGCGTCCCGCCTTCTCCGTTCCACGCCTCGCCCACTTCTCCACTGAAGGACTCAAAAGCTTTTGAAAAAGTTCATTTTCGCCATTTTCCTGCGCTGAAAAGCCCAGATATGGGTGTCTCATGGCGAGAAAGGCCGGGAAAGGTGAAAATCTGGAAAACGAAATTCTGCCGAGCCGCTGCCTTTAAGCACGGTAGCACATTTTACTCGGGTTACGGAAGGTATACTGTAATTGGGTCGAAGTCCAAAACTTGCTCATTCCCTAGAGGAGCTTTCAGGCAAGCTGCTTACGAATATCATGCATGCTCACTACAAGAACGCCTTGTCGTGGAGTTTCGGTAATTTTCAGCGTAGAGTAGACATTTTTCGCCTTTTGTCCGAGTGAGATCCCAAAAAGTTCACGTAAATTCTATAATGAGGAATGAGCACGATATTATGATCAAACGTCAGATAGTCCCGTACACGAAGTTTTAGGCAGATTTATGGTTTTGACCCCATACCATATGCCCACCGTCGAGGAAGAGTATGATATTCGTGAGCAGTATGTTCACGACCCCCCCCCCCTATAAATTTCATCCTCGCGATTTTGACCCCCTACGATATATCTAGCGTCACCCTCAAAATTTTTCATGCGCGAGCATCGTTTTCGTCAGCGTCATCTCAATAAAAAAAAAGTTGCAAAGTTTTGGCGAAATCCGAGATTTTTCAAGTTTGGGCTGTGCAATCTTGAATAGCGCTCGTGTTTGGGGAAATAATTCATTTGTGGTTTCATTTACGGATATGAAGTAACTGTTCAAGAATTCGTGAGAAACCAAAAATTTATCTCTTCTACGACACAAGGTGGCAACGTGGCCCTCATTTCAAAATATTTTGTGCTTGCCTACCTAACAAATTTACACTTCCAATGTAGAAAAATTACGGTAATTTTTGGGTATTTTCGTAGTTTGTGTGAGAATGATAACAAAAGTTTGTAGGCTTAATCTGAGAATAACATGAAAGCCTTAGAATTTGGAACTACACTTTTGAATAGTTGGGGATACTATAACGGATGGTCGATGTAGTAATCTTGCTCTGCCGACAATAACTGCGCAAAAAAATAGACGAAAGGCTCAATCTAAGAATTTGCGTTCTTTGAACATTTTATGCAAACACTGTGTAGGCTTGCTGTATTAGCCACACGCCATAGTTTATCCACTTCGGCTTGATCCACTTCAACCACTTCGCTATTGGTCAGTCCAGATATTGACCAGCCGCGAAGTGGATTAAGTGGATCGAGCGGATCGTATGGCGTGTGCCTTGATCGTGACGTACTATATACTATAATCAAACAAGCAAGACATGCTCTTCGCCTCACTTCTTCCTTTCCTTCTCCCTATCTTCTTTTCTACACCATTGCGAAGGCACATTACCTTTACCTTACAATCAGTCACTTACCGTAATCACACCATTCGGAATCTCTGGTTCCTGCCAGGAGACATTTATCTGGTTTCTCCAACCCACAGCTTGTACATTTGTTGGAGCGCTGCCTGGACCCATCACACGAACTTGAATCTGTGCTGTCGCATTACCGTCTTCGTTGGTGGCAACGCAGACGGCGATGCCAGATTCGCGTACGCTATTTCTCGTCAGAGTGGAACTGAAGCGATCGGTTCAGAAATCATTAACTTCCGGAAGTCAATGGTAACGAACTAACACTGAACTCCTTTCCGACTGGTTTTCTTGTGATTTCCAACCCTCTTTACCAGACTCTATTAGTGCTTCGTTCCAGAACCAAGTGATCTCCGGCGGTGGGTAACCCTCGGCGCGGCATACGATGGTAAGTGTGTCGAAGAGGTTCGGTTCCCGCTCAATCACAGGGGCACCTTCAATTGCGGCTCTGGTTCTGAGTCCTAAACTATAGAGCTGTTCGAGCCAGGTGTGAGTAACGACACCACGTCATAGGAAGTCCTAATTTTGAGGTCAAACTGCTTACTCCCATCTCCTGTTCGAAACCATCTCGGTTTCGACGCTTGCACAAATCTTGTTGGATTATCTAACGAAGCTGTGATTTTCACCCAATACATACTGCTTCGGGCCAATCGCGTACCGTCTATGGTCATTGAAACCTGCAAGACAAGTCTGAAGAAAGAAACTTTAATACCAAGTTACCTGGGAATTCATATCATCAATGGAAGTGCTGCTGGCGTTGACTAAATGCCAGTTAGCGTTCAAGATGCTGTCAGATTGTGCCATCTCAAGCTTATAGCGCTACATAAAATTTGATTAATCTTGAACAAAAACAAAAAATTCTTTACCCCTATAGCATTTGAATGATCATCCGGATCTCTCACTGCAGAAAAGGTAATTGTCACTGTGTTATCTTCGGCTACACTGGTTCTGATATCCGTAGGAATGGGCAGTTCTAAAATGTCTTGCTGTATAGCATCACTACTTCAGAAAATGGAGCATTGTTGCAGAAATCCCGACTTACCGGAATGTGCTGTTTCGAATTCTTTTGTTTCGCTTACAGGCCCTTCTGCGACGTCATTTTTCGCACTGACCCGTACTCGATAGAAGGTTTTTGGTTTGAGCCCGACTTGATGATCGAATTTGAAGCTAAACCTAATTTTAAAAGCGAACTCCAGGTACCATTATTTTGCGGTATACTTTTTTTTCGTCTAAGTATCTCAACTATCTTTTGCAGCACATACAAAGGCGTTAATGACTTTACCCCAAGAAAAACTTCAAAAAAGTGAGCAAAATGGAGAAATGCTAGGTGAGGTGAGGATGAATGTGAAATTGAAAAATGACTGATTTAGGTCGAAATCCACAAGTATATATGGTATAAATCCACATCCATCCATCGGTATCCGCAGGTATAAATCCACAGGTTCATATGCCTCCCAAAGGATCTCATTGTTAGGAACTTTTCTGTTTTCAGAAATATTTCGGATGGTAAAATTCATTTTGGGTTCTGTGGATTTTTGGAGTTTCGATTAAAGTTAGATCGCAAGAAGAAGTCACATAATAACTGTTATGCAGTACTACTATCAATTTAAATCCTGGTGGAAGCCTATCGCAGGTCAGTCAGTTGATCTTCGGATTCCAAAAATTCACCAGTTTTCATTCTTTTTAAAGTTAATCATTTTTGAAGATGAAGAGAGTATTATGGTAATCAACTGTCAAAATATGATGCGCACCTTTCTTTATCGCCAGGCACTTCTACTGTTTGCCATTCATGATAATCTTCGTTGGAAATTCCCAGATCTCTTGTGAAGTAGATCACGTAATTCTGAACATTGAATGCTTAGTAAAAGCCGAGCGCATGATGTTTGATACCGTATTCACTAACTAAAATCTCCGTCGTTGAGTTTGGTCTGTTCCATCGTAGTACTGCAATATTAGCTTCGTTTATTTCTACACTAACAGCAGTTGGAGGATTTTCCGGGCCTCAAAATTTCGAGAAAATTAGCGCCATTCTTCTACTGAGGAAGATAATACCTCCATTAGGAGTTTTGAATTGAATAGGCTCTGACAGGGGTCCTGATCCAGCCTGGTTTATTGCTCGGATCCTCACATAGTAGTCAGACGATGGCTTCAACTGTTCCGTTGGTAGGGATAACCTGAATTTCAGTGGCGTTCTGTGTATTTGTTGGGTTATCGTCTACCTTGTGGAAACTAATGACTGATCTTTGGCAGTTGTCAAGTATTTCTGCCAATACTCCTCGTCATCGTCTACGTCTTCATTCAAAAGGAGTTCGTAGGACTATAAATCGAGTAAAAATGAGACAGGTGATTTTTACTGTAGGGGTACTGACTTCAATTTTCAGATTCGGAAATTTGGGAGCTTTCCAAACGATGATGATATCACGAGCGTCAATGGAGAGCACTTCAATGTCGTAGGGAGCATCTCCGGGTTCTGAAAGATGATTTTGAAAAAAAATCTCGAGCAATTCTTATGCTTTTGCTTACTTTTCACAGTGAATGTCAACGACGACGAGTTCGAACCAGCCGTATTTTTTGCTTTGCAGTGCAGCACCTTTGTCGATAAAGTTGTAAATTCTACATTCCCAACCACATTATCGCGTTCAACTGTAGTTTCGAGTTGTCGCCAGACGTCATCCTAAATTGATCATTTCTCAGTTGAGTAGCACACTCGAAAGAGCTTCAAACCTCTTTGTAAGGATCTTCATTTTCTTCGGTAACTACATAAAATAATTTAGGTCGAGGTTTTCCTTTAGCGCTGCATCGGGCTTTGATCTGCAACTTTAGACTCAAATGAAGTAGCCAAATCAAGTAAATTCTATACCTTTTCGCCGGGCTCAGCTACAAGGTATTCTCTACCAGAAGGACTTTCATACTGAAGCGTTACAGAAATTGGAATGGCTGGAAAGGGTAACGATCACATACAGAAAAAGTTTATACCTTTAATATGTTGAATTATCGCTTTCAATGAAAACCAAAATGGCGAAAAAGCAGGAACAAGACTACTGGACAACTTACTATCTTTTTCAATGGCTACTATATCTGAAATAACACCGGGACCACTATCAGCAGCTGCTTGTAGTCGTACATAGAATGCATCTTCAGATTCGGACAAGACCCTGAGAGAACGGAGATAGGAAAAAAAAGTAAAAGGAAAAGAAATCGTTACTTCGATAGATAAATGTTACTTCAATAGAATTTTGGGGGTTATTTTGGCTTGTGCGTCACTTCCTTCCCTCTTTTTCATGGATGAACCAAAAGGAAATAGTGTACTAGAATTCAGTCTTTTGTCAATTATCACGCTCAGTTAGAAGCTTTGCAGTGATGTAAATGGAAAGAATGTCCAGCGATTTCAAAGCAAGGTGCAGACAAAGACTAGAACGGAAGATGGTTTTTGACAAGTGGTGCAGACGTCGATAAAAGTTATTTACCTCAAAACTAATTAAAATTCCGCAAATTCCGTATTACCGTAAAACTTTTAAAAATGATAATGATCATTAGAAGAAAACGGCTAGTTCGTGTTTGGAGTATTCACTGTGACCATCGAGGATTTACATCTATGACAAGAATCAATATCTAAGCAACCACAAACTAAGAAAAATAATAAAATATTTTATCAGTACATGCTTACCGTACGCTTCTTTCTGTGCCATCCAGCACTAGCTTTTGCCAATCTGCTAATGGATATTCTTTGTTGAAACTGTGGTAGATCACGTATTTCTGAATGAAACAAAAAATGCTGTCAGTTAAATCAACACTGATTAACTGACAGTGATATTTCCATTGGGCAATGACGGAGGTTGCCAGGTGACTGTGTAACCTCCCCGTTCACTTTGCAAAGTCACTGCAGTCGGTGGACTTCCAGGGCCACGAATGCGAACTGCAACTGACTCGGACACTTGCCCTGCTGCATTCGTTGCACGGCAAGTCAGCTCATCGTTGCGAGTTCTGAAAGTCCAACATTCTCACCTTATTGAATAGTTCAAGTTATATGAAAAGTGAACCTTGATTTCACTCGAATAGTGGATGTGATTCTCTCATTGTCGGTTTCTGTTGTGACTGTGTAAAAAGAATGATCATGCGGCAGTGGATTGCCTAAAGAAAGGTTGCGGGAGAAGAATCAAGAATAACAGATTCGTCAGGTAGATCCTTTGAGTTTTCAATCTCTTGGACAAGGGTACAGCTGTTCTAAAGTCTTTTTCTGCCTAATCAAGTCATTTCTTACTTGTAAAATACAAGCTCATTCCATTAGTCAAGAAAATTTTTCTACTGCATTCTCAAAAAATTTCAGTTTATTTTAAACCTAACAACGCGAGCTATTTAAATAGAGATTTTATCGGAAATGATGCTCGTGACTTAGCAAAGATGGGCATTAAAGTTGACGTAAGCAGTTCCATTTTCACTCGTGTCGTAATGATTTATTCATGACTGTGGAGGTCACGGAAATCTTTGCAGGATGAAAAAGATGAGGGGGGGGGGGGCTCGATGAATACTTGAAAACTTCTGACTGCTCTTCAGGAAGTTTGTGGTGTGCTTGCTAAACTTTTTGTAGCTCGCAGTCACGCTCAAGAAAACTGTTTTTTGACAAAACTGATTTTATTAGTTAATAGCTACAATCAATCATTACAAATGAAAATTATACAATTTTATAGTTTTCGTAGACTACTTTAACAAATTGCGCGCCTCATCCCAAATAGGTGCCCTAATCTCTTATTCCCTCCCCCCTCCGACTTCAGTCGCTATTGCTTTAGGAAATTAAATGTAAGGCCTCTCATACAAAGAAACTGTTACTTTAAAGATTTTAAAATGAGTCATAATTCTGAATCTTACCGTCAACAAGCCACTCAACACTTGTAGGAGGACTTGCCACGACGTCGCATTTTACTTCAAATGGCTCCGACACATCTGGGTCGAGTACAATTTCTTCCTGTGCATCTAACGAGACTTCAGGCAGCTGAGCTAAAAACGTATGCACACACGGTCTTAGCACGAATTCCTTCGCGTATCTCGGATTTTTTCTCAGAGATTACCAGTGCTATTCGTTGAGAAGAATACATGTCTGGAGCAAAGGCCATGAACAACGTTGCCGTTCACAAAGAGACGAGTCTCGTACGTTCTGTTTGGTAGCAGTCCAGACAGAAGCACTTCACTTGAAGAGTCCGACTCAAACTCAAGACTTATCCAGGAGGGATCGAAACTCGAGACATCACGGTACTCGACTGTATAGTTCTGCAATAAGAATTAGGTTTCATTGTGCTCACAGTCAACTGAAGAAAATACCGCTATCACATCGGCATCCTCGGCGGGAATAAATTGAACGATGGCACTTCCATTTGCCAATACCTTCACGGACTGGATAACAGGTGACTTGGCCGCTTCAATGGAATAAATTGTCTGAATACGGAAGCTACACTGCCTACCAGCTTCTCTGGTATTCACAAGCACAAGCTTTGAAGGAGAACTCTCAACTTGGTTAATCAAAGCAGTTGCTCGCAAGCGATAGACAGTAGCCGGTCTGATGTCGTAGTGGTGAGCTAGAAAATTATTTTAGGAGAAATTCACACCTTATTCATACAAATCACGATTTTTGTGCACTTGCCATGTCAATGTCATCGAAAGACGAGAAGAAAAAATAAAGAAGGATGGGCAACAATAATTCATTCCAAATGCAAACTTTAGACCTTTACTATTGAGTATAGGTTGAATTGGAATTGCATTCTAACTTGATTAATGGCCATAATGTCATCACTGTTGTTAGCTCCTGATTTTATTTCTTTTCATAATGGTCCTTAGCTTATAATTGAGGCTCGGTCCTAAGAAGTCAAAATCTCGTCCTAGTGTGCTTTGTCATGCCCCCTCCCCCTCCCCCCCCCCCCCCAAACATACAGCTTTCGGAGTGCGAAAAAAAAATCATCTCATTCACAAAGCCGTTTGTACTCTCATAACTCAATGACGAAGCGCTAAGGCCGTCTACCTTTTTGTTTGTCTGTATGTATATTCCTCTCTCACGAAAATCATATAGTTAGTTGCAGTCAAAGTAACTACTTTGCATAACATAAGGTGTCATTTAAGTCCACCATGCACAAGAGCGAGTCGATACGTGGATCCTCTAGAAAATGCAGGTCAAAAGGATCCGCGCAGCCTTTGGCCAGCAAAAAATGGGTCAGCACTTGGACTTATTGCATGATCACAACTTCGTTTGACGAATAAACAAGCAAGCTGTGAACGTTAGCTCAAAGTGTTGTCGATAAGTCTATTTTTCCAATAACGCAGCCAAAAAAGGAAGAATTGCGTAAATCTCGATTTCTCAAGGTTTCACATAAGCGGTAGAGATATTGTGGAGGGGTGTAACCTTTGATTCAACTGGCTTGGCGGCTGGAAGGCGGGGCTTCGTGACTTAATTGAAGCTAGGTGGTGATCAGAGAGCACGCGCGCCGGAGAGACGCAGACTGTGCAACGGGATCGAGTGGCCTTAATTAGGTCACAAAGCCCCGCCTTCCAGCCGCCAAGACAGTTGGATCAAAGTTTACATAGACCCGGCAAGCATTGTTTCTATGGTGACTTCATGCCGAAGCCAGTAACTGATTTAAATTGCAATTGTTCTTCTGCAGAAGCGTTTCTTTGCCCAAGCCGATCTTGCCTGATAAATGTATGTATACTTTTCTACAATTCATCCATGGTGTTCAACATTGTGCGAAGCAGGGATGGATGACATACTGGTGCCTATATGATTATTTACGTCCTTTTGACTCATTATAACATCCATGGATCCTTAATTAACATTAAATTATCAAACTTCTCAAGATAAACTGTTAACAGATGTGATCTTGAGAATCAGTCAGTAGGAATGAATAGTCGCTTTTTCCCCAGCTCATGCTCATGACGCTGCTAGTGCCACTTAATCAAAGTGACGCATGTGACTTGACCGATGGGAACGAACAACAGCAGCTACGATCAGGCGTGATAGTGACTAATCAGCGGTTTCTTCGCGGTCAACGCAATGAAGTACACATTGCAATAAATCTCGATATGCGTGAGATGAGTAACGTATTAGACTTCCCCCCTCCCCTCCCCCCTTCCGCAATGCTGTAAATCGCGAAAATTCACGATATACACGTGTATTAGTCATTTTTCCGTGAGAAACTTCATCAGATTTAAAGAATATTGAACAACTTACCATCCAGTCTGATGCAGTACTGCGGTTCGGACGTGAGCACTTCGACATTTTGCCACTGCTTGTACTTATCCCCAGACACTATGGAATTCCGCGTGAAATAAACTTTAAAACCCTAAAGATGAGTGTTTCGATAAGTGAGTTTATAATCAGAAACGGGATTCATAACATACGTTTTTGCAACATTTGAAGGCTTTGTTTCAATACGCTTATCAGAGATTATGTGATATAAAATGTCGCTCAAAATACTCGGAAAACATAAATGTTCTACTTCCAATACCACAAGTTCAAAAAAAAGTCATAAAGCCACAATCAAATGTAAAATCAAACTCGATGGGGGCTATTCAGGATTTTTACCGATCGAAAATCAAGAGAATAAGATTTGAATAATATTATTATTCGAGCTGTGTCTCCGCACATTTAGATAGATGTTCTTTTTTTGACTAATTTCTTTCGTAAGGTATTTTGCAACAAATAAGTCCAATAAAACCAAAAATTACAATTTTTCAAATAATCCTGTGCCAAGATTATAAACCAGCATGATAGCATACTAAAAAGAGAAAAGAATGCACTTCAAGAATGCAATCTACATTTTTGCTCATTTTCACCTTTCTCACCGATAAAAACATTTTTGAGCTTCTAAGACATTCAGGGTAAGCCAGTAGTCAGGCACGAAAATTATTTTGTATGAATTATTTTTTTTCTCAAAAATCTTACGAAAGTTTCTAAGTGTAAAAACAAGTGTAATAAGGCACATTTGTGCAGCTTCATACCTAGATCAACATTGATGGAAATCCTTGAAAATTACTAGAAATATTGAGGAAAATTTTTCAAGTGGGAACAGATTAGATTATTCCTTTGACAGCTCTGAAGGTCAAGGCTGTAACATTTTCTCGGAGACAGAAATGCTTAATAATTTACAGGAAGTCTCATATAGTATAGATGTGTGGAAAGTTGTTCAAACGATTCAAATTCAACTCTAATTTGATCACACTTTCTTCCCGAAAGATTGGAAGGAGGAAATTTTACCGTGATTGCTGATGGAGAGTGCAGAGATGAGTTCGCCTTTACACAAACATCGATAGAAAGCGACGGGTCAACCGTGGCATTTACTAAAACCGCAGGTAACTCATTGTCTGGAACAAATTTTTTGAATGTCTAAAAAATTTGAGAGACTCAAAGGTTTTGAGCAGTAAATTTACCTGCATTGATCTGCCGTATGCCTAATATGGCGATGATCGCCAGCATCCATCGGAAATCCAACATTTATGAAATCCCCAACGAGAGCGGCGATTGCTCAGGAACGCAGAAAGAAACGCTGATTTTCTCAAAGAGTTTTGTAGCAGGAGTATCGATTGAGGCGTTGTCTGATTATTACAACAAGCGATTTGCATACAGCCGCTGTCAGGAACCTCATCCTCAACTCACCACACTTGAGATCTGACAACAGTGACAGCACGAGGAACTGAGGTGTCAGGTAATGACTGAAAAGAGCGAGAGTGACGGAGCGAGCTTTGAAGACAAGGGGCGGATCTGGGCGATCACCTGCTCCTCACATGTTTCAGCGATGTTTTCAGGCCCTCAGCCTCTGCTCCTAGCGAACTTGTGCTCTTGTTGAAGTTCACTTGGCAGATATTCATACAGAAATGTGATTGTAACGTAAGAGAACCCTAGGTAGCAGAAAGAATGTGAAATTAATCCTCGACTTTTCAAGTAGGGTTTGCAGTAGAAAGAATGTCAAGGGCCACTGACTAGAAAAAAAACGTTTACAAAGCTTTATCCAGATTTTGAGCTTACTTACTTAGATCGTGACGTGCGGGCCCCAGTACAGAAGTTGCCATTGTATTTCATTACTCTACCAGTTAGACTTTGAGCTAATCGAGTTGAATGAGAGCGAATAGCAAAATGGTTGATAGCGTCCAGTAAGATACGGATACCTGGATTCTCCATGTGGAAATGAAGGCCTTAGCCGTGCAAACGGTAGATCACATAGCTCATACGTAGAAAAATTTTGACGCCAAGGGATTTGGTTTGGAATCCTTAGCCACACCGAAAAATTACACGAGTTGCCGCTTTTGCAAAAACTTCCCCCTCCACCCCTCTTCATTATTTCTCATACTAACGGCCTAGGTACCTAAATTTATTCGCAACTGTCTGCACTTAATCCTTTGACAATGACGGAAGTAAAAAACCAACTTTTGAAGCACCGATTTCTGGTGACTGTCGTCAGTACATTCGATTAATTTTTGTGCGATACTGATATTGACAAGGAAGTCAAAACTTGTGAAGTTGCTTTTTGAAAAATCATTCATCTTCAAAGTCTAGGAAAAAAAGAATATTACTTCAAAATTCTTGGAATACTGGCGTCGGTCATCGGTGACGCACACCTTCGTCAGTTTTCCAAAAAATGATGCACATGCTGGGATCAACTCAGACAGTCGAAGGGATACCTCCGGCGTGCAAATGACGCGAGTCTGCCACTTCGCGCTGTGGAGCGCTCCGGAGCCCTGCCATTTCACGCATTTTGCTGCTCCGGGGCTCTCCCAAAACTGGCACACCTCCAGAGCAGAAATTTGCGCGTCCCGGAGAGGGGTGCCATTCGTCTGCTTGTGACGTCACCGTGAACGAGTGGACCCCTCTCCGGGACGCGCAAATCTCTGCTCCGGAGGTGCGCCAATTTTGGGAGAGCCCCGGAGCAGCAAAATGCGTGAAATGGCAGGGCTCCGGAGCGCTCCTCAGCGCGAAGTGGCAGACTCGCGCCATTTGCCCGCGAGGTATCCCCTCGACTGTCTGAGAAGATCAAAACTCGCGCATGGCTCAAACAAACTCTCCCTACGGGGAATATAAATTGCCACACAACCCTTCTCTCTCCCACCCCCTCATCCCACCATCGTCCTTCTTTGGGCCATCGTGGGAGCTTGCATGCGTTCGAAGGCCTCTCCAAATATCACGTAATCCACTCGCCTCAGAAAGTAGCGAAGTCTTTTTCCCTTCAACCCTTCACATCCCTCAATATTTTTTGAAGAATGAGAATACTATCTAACGGATTGGATTCGTATAGTGTTAGTCTATGTCTTTGTTTTATGTTATCTGGCTCACTGTTCGTTCACATGTTCACATGTTCCCCCAAAAAATCTTCTCGGACAATTTACTGCGATCACAAGCCAATAATATTTTTCAGGTTGAAAGTGCCATAAGCTCAACAACGTAATACCTCGGCACTCGCGTAGATGCGATAAAGTCAAATTTCTCGAAAACTCTCTGTGTTAGTCCCGTTTTACTAATAACATCCAACTCTGAAATGCCGTCAAAATCAGCTTTCGGTTTTGTCGTTTTCTTCATTTACGATGAATATGTCGAACTAAAAGATGTTTATTCCGTTAAGATTCGGTCCTTGAAGAACAAATCCTTCAGAAACTTCATTCAATTCTTATTCAGAAAAATAAAAAAAAAATTGCTTTTAGCTCAGGCAAACTAAAGCAATAAATAGAAATTAAATGAAAGGCTCATCATAAATGCAGTTGACTACAACAGGACCTAGATAGTTGACTAAACTATAGCATAAGAACGGCTAGCTTGAGAATAAGCGCTGACCAATAAGGCGTCAAAACACATCTTCAACCCATAAAAGTTATCACAGAAGGGAGTGCCGTGGAATCATAAATGCTCAAATGAATGGACTAAAGACGAGCGGAATCATGGTTTTTGATGAACCAGTCGACAGATTCCTTGACAGCTTGCTCAAAGGGAGTAAATTTGAAGTCGGGTAGATAACGGCGAAGCTTGGCGTTTGAGGCAGTTTTCTTCAGCTGACCGTCTGCTTTCGAGGAGTCGAACTTCACTTCTCCCTGAATACAGCAAAAGTTCAATTTATCAACAACTGCAAGACATTTTCCAGGCTCCCGCGGAGGGCAAGTCGCAGATCCCGATCACATTTGGATTCTGAACTACCGCAGCCGCCACTATCATACTCATAAACCGCAAGTGAAATTATATGGCAACCTAGAGTGGAATTAAGAAGCCCACTCGCTTCGCTCCAAGCACACTCTCGGAATAGTCTGCCATGGCACATCAAAAGAGTGCTGGGCCTTGGGAAGCTTAGCTTAATGTGGCCCCATACTCTGACATTCGGTGCGTGCGGCGCGCGCTTGTTAATGGCCAGCAGTGCGGCCCGCGCGCCTTGTATCCTTAGCGTACGGCCCGCGCGCGATACATTCTCCCCGTGCCGCCCGCGCGCCTCCAATTCTCACACGCTATAGGCGTAATGGGTACCCGCGTGAGGTACGACGCTGTAATTAGGCTGCTCCATCACTTGTGGAGTTGACTTACACTTGTGGAGCTTGTGGAGATATCATTTCTTGGCGATTTAAATAATCGCAGGAACATAAGAAGTTTATTGCTTCTACGGAGGGAATTTTTAGATTATATGAATTCAAATTCAAATTTTCGAATTTTTTTGAATTTGGATTTTTTTGGACTGTAAAGGTGAGAATGCTCACGGCACGACGAAAGAAGAAAAAGAAGATCTATGAAAGACTTATTTTCTAGTAGCTTGCGGACGAAGCGCTTTCGATACCGTGCGGCCCGCGCGCATTGACCGTTCGGCCCACGCGCATTTACCGTTCGGCCCGCGCGCACGGAGCGTTCGGTCCCCTCGCACTACAAGGCACCGCACGGAACGAATGTCAGAGTAGTTGGTCTTTATCTGCATATTCAAGAACTACCCGCTTTATTTTAAGCTCCTGCAAGACGAAGGCGGTCGGTTCGATGTGCGACATGGCTGTGACGAAGCCCCGTGTCGCAGCCGCGTTGCACATTGAACCAGCCGCCTTGTCTTGCAGGAGCTTATAGATGTTTTATTGCGCGTAATCCAGGTCTTACTAGGATCGAATTCAGATCGGTCCCGGGTTAGCTGTGATACCAACATGAAACACCATAGAAGCTGGATAGATGCCTAATCTACATTCCATTTGCCTGTTAGAGGCAGCGTCCATGCGATTCTCGACTTTCATTTTTTTACGTTATTCAGACCTTCTCATGGTGCTGATTCCAAATATGACACTCGAGAAGCGTGAACCCCTCAAAAAAAGCACCTTTTTGGGGCTATTTTTGAGAAACCGGACGAGTGCTTCCGATGCTCTCTTGTCGAAAGCAAGCTTTAACAGGTAAACATGTGTTCGATTGTGTTTGCCATGTAAAAACGCGCCAAGGACTGAGGAGATCTCGTCCGAGGGGGGGGGGGGCGTGCGAGGAAGTGGGCGTGGCCCTCGCGGCTCAGACATCTGCCCAAACGCTGCCTTTACAGGCAGCGTCCAGTCAAGTCTGGACACATGGGGATCTCAAGTGGATAGTAATTTTGGGGCCCTAACTAAACCACTGCCCAACCGGCAGCTCAGGTAGTGCTCTAACGGCTGAGATATGTCCTTCGAAATTGGACCCCGCGATCGTATTTTGCATGGATTCATGGCGCAAAAGCGTGGGTACTGGCGCGATATTGCCATGAACCCATGCAAATACGATCGCGGGGTCCAGTTTTGAGGGGAATGTCTCAGCCGTTACAGCACTACCTGCGCTGCCGCTTGAGGAGTGCCTTACAAGACTTAGTTAGGGCCCAAAAGTACTTTCCATGTAAAATCCCCAAAGGTCCAGATCTGCCTGGACGCTGCCTCTAAGTAGCCACATAACTCGATTATCTAGAGCGGTGTGCAGAGTGAGCGATGAAACCGCTCAAAACTTTGAAAAGGCTCAAAGACATGACAAAAATTTCAGAACAACGTTTCCAACAACAAACAGAAAACAAACAAAGAAATCCCATTATGGTCCTGTTCCTCTTTGATCATCCCGCCTGATTGTAAGACAAAACGGGGGAACAGATCAAAAAAGATGTCACCTGAAAATCAAACGCCTTAACGATTGCTTTTACAGCGTCGGCTATCGAAACTTCGTCTTCTTCAGATACCGAGAGAATTATGGGATCTACTTCCTGAGATGAAAACACATGAAAGCGCAAAGCAACAAAGATGTAAAGAATAGAAGGAGGTGAACAGAACATGAAACTCACGTCATAACTGCGAAGTACCCAGACAAAAAGTCGTGCTAAGTCAAGCGAGTATATGAACTGACGAAGAGGACGACCCGTTCCGAAAACCTAGAAAACCAAATTACTTCCAAGATATAAATATATGAGCTTCTCACCTCTAGCGGTTTCCCTTCTTTTTTCGCGATGTAGGTTTTGTGAATTAAAGCGGGAATAACATGACTAGATTGGAGATTGTAGTTGTCGTGGGGTCCAAAAACATTACAAGGGACCACAGATGTGAATCTGAACCAAAATTTTTTTTTACAAAATGAAGCTCTAATGTGGCTAAAAACTGAGATGGACGCACTTTCGACCATAATCTTGTGCATATGCCCTGTTCAAAACGTCAATCATTCTCTTAGCATAAGAGTATCCAAAGTTTGAAAAGTGAGGAGGACCCAAATGGACCTGAAATTTAACAGTTGCATAAGAAGACGAATCATCCAAAAACATTTCTTACCATTGTCTCATCAATGGGATAAGTTGTTTTATCGGGGAAGATACACGTTGACAGGCAAGAAACGCATTTGGCGACATCAAATTCGTGACACATCGCGAGCACATTATCATTTATGGCCTAAAAACTTACTAGCCAGAAAGTATGAGCCATATAGTCTTGATGGTATCGGAATCAACATGGCAAAATTAACTGAAAATCGAGCGAAAACGAACTGATTTGGAGAAGATAGGCAAGCAAATGCTCCACAAAAAAATACCGAGTTTTTCCTGAAGAATTCGAGATTATGCTTCAAATTCTGGAATAATCCTCCAACCATAGCAGCCAGATGAATCACATGGGTAGGCCTCACAGCCTCAAATAATTGCCTAAACAAAAGATTCTTGGGAGGCACTTAGATAATACACTACTATTTTGACCTAGTGGCTTGTACATCACAGAGATCACAATCTTTGCTTCCGATGAACAACCATTTCTCGTTGTCTCGTTTTTCTTCGGTGTTCACTATCTGAAAGGGACACAGTGTGTCAAGAATATTGTCTCACACGATGGTCGTGAAACATTTTTTCAGAGCAAGCTGATTGTAAGCTCAGACAATCATACCTGCTCAATTGCCTTTCCAACTAGACCTGTGCCACCGGTTACGAGAACCACCATCTGCTGAGGATCTCCAGACGGCATTTCTTAACAATACTGGAAAACAAAGACTATTGTAGAGGACCAATCGATTTCATACAAAACTAATGGCGAATAAACAAATTTCTAACCTCGGGAAATTTTTAGCGCACTGTTTCATCGATTTTATAGCACTAATTAGGAAAATCAAAAAAGCTTACAGTAATTAAACTTTGTAAGTTTTTTTCATAATGGTAAATGTAGCTTGGCCAAATGAAACATGTAAATCAACGCGAAACGCAGAAAGTTAGCAAATGAAACGAAAACCTCAAGCGATGATTCATAAAATGAAAGGCCTTACACGACGCTGCTAACAGTGATAGCCGTAAAAATGGGAGAGCTACGTGTTCAATTGTCTGAATATTGATTGGATAACACCAAGCAGCTATTGTGAAGCCATCAAAAAGTTCAGCTGGAATTACAAGCAACCGCTGCATTTCTAATTTTTATTGAAGCCACGACAAATGGATTGGTTGGGCATACAAACCCGATCTATAAAAACACACTGCCCAAACCATATAATGGTTTACAATTTAACTACAAACATCTCGGACGCATTAAAAATGAGGATACGATCAAGCGTGATAGAATTACAGTGAGGGAATTTTGGTAGCACAACACCTCAAGTGACGAATGAAGCAAAGTTTCATATCAGTTTCGGATGCTGACAAATATAATGACAATGAGAAAACATTAGCAAGTAAAATGCAGCCTATATGACTGAACAATGTGAAGATGGTCTAGGAAGGCAAAATTGGAATTTTGAGAACAAAAGCCTACTCAGGCCGTTTTTCGGCATGCTTCTTTGTGAATTCTTCTGCAGTCTTGTTGAACTTTTTGCGATCTTTGCTGAATTCCTCCGCTAAATCTGCTCGAAGCGGATGATCTGGTTCAGGTTCATGGATCAGTGCCAGCAAAGCCATCATAACTGAAAAGGATATTTGTTACTATGCCAGAAGTTGGCCGGTAATTTGTTCTTAACTTCTTCATGAGCCCCGCCCAAGAGCTAGAAAGCTTATGGAAGTGGCCTGCCAATTATTTAATGGCAATGGCAGCCGAGATTTCATGGCGCGGGGGGGGGGTAGAAAGCGAACCAAAGCGCATGTCGTTGGCCAAGCCGAAATATTCCGAAATGCTTCCCAACTTTTTTAGATCTAAAACCTCCGAAAATTATTTTTAAAAAGCGATTCTAAATTTTTAGAAACTTTCAAGAATTTCCTCAAACTATTACAGTGAAACACGTCATTTGCACTCCGTAGCTTATAAAAGTGACTAAAAAATTTCGCCTTTAATTTCGGGAAGGCTCTCCATACCCTCGCCCTCCACCGAATGCTGGGGATAAGTTTCAACGGATTTCACTGCCCTGATTGAATCCTTTGCGCTGCCCCCTGAACGATGCATATGGCGTTCCAGAATCAGATTTATCGTGCCGATTACGTCGCTCTTGAGGACACCTTCTATATGATAGCCTCAACCTTTCATTAGATTTCGTGAGGAAGACGTGCAGGAGCGGACATCGGACCAAACTTCGATAGCTTCGATAATAGCTTAGCAAGGGACTCTATCATATCACATTACTATCCGTTCAATTTTCAATATGTCAAAACTGTATTCAAGAAATGAATCTCTGGGTGGAAGAAACAGTTAAGTAGCATATTGATTTTGAAATTCGCTTGTGTGATGATTCTCCCCACCTAATCAAGAACAGACCGTAGACGAGATGAAGGCACGTCGTCATTTGGAGTTGAGTCTTGATGGAAATTATTCTACGAAAGCAGAGGTTAAAGCGTGGGCTATAGATTGCGCTTCGTGGTGATTATTGATTCTTGCCTTCAAAGCAGAAACTTATAGGTTTCCAGGGTGAACAAACTTTATGCACATGGTGATGTCTAAGGTCCAGGGCATATACACGCGATTTTAGTCGCTACGCGATCTGGCAATTTGCCAGATGCCTTCAAACCCAACACTGGGCGACTACAGAGAAATAGCGTGTACTGCTACAGAGGGATGAAGTACCTTGTCTTCTGTACAACGCGCGGGCGATTACGATCACTTATTAACTGGATTGCTGCCATTTTGCTTCGCGACTGAGATTGCGTGAACCTAACATGTAGCCCACCACAGCATTTTGAAAAATCCGGCACAGAAAAAGGATTCAAACAGTGGAACTGTTATCCTATATCCGCTTCCTATGTTCGTAAATTGAAAACTGATGTTAACTCGTGAAAACTCGTAAGACACCGCCCAATGATGCTTAAATCTTACACAAAAAATACATGAAAGAAAAGGCAGTGCTGTTTGTGCTTAAAGTCACTCTAGCTAGAGCAAGAGGGAAACATAAACCAACGTCCTCTCAAGTTGACCGCGATACTTACAAGGAAATGGCCAGAAGTCGAAGTGCCCAATTTAAGCAAAGTGCATACCATTAGGTGCAGCAGAAAACGCTGACTCTAAATCTGTCTTTCTTATCTGCGGAGCGCTTTTGTGGACGAAATTATAAGCAGTTCAAGGTCTTACTTTGCTAAAAAACTGTTCGTGTAAAGTGCAAACTTGGCCGTACAAAGCTATTCTCGGCTCAGTGTTGGACCAAAACATGCAGCTAGGTCACTTCTTATGACCCGTACTTAGAGTTGAGCTGAAGGCGCAATGATGTGCCTAATTTCACAATTCCTGTATACGATTTTTTCGCAGTAAAGCTGCTCATAACTTCAAAGGCGCTCTGCAGATATGGGCCCGATTTAAAATCAGCATTTTAGGCTGCATCGAATGACATGCAGCTTGTATGGACTGGCCTTCGACTTCTGACCATTCCTTTGTAAGTTCTAAAGGACCTCAACACGATCCTCTGATCCAGAGGTGCGATAGTGGGAGCCGATTCTCCCCCTACCTTCACTTTTGAGCTAGTACAGGGTGACCACCTTCACTTTTGGAATAAAAAATTTTTTCGCTGGACGATAAAGAAGGAAAATAAGCAAAACAAACGCAAAAAAGATTATTGAAAGCAGATATTTATGTATACGGCGGCATATATATTTAAAATAAACGTGTTCAGTAAATGGTGTATTTGGAGTAAAACTTAGCGAAACTGTACGGATTACATCAAGCAAATTTTGTTATAACGTACAGCGAAGAAAGTAGTTCGATATAGGAAGTAACGGCCGAGAACCACAATTTTGAATATTTAAACAGTGAAAAATCATGCGAAATTTCCACTGTTATACATCTGTTGTTTAGAGATGTCAGCAGTTGCGACTTCATAGGTTTTAAAGAGTAAATGGTGCTCTATCACGTAGTGAAAGAATCAAGTGGATTTGAGAGGTAGTCGTTGAAAACCAGAATTCTAAAAATTTACGCCATTTTTGCGTGTTTTTTGACAGTTGACAGTTAAACTCATATAAATCTTGAACGTGAAAGTGTGTGATGTTGCGACTTCATAGGTTTTATAGAATAAGGTTCGCCTTATCAGGATATATCTTAGCCGTCCCGATACACTGAAACACTTCCGAGATCCAGAGTCTTGAAAAAGCAGGTAAAAAAGCGCTTTTTGAATTTCAACAGCGCATAACTTTTTTAGAACTGCATGAATCATGTTGCGACTTCATAGGTTAGATTCTTCTCATCAAGAGCTTTCAGATGATATATAATATGTGGGGGTCTAGAGCCTCTTACGAATTATGCCCGTGGGGGGAGCCTTTTCATACCAAAGTCTCCCCCTAGCCCACTTTAATGTATTGGAGGGGGGAGACTTTGATATGAAAAGGCTCCCCCCACGGGCATAATTCGTAGGAGGCTCTAGACCCCCACATATTATATATCATCTGAAAGCTCTTGATGAGAAGAATCTAACCTATGAAGTCGCAACATGATTCATGCAGTTCTGAAAAAGTTATGCGCTGTTGAAGTTCAAAAAGCGCTTTTTTACCTGCTTTTTCAAGACTCTGGATCTCGGAGGTGTTTCAATGGATCGGGACGGCTAGGATACATCCTGATAAGGCGAACCTTATTCTATAAAACCTATGAAGTCGCAACATCACACACTTTCACGTTCAAGATTTATATGAATTTAACTGTCAACTGTCAAAAAACACGTAAAAATGGCGTAAATATTTAGAATTCTGGTTTTCAACGACTACCTCTTAAATCCACTCGATTCTTTCACTACATGATAGAGCACCATTTACTCTTTGAAACCTATGAAGTCGCAACTGCTGACATCTTCAAACAACAGATGTATAACAGTAGAAATTTCGCATGATTTTTCATTATTTAAATATTCAAAATTCTGGTTCTCGGCCGTTACTGCCTAGATCGACCTGCTTCCTTTGCAGTATGTTATGACAAAATTTACTTAATAAAATCCGTACAGTCCAACAAACTTTTACTTCCAAATACACCATTTACTAAACACGTCTATTTTAAATTTTTATGAATAAAATTTATAAATATTTTTAATATTCATCGTATCTGTGGCCCTAAAGAGGGCAGTTGGGTCACAGTTCGACCTATAAAGATAGCTCTGTTCGTCCGTTCTACCCCCCCTCCGTCGACGTTTTTGGGAGGTGAGTGTCCGACACTACCACCTTCACTTTTGGCCGGCCAGTGTTAGCTGGGACCACCTTCACTTTTGATGGGTCCCCCCTATCGCACCTCTGCTCTGATCTCCACAAATATTAGTGGCGCCCTCTCTCCCGATTCCGCAAAATAAAGAAAAGAGGAACACTAACTCGTAAAAACTGAATGCGACACCGAATTTTCAAAATCCGTTACCTTGTTCCGTTCGAGTGGCAGGTTTCCAGTTACTGGGATCCACAATAGGAAGACATACCTGAAGAAAAGCAATGGATAGATAGCTTATTTTCACAAGTGCTACTAATACAAAATTGTTGAAGACTCACTTGCCCCTTGTCATCGATGTTTGGATGGTAAATCTTAGTAGCAAGGGTGATCTTTGGTGGTTTGAAAGGATAGTCCGCAGGAAAATCAATGTTTACTTTGAAAGCACCCTTATTGTATGGCTCCTTGTCCTGAATGACAGAATATTCGAGTAGAAATGACGCAGAAGAATCATGATCAGAAAAGCCACATCACTTACAGGGACTAACAGGACCGTCCAGTGAAGGAGGTTTGACTCGTCGTATTCGACACTTTCATAGGCCTTTACTCCACATGACTTCAGATCCGAGAGTTCCTGGAAAAAGGATTCACGTAAAGTGATGAAGAGCAGTAAAGAGACTTGTAAAGTTGAACTTCTACTATATGCAACACAAAACTCCGAAAGAGAAGGTCTCACCTTCTGGAGCCGTCTGGACGACGCCATTCTAAGCACCGCTCTTCCTGAACAATACCAAGATAATGAGAAATGAAAAGGTGGTCCAATCGATTACGCTAGGGCTTATCGCAAATAAACCGATAAATTCTATGGGAAAGACTGCTTAGAATGTATTAAAACCGTTCACGAGTGATGACAAACGACCGACTGAATATGGCGAAATTTTAAGACATACGATGACTAATGTTCTTCCAGTGAACGAGTACAGCAGCCATGACATAGTGTCCCGTCAAATAACGTGTCTATTGCACCACGTAATTTTGCGGTTGGCATTCAAATCCGAACTGGCGGCAACATTTCGCATCAAACGTTTTGATTGCTTCTTTGTTTTTCGTGTAGAATAATCACCTAATTTGGTGAAATAACGAATCTCTATGCAAATTTCTAAGAAGACATTGGGCTGTGATTTTCCAGCCACCTGTGACAAGACATCTATCGAACTCGACTTCATCCCAAAAGTACTGCATCTCAAGTGTCGGTCTTTTCATGAAGAATTATCGATGCACTCTCTCTTTTGAACTGGACCTAGTCAGACTGCTTTTCCCAAAATCAGTACAACACACTGCATTTCAAAAATTATGCCCATGTCGTCGAGTGAGGTCTTCTTCGCTTGGTTTCGGACAAAGGAAGTGTTTAGATTTGCTGTGGGGGTATGAGCCAAAAGTCCCGCTTCTGCATTCCGGAAATATGCTTCTGATCTTCGGTATACGTTTACAAGACAATGAAGATTGCATCAGAATGATTGGTTGGCAGGATGCCACATCGCTCTCATCTACTCGAAATGTATCATATAGATATCTATCGCTTTTCCCATGGAAACTTTTGCAGATGTAACAGGTACTGTGTCACTCAGCACTGATTTGCATTAGCAGTCTTTGAACCTTCTCATTATATGCTGTAGCGACCGTGGAAGAGAAAACCCATCATTATTTGCCTGCCTTTATCTGAACTCCTGCTTCCTTTCTTTTGTCCAGTTAGAGTTTTACAGAGTTTTTCATACCATTGTTGTCTGCAATCTTTCATTTGTCGTCGGTGTGGTGATGAGAAAAAGCGGTAAAAATATCACTTTGATATGTGTCATTGTTTCCTGACGGTATCCTACTGTTCCTAGCTTCGTGAGTACCCCCTTGAGGACTATCATACTAAGTTCCTCATATCTGCTTCGTTTCCTTTCAGCGTAAATGGCTGGAATGGAAGTGGATGGGAAGACCGAAGATGCACTACTATTTTGGGTTCGTTTTTTTCCCAGTCCATTTTCAACACATTGCGTACACCTACCCTTTCTAGGTAAACGCTTATGGAGATTTCTTGCACATTGAATCCGTGACAGCCCTCGATAAGCTATGGAGAGAACACCTGCCCTCACTATTGAACTGTTTGTGAGTTTCTAATTTTCTAAGTCTACTGTATCAATATCTTCGTATCTTTAGAAATATCGCATTAAAAGCAAGTAAGTTTTCGCTTATGCGTTTGATACATTGAAGTATATGTCTGCACGGTTTCCTTGTGCGGACTTTTTATGATTTGAATGCATACTTTGTTTTGCGCTAAAGCTCTTCTTATAGAAAAAATGGCAACAGCGTCCGGGTAGTTTCGCCTTCCGCGCAAAGCGTTTACCAGGAGCTTTTCACGCACTTCTCCACACTGTGTGATCAGGAGCGTTTCGTTCAGTCCATATCAGCTGAAATGGCTGCGAAGGGCGATAAATTTGAAATAGCAAAAGTTAGTCCTATTGTGGAACTAAAGCTTTTATCAAGTCCATATATATGCATCTGCAGTTCTTGGCAATCTTGTTGAATGAGTTTCGAATTTCACAAAACGAAGTGATAGCCAGTAGCGTGCGAGCTTTAGAAAAAGAAGGACATGATGTACCAATAACTGCCCTAGTTAGTCCAATTTTCATATTTGATTATCCATGTTTACGCGAATGATCATGGTGCATTTTAGTTAAACGCCTTCGACTCGGAGAAAAGCGATTGGTGGTCGGTGATGCTTAGTCAATCTCCACGGCGCCCTGCTGACGATCATATGCTGCAGTTCGTGACGCCTCGCAGGCAATCTTATCCAGCAGAGGAATTCACTGGGATGTCAGGTAGATCGACTCATCCTTTATGTGAAGGCAGCAGTACATTGTCCACAGTTGGTAATCAAAAGACCTGCAATGTTCTTATCTGCGCAATTGCTCAGACAAAACTACAGTGATATATACTGCGACCGTTGAAAGTTTCGTCACAAATCTACTCGTCGGTACTCTCTGGCGTTTTTGGCCAAATTAAATACATCTTTGCATTTGATGTTGTTTCGCGACCCCAGCTACCAGCCTTCCATCATTTTCTGGACTCTTCTAGTGAATCGCTCATCATTCATTACCCCACGCTGTCCACCACGTCGAAATGAATCCAATGCCCACACAGTTGCTCGATGCGAAGGAAGTCCGCTGTTAGACGCCATTAATTCGCCTAAAGTTCGGTAAGTGAAACACATTCAATTTATCATGACCTTACAAGGAAGGGATGGCTGGTCGAAGTGGCTTTTTGAGATGGGTTGTATATCATGCTGGAGGGCATAAAACGCTGATTCCATGTCTGTCTTCATTATCTGCGGCGCGTTCCTGCACGAGAAGTTATGAGCGTTTATTGGAGAAAAAAAATTGAATGTGCAAATAATATAAAAACCATAGTAACATTTTTCCTAGCGCTCAAATGGATCAGTGGTAATTTTTCCAGCACTACTTACTCTTAGATGAGATATAGCACTCCAGCTGTTTCATTGAAGCGCTTTGAAAATTTTTGCTCGTGTCTTGTTTTTATCCCAGAAAAACATAGTTTTTTGCTCCTTTAAAGGCAGCGTTCAAGCAAATCTGTGGACCTATGGGGGTTTTACGTGGAAAGTAATTTTGGGACCCTACCTAAGGCACTGCCCAACCGGCGGCGCAGGTACTGCTTTAGTGCTAAAGTATTCTGTTCGAAACTGAACCCCAGGATCGTATTTCGCGTGGATTCATGGCGCAACGCGTGGGTCCTCGCGCGAAACTGACGGGTTGCGTCATGCCATGGGAAATACGATCCTGGAGTCCAGTTTCGAGGGGAATATCTCAGCCGTTAGAGCACTACCTGAGCTACCGGTTGAACAGTGGCTTAGTTAGGGCCCCAAAATCACTATCCACCTAAGATCCCCATATGTCCAGATTTGCCTGGACGCTGCCTTTAAACGGTCATAACTCTTCGTCCAAGAATGCGCCGCAGATAAGGAGGACAGATTTGGAATCAGCATTTTACGCCCTCCAAATCATATACAGATCATCGCAAAAGGCCACATCGACTGACCATCCTTCCCTTGTTAGTTCACCGAGACTTAAGATTTGATCAGAGTATTTTTAGTTTGGAGTTAATTTTTTCGTGATTCGGAAGATCCATTGTCTATTCAATTGCTCTCTTTTTGTTGTGTTCCATTTGCATATGTAACTGCATTTTATCATCCAATGATGCTCATGAACTTCGAATTTATAAATCTTGTAGATTTATCCCACTGTGGTCGCACATGCCTCGAAGCTTGTGTGACCTACACTAAAATTCAAAGCATAAATAGTTAGTTAGGATGCCCTCAAAGAAGTAAGACAATTAGCTGACTCTGCACTTGCTGAGGCTTTCTTCTGATGAACGCAAACAAGGCTCATCCCTTGTCAGCGCAGCCTGAAAAAAGCAAAAGTCGAGATTTTCGAATCATTCGTTCGAAAGCAATGAATGATTTCGTGGATGCTTATTGTAGCGTCTCTGAGATCTCAAAAAAAAACAACAAAATTACGCTATTATTATTCAGGGATCTTCGAAAGGAGCGCGAAATTAGAGGACTTCGCAAGCAGATAAATGAACTAGAAGATCAAATATCATTTTATGAGAAGAACGCTACAGATGCAAAACATCAAACTGATAAGCTCCTTGACGAGTAAGAAATTTCATTGTTTAAATTTGAGAAGGACTTTCTTCTCTAGGGTGGCGTCGAAGAAAGCTCGAATCCGTGAGTTAGAGTTGGAAAAGAAGTTACTGCAGCAGCATTGCGATGAATCTGATACAAAAGCTACTTCACTTGCAAAGCGAGTGGAAAGCTTGGAACGGGAGAACGGGGAACTGAAAAGAACAGTAGGCGTTATGATCTATCCATCATCTATATTTCAGATCCATTATTTCAGCTGACCTCTCATAAGGCGTCTGCAGAAAAATTTGAAGATGAGCGAGTACAATTACAAGAACAGCTAGCTGCAAAGCAGGAGATTATGCAGATGCTAGAGAGGAAAGCTCGAGATGCGTGCGATGAGCTTGACAGGGCCTTGGAGGTTCGAACGTTTTCTCCTGGAGGCAGATAGAAAATCTTGAGTATTAGGCAAAGAAGTCCATTGAACAAGAAAAGAATAGCCTAGCGAGCGCTTTGGAGAAGCTGACAAAATCTACGGAATCGGATAATGAGCAATACCACGCCGCATTAGCAGATTGCAGGAAGCGTTATGAGGATGAGGTACTGGAAAAACTTGCGAAGAAGTGAAAAGTCGTTTATTTTGTAGATATCGAAGCATGCAACATTGTATTCGGAGGAGATGGCGAGAAATGCTGATCTTCAAAAACATTTACGGGAGATGTCAGAGAAATTGGAAGATTTGCAAGTGAAGTACGATAGCGATACCACTGTGCTCAAGCGGAGCTTGGACGAGGTCAAGAAAAGTTCAAAAGAGAAGTATGATGCTGTAAGTTTAAAGGAGTAAATTTTGAATATTTATCACTTCAAGATATGCGTTTCAGATCGTCGAGAAGATGAATGAAATACAATTGGAACTAGCGGATTCTCTCGAGCGAAGTAAAACCAAATCACTGGAGCACGAGGAAGAACTAAAACGTCTTGAGAATGTTCACGCAGAAGCGCAGAATCGCAAGGATGTGCAGTTGACCGCTGTTCGTGCTCGTATTAAGGAGGTAAAAATTTCATGTTTATGAAGTGCATTTGATTCACTATTGAATATTTACAGCTGGAGGAGAAGACGCTCGAGCAAGAACGGACTGCTCGTGATCTGCGCAAACACTGTAGCGATCTTACCGCAGAAAGGGGTGCTCTTGAGGCAGCAAACGCAGAACTCTTGATCAAGTTGGAATCTAAAAGTGACGACCTGAAGGACGTCAAGGAAACACTGGAGAGATTGCAAACAGAAATGGATTCGCTGAAACTGAAGCATGGGGATTCTGTAAAATCTTGCGAAGTGTTACAGTTGGAAGTGAAGAGACTTCAAAGAAAGATCCACGAAGGAGAGGGAAGAATTAATGATCTTCTGGAATGCGAACAACAACTCATGACATTGAAAGAACAGTACAGCAATGTTCTCGAAGAGGCAGAGGTCGTCCGACAAGATCGTGAGCAGCAGAAGAAGCATTTCGAAACCACCGCATGCGAATTGAAGAACACGATCGAGGCTCTCAAAGTCAAGGTATTAGTTTTTCTTTCTGTTTACGTCGCGACAACTTACGACTCAGTTCAGGTGCGGGAAGTTGAAGAAAAGAACGAGAACTCGGCGCGTGAGGTTGAACGCCAGAAAGAGGAGTTCAATCTCAAAGAACAAGGCCTATGCGATCAAATCGTCCGATTGAATGAAGAGGTAAGTTTTATACAGTTTACGGACTTACGTTGATACTTAATTTCCAGAAAGAACAGCTCAGTAGTCAGATTTCGCTTTTGGAAACGGATTTATCAAAGGAGAGAAGTGCGAGAACACAAATAGAAGAAGAAACGATTGCGAATCGCGCGGAGATGGAATTACAAAATTACAAGCTCAAGGAGATGAGCGAACGTGTTGGTGTATTACAGTACACGTTAATCTGAAAATTTAACTGTCACACTTTAGCTGAGTATTGTTCAATCAGCTGATTCGGAGCAGTCAGAATCATTGGTTCGCTTAGAACAAGAGCTCGAAGCCAAAAAAGAGGAAAACGTAAGTCAAGGAGTTAATGCAATTATGTTTGGGCATATTTACATTGAGTTTGCTCTCAGATGCGCGCTATGATCGAGTGTGATACTCTGCGCCAGAAGGATGCACTGCGATCCACACAGTTACATGACTTCGCAGAGAGGATTAAGTGTATAGAAGTGCGTTTACAAAGCTCAAATTCTCCGTATGCATGGGAACACAATTCAGCATGACATTGCGCTGTCCGCTGAGAAGAATACCAGATTGGAAGTTGAAAATACAGCGTTGAAGGATCAGCTGGAAATGTTCGAAATGGTATTTATGCGGAAGACGAGATCCGAAAAGAGAAAAGCGGTAAGTAAGACATGTTATTTGATCATACAGTTTTGCCATATTCGAGATATTACTCTTTTTCGTTTTTCATTATCCTGCTTTTACATTATTCTACCTCTTCAACATTTATGTCTTTTCGTTTTGAAAACCATGCTTTTAGCAGAAGTCACTAAAAGATGCTGGTGATCCAGCCAAACGTGATATCAGCCCGCACACAAGACCTCTATGTACGTTGACATTTCTCTATAGTAACTTTCAAAGTAGAGCACCCTCATGATTCTCTTCCAGTCTCCACCAGCTTGGACGAGTCTGCGGTGCTGCTCTCAAGAGGTCATCATGGACTAACAGAAGCTGTAAATATTTGCAAAATATGGCTCAAAAGAAACTGATTAACTTTCGATTCAGAAAGAATTTTTCAATTCATTAATTACAAAAATATACAAGGTTTGGAAGAAGAACGCTTTTGTGTCGGCAGCAAAATCCAAGGCAAAAGTAGGGTGTTTCGGTTTTGATTACAGTGTTATCTGAGAAATGCGCTAGGTCTTATCGCCCTTGCATAGCGCAAAATTCGACAAGTTTTACGGGGGAGGGCGCGGAGTATCCTTTTAGTTTTGATGGTATACAATCGGCAGCGATAATTGATTAAACCAAAAAAGGGTCTGCTATTGTAGCTGACTCATTATCTATTTTTTGAACGAAGGGCAAAAATGTTGAGATACTTTCAAATTTTCTTCCTCTTATAACCTTGGAATTGTTACGTGTGAAAACAAGTCACTTCACTTTTCTCCTGTACTTCTTTCGAATATTCCTCCTCCTCTCTTTCGGTCCGCGTTGGAGCATCTGTGACTGTCATTCCTCCTTTCCTGGTAGCCTCTAACCATTGGCAGGCCAGACATGTTTTGGTGTTGGGGGTAGACTTTTTTTTCCAATAAAGAGCCGCGGCGTTATATACGCACTTTAAATAAATTTTCATAGGAAAGACAAAATTTTTTTGCTAGCTCATAACAATGAAAAGGAAAAAAAGGCGATGCGGCAGCCATATCGATTTTTTTGCAAGACTTGTATTTTAATCATTTACCAAATAACTAGTCATTTGCTCAATTTTAATAAACGAGTACATCATTTCAAATATCAAGCCCTTTGCACGATCGTCTGCCTGGTATACGGTTACTTTTGTGCTAGTGCGGATACAGTTCATGTAGTTTACCAAGTGCAATGAGATGCAATGCATTTTCTACTTGAAATTATTTTTTTATTATCAGCAATTTGTGAAATATGCTACTTTCACGAAAAACTGCAGATTTCATCATTTATAACAAATAGTGATGAGTTTTGGACCGCGATTGTTCAGACCGAGGTGCCCGCACCTGAACCTCTGAATGACAAGGACTTCCTTCTGAAGAAGGTCATACCAAAATTTGATGCCGCAACATCAGTGTCGGACCTAGCCATACTATCATCTTTGCAACCTGCATCATCACAAAGTAATCTCACTACAACTGTCAACGGAAGTGATTTGAGCTTAGCCGCAAGCTCCACCATTAGTCATAGCCGTCATTCCTTGGCGAGATCCGAGTTCTCAAGACCGTCCCTCTCAAGCAGGTCGGAGTTTTCAAGGCCTTCCCTGTCCGGGCTATCGAGTGAGTATCTAGTATTTCAAAACAATTCTCATACCTACTAGTAGGCGAATATATGGGATTTCTGGGACCAATGTTCCTTACAGTGGGTTCGAAAAGACGAGAAGGACCAGATACTGATCGATCCAGACTCAAGGAGCTCCAAAGAAGAAACGAGTAAGTCATTCTTGTAAAATTTTAAAATAAATCTCTAGCTTTTTTTCTCTTTGATCTCAAGAAGATTAAGGCATATTTTCTCCACATGATCTTTGTTGTCTCGAATCTAGAGAGGAAGTCAAAGCGGTTGGCTGTTTTATAAGCAGAGAACTTTTTTAGGATGCTCCACCCAGCTATGCGATGTGCGTATGCCACTGAGGTGACAACATACTCTTCGCCTACAGGAAGTGAGAATGTTGTGAAAAACGGAACCCAAAGTGCTCGGAAAGGAAAGAAGGTAGGAGACTTGATTTGAAGCAGTAATCACATCAAATTAGTCAATTATAGTTGATGCAGCGTGCTGCTTCGTATGTGAAAAGGAGACTGCCATTGTCGGAATCGACTAACTCTGTTAACTAGAAGAGAATGGAGCATTATCTTTCAAAATAAATTTACCCTTATCATTAAACTGCACTCATTGAAATATATACTCACCAAATGTGTAAACTTGCATGCACTGTTATTGTCGACAAATCTCTCTACAAACTTCTCTGACAGACACATAACCTATCATTGATAGAACGTTTCATGTACTTTGTTTCATGTAAAGACGTTTCACCATATAGTCTTGTAAATATTTTACGCATTCTCACTTGTGCTGAGGATTTATATGAAATAAACAACTGTAACATGCTAGTTAACCTCCGTGAACGGCACACCTCCGACTGCTTTTTGGTATCATGCGGATAGTCGTGAAAGCAGCAACCACTATTGTCATCATTGCTGATCCGTTGTCCGTATGCTTCCATATCTTATAAATGATCTCATCTAATATGAATGACTTTGTTTGCTTATTTTAAGCTGCAGTTTGGTATCAGAGGTATAGAGGGATCACATTACTGTAGATGAGTCCGACTTCTCTTGCTCAACAGGCTTGTCGTACGAGATCAGGTATGTTGCACCACAAAATTTTCTGATACTTGCCAGCTTCTGCTTCTGCGACTTTGGCTTTGGTTATGAGTCCGACTAAAACGCACCTTAAAGGCACCGTCCACCCACATTCTCGACTTTCCATGTTTCGGTCGTTCCGGGGGACTCCCTGACGTCCCTCATTCCATATATGAAGTCGAGAACCCGCGAAAACCCCGGAAATCTCCGTTCGGAGAACCCAAAGGCCGTTCTCCGGAACGGTGATTGGATGGACGCGCACGGATGGGCGGGCATTACTGGAGGGGGCGGTGCCGACTTGGGGTCCTCATGCCTCTTCGCTATTCCGAAGCGATTTTCTCGCTTCCAAGCGACATAATGAGCCGTGGCTTGGGCATTTGCTTGATAGGGGGTTCCACTATCGTAAGCTTCCAATGATGGACAGTGCCTTGAAATCGTTTTGTTCGTAATGCGTATCCATTTTCATCCATTTTCAACTATCAATCAGATTTCTGTTCCGAACTTTCTGCATGCTACATAGCTGTTGGCAATTCGTCGTAGGTAAGGCTGCGTTCATACTGATCCGGAATTCCGTTAACAGTCTCAGCACAGCGCTTGAAATGAGCGCTATGCTGGAACTGTTCCTGGACTTGGGGGTCAGTATGAACGCAGCCTAAAGATAGATGCTACTGCGGACGCTTCGGAAAAGCGCACTTCCACCTTACTACCGTTTGCTGTCTCTTCCAAAGAAGCTTGTATTTCGAATGCCAGTTTCGCGTTGTCTTGTCCAATAATACTCAGGAGATGCAAGCTGTTACTCTGATTTCATTCCGTGCATACCGCGTCAACACAGCGAAAATTTGCACTGGCATTCTAAGAATCATATTCATAAGAATCTTATCGTGTTGTTTTAAATGCAGCGATTACTATATTGCGTTTGTGCTTTGTATCGGACTATACTCAGATATTTTCGAATACTTGATACATGAATATATTGAATAACTTATACCATACTAGCGACCCTGGAGGTCGCTATAAGTAGATCAAAGCAGATGCTTAGAAAGTTTCTGCCTCTCAATGACATCTTTTTTCAATCTGTTATACGTAGTGGTCTTCACTTGACACATGAACATATCTAATTACTAACACCATTGCGGCGATGGCAACCGTCTAGTGAGTGAATACCAGTTTGAGGAAGGGTGAGAGATCATAAAGATAAGGAAGGTGACCAGTAATTCTAACACCTTCAACATTATAGACAGCCGCCAAGGCTTTTCTCGGATGTTCTAAGCAAGAATAATTAGCGCCTAGTGCAAGACTCGTGTGCACGTAATTGGCTCAAATGCAACTGTGAGATTTCAAATGAGAAATTTTTCATTATGTCATCTTAATGTGCCTTTATCTCCATGGGACTACTGCTTAATTGTGCGAAACTGGAGGTTTTTTGAAGTGTACTTCAAGAAAGAAAACAATAACGGTTCAATGATTTAACTCACAATCAGATGACGAAGAGGTTTAACTTTTGATACGTGCTTGCGTCTCATAACCTACAACTTTTTAAACAACTATCTCTTGCATTGGAAGATTTGTCGGAAATAATAGTCCACGATCTCAACTTACATTCGTAAACTCACGTATCTACACTATCTCCAGACTTCCTCCACAGCTCATCCGTTCTTGACTTTCAGTGCTAAATGGCTTTATGGAGGCACATCTTGCTGCATGACCTATACTGAAATTAAGCTGGTTGATAGTCGCAACTGTCAAGCTTGTCATTCTGCAGTATAGCGAAACCACATAAACCTAAAGGACCAGGAAAGACAATCCATGTAGATTTCACCTTCATACGATCTTCTCTTTTCGATTTCGCCTCCCATTCCCAGGGGTAAGTAGAATATACAGTGGAGTAGTTCTTCTGGTTATCATAGTGTGCTTACGGTGCCGAGAAAATGCGGTAAAATTTTGCAGGTAAATTATCTAGCCACACCAGCAATGCCAACATTCTGCGCGCGCAAGTGGCCGGCCTCATAGGTGTAGCCAATTGATCACGCGCAATTTTCCGCATTTTCTCGGCACCGCAAGGACACTACATTAAGCGAAAAATCTAATCGACTGGCATGCAAAGTGCTGAACAAGTTTGAGTATGTTGTAACCTACGGTTTAGCGCAAATCATCTATACTTTGGCACAGTACACCAAGGTGCCTCCAACAGTGTTAAGGCGTGACATCACAGGGTCTGTTACGCAACTGTTGAAAGCAAGATTGGGAGCGGAGATAGAGATAGGAGCTTAATATGAATTTCTTTCCGTACATTAAAGGCACCGTTTACCCTAAGTTGAAGGTGTTGAGCTTTTGGCAGATATAATAGTAGGACCGTCAATCCTATACCCAAGTCGCGGCGCAAAATGTTGCTTTGGAAGCGAGAAAATCGCCTTGGAATAGCGAAAATGCACGAGGACCCCATGCATGCCCGCCCATTTGTGCGCGCCCATCCAATCACTGTTCCGGAAAGCCGGCCTGTGGTCCTCCGGAACGGTGATTGTCGGAGTTTTCGCGCATTCTCGACTTCATATTCGGAATCAGGGACATGAGAAGGCCCTGAAACGAAAAAAGGAAAAGTCGAAATTCTGGGTGGACGGTGCCTTTGATAGCATGATGTGTCAGTTGAACCTTCGCACTCAAGCTGACTTCCTTATTCAAGGCCGACTACTTCATTGCACGCCAAAAGCGGCTGAGCCATACAGGAGTCCCTTATCCAGTCCTGTGGAGGAAGCACCTAAAGAGAAAGGTGAATTTTCGGTTGAACTTTTTTAACGCTCATCCATCTATTCCATTTTTTTCTAAAAGAAACCCAGAAGACATTTTTTTGGTTCGAATTCGACAACGTATCTGATGACTATCGTAAACCTATCGTGTAACGCCAAGAATTATTGATTGTTATCTCTATAATCAGCGCCGTTGAAACCGCCGTCCGCTGAACATTTCGTAGAAAGTGAATGTGTTACAAAGCAAAGTTTTTCCTACATACGAGTAGGCCGACAGCACAGCAGAATGTTTCGCAAAATCTATCTATCATACATCTTCCATAACGTCAACATGCTGCCCATCAGAGAAGATTGGCTGAGCTCTTGATCTATATAAAAACCATCATGTTCTATAATACTGATATTAAACATGTCCACCTAAAGTCTTGTCGGCATTTTAATGACATTGACTTCGTGAATTTTTTTGTCTAGACCCTGTATCTGCCACCCCATCGCACACCGTCGGAAGAAGGAGTCGCACTAAGAAACGGCGCTCGGATTTGCCTATAACACCTCTGTTAAAGGCAGTTGATTTAGTTGATAGCAGCACACCACCACGAAGATCGAATCCGATATCGGTGAGAAATAGCGCCAATTATCTGGAAACTTCTAAAATATTCTGCACAGATGCGTGATCTAGCCTGTCCACTTTTGAGTCTGGAGTCGAAAGAAGATCTTGATCTCTGTGGATTACCCAAAACCGCTCGGGACACATATATCGAGAAAAGGGGCATCAAAAACTTGTACGGTAAGAAGGTAATAAGGCCTGGTATACATATCTACAAAAAATTTCTAGACTGGCAAAGAGAATGTTTGTCTGATCAGCGCCTCCGAAGAGGCTCAAATTGCGTAGTTTGTTTGCCTACAGGAAGCGGCAAAACTTTGATAGCTGAAGTAGGTTCTTGACAAACGGATTTCATATTCGTTGTCGGTGACTTCCAATATTTAGGTTCTAATGCTGCGGGAGGCAATTGTGAATAAGAAGAGTTCGATTCTTGTACTGCCCTATGTAGCTATAGTTCAAGAGAAGGTAGTGCAAAACCATCGCTTTTCTGTCTTCCAGGATTATTTTTTAGATCGCATCTTTGTCTGTTTTTGAAGAAGCTTTTGGAATTAGGATAGAAGAATATGCGGCTAACAAAGGTACGAAAGTGTGGGTAAAAGCACATTTCATCTGAACGTTTTCAGGTAGAATTCCACCCATAAAACGCAGAAGAGATGTTTCTATATATGTAGCGACAATAGAAAAGGTACTGTAAAGACGATTCTTATATCTACGCTCTGTTATTTCTTGTTTTCAGGCGAATAGCCTAATGAATTCGGTCATCGAATCGTCTGAAATTGACCGCATTGGTCTCGTGGTAGTGGATGAAGTGAGTGTTTATACTGAGCAAATTAAAGTGATGCCGTGTCTCTTAGCTTCACATGATTGGGGATGGAAGCCGTGGCACAATCATTGAACAACTGTTGTGCAAATACTTGACGAAGGGTGAGCTTCCTTTGACTGCTATATTAGATGCGTAGAGTGATAAAGTTCGGATAGTCCAAGGAAATGGTCTTCACTCGAAATGAACATACTCAGCAACATCCCCAATTTGAGTTTGGGAGTAAATTGGTCTGCCTTGCACTAATAAGTGGTCTATTAGACAAATCACTAGGCAAATCACCTCTATTAGACTGCAGGGTTTTGCGAATTAGTAGCTGAAGATGTTTGAGCGGATCGGAGTAATGATAGTTTTCCGTAGGATTGAGGGTGCTCTAGCGAAAATTTTTATACAAAGCTAATCTTTTAAAAGTAAGCTAACCTAATCTGAATTTAATCGAAGCTAATCTAATCTGAATTTTATAAATTCTAAAAAAACTAGTTTAATTATTTACAAATATGGAAACGTCACTTGCACATTTTTATAACTCATGTTAGTAATTTTCAAAAAATTTGCAACTCATTACCGGGAGTAGGGATTGCGCACCCCCCGCCTCCTCCTCGGTCCGGCACTTCTTTCAGGCAACTCGGCTACAAAGCTGCGTTACGGATCACTTTTAAATTATCTACGTTGGTTACATTTCCATTTTGATTCAGCTTGTGTCAGACCGTTTCATGTCGCGCCGAAATCTCGCCACCCCGATTTTAAATGGACGGTTGTTGAGGTGGCCCAAGGATCACCCGCCAGAAGCGCTCCATTACCATCAGGATGACGAGATTACCTATCTTTCGAAGCAGCCAACCCAAAATGCTTTTAACTAAACTTATTAAGAAAAAATACGTTTCCTTTCTTCCTTCTTCCTCTGGTCGATAGAATAGGGCCATTAGAAAAGAAGGATATACCGTAAAGATGAAGGAGTCTTTGAGTCTTTCACGTTTAAAAAACGTTGGAAGATATTGATTGCTATTATAGGCTGCTGTAACTTCAGACTTCAATCTTTCTAGAACGTAACTGATTGTGAGCAAATCTTCAAAAGTGGCCTGCTTACATTTGAAAATCGATGCAATTGTCTAGTGTAGTGACTTGATTTTCTAGGATTTGGTCAAATCATTGGTATGTCGGCTACGCTCTCGAATATCGAGGAGTTAGCTGCTTTTCTTCGTGCATACATTTATTCCACAGTTTTTCGACCGGTAAGTTAGCAGATAGAAGACCTACAGTTTTAGTAGAGTTTCACTATTCGAGGTCGAACTCCATGAATTTGTTCGGATGGGGCAGACAATGTGGAAAGTGTTGCCTACAGGAGAGCTAGAGCTGAATGCGGAGTTACCACCTAATGTAAGTTGACAACGGTTAACTAGAGATTTTACAAGGTAATCTCTTCTGCAGAGGCTGTCGAAAGCTGATCCGGACGGTTTGTGTCAATTACTGATCGGTGTTATTCCACAGCGCTCAGTATTGATATTTTGTCCTACCAAGAAAAATTGCGAGAGTGTGGCTACCTTGATTGCTAAATGTGTTCCTGAGTACGTTTATATCTCATAGTTTCCGTAACAGCTCTTGGAGGCTAGGACAAATTTATCTTCCAGACAAGTACGCAAAAGAAAACTTGAAGAGAAGCAAAAAGTTCTTGCGGCGATGAAGGAGGACTGCGAAGGACAGGTAAGATTCAAAAAAAACTTAGCTTATAGGCACCGTCCACCAAATAAGGTGATGAGAACTCAATGCTATGCAGTGCGGGGCCCCTAACTAAGCAATCGCCCAAGTCTCGCTGCAAAAAGTGAACTCCAAAGCAAGAACCCTGCTCGAACCAGGGTGGTCCAAAGATGTAAAGTCCAGACTTACACTTCAATGTATTTTGAACGGAACATATCTGCCCTCAATTAAGATCACCAAATTTGCGAACTTTATGTCTACTTTGAAGCCCAATTGTGGGCTTGCAGCATCAAACCACCCACGTTGATGGGCGGCGTGGCCGCTTCTATGTCCTGGAGCCATTTTTTCGCTTTGGAATTTATCTTTTACAGCGAGAACTATGCGACTGTTTGGTCAGGGGGTACGCTATAATATAACATCAAATGCTCATCATCCTCATTTCGAGGGACCATACCTTTAAATCGTCTTCATCTACTTAGATATCGCCTGTGCTTGAAAATACCATAATGGCAGGAATCGCCTACCATCACTCAGGTTTGACACATGAGGAACGCAAGCATATCGAAGCCGCGTACAGTGTGAGCATAAAATAAAGGAAATTTTGCCGGGATTCTCCAATTTTTGAATTCTTTTCCCATCTCTTCTTTTTGAAGGAAGGCATACTCTGCGTAATTTGTGCAACATCGACACTGGCAGCTGGGGTCAATATGCCTGCAAGAAGGGTCATCATAAAGGTAATGTCGCGTCAGAAACTCAGATTTTCAAACGGCTTCGTTTTTAGTCTCCGATGGTCGGCTGCAATCCACTTGGTAAGGCTCAATACTTACAAATGATAGGACGAGCGGGAAGGGCTGGCTTTGACCAAAAAGGTGACAGCATCACCATTGTTCGACCAGGTCCCGAAGAGAGGCAGGTTGTCCTTTCTTTATGCTTAGGAATACACCATCTTGCAAAAGCACATTTATTCCAGTTTCGAGCTATGCTTTCTTCACCAATGATGTCATGCTCTAGTGGACTTGCTAGTTTGGAGTATCTATCATCGTTTGTTGTGGATTTAGTAACATTGAAGGCGAGTCAGGTTTTTGTTTTCATGCACTCATACTTGAAAATTACGAACTAGCTGAAATATGATGATAGCTGAGAAACCTTTACTCGCCAGAAAAATATTGCCCACATAAAGGGCCCACAACTTTTGTGAAAGTCTCGACGAAACTTTCAGTAGTCTAAAGTGCGAGCTCATAATTTGCGAAAAAAAAGACGGGAATCTTGCCATAGCCCCCCCCCCCTCCTCCCCTCTCCTCTACTCGTTGCATTGACATATCTCGCTTCAGACTGGACGAATTCCAAGCCCAAAGGTACCGTTTAACTGAGGTGGTCGTCTCGCATCTTTTATCGTATGAGGTTGTCTGGAAAATAATGTCGCATGGCATCCTACCACTATAGAGTGACACCAGAAAACAGAATAGGATATCGTTTGATAGAGCAAAGCAAGCTCTAAAAGATAGTTTACTCCGCAGAAATCTATTATAGATCCACCTGAATTTAGAATCCAAGACATGAAAAAAATTCAGATATCCGAAAAATCGTATGTGTGTGCTTGGGTGCGGTGGTACTACGGTAGGTAGTCAATATCAAAACGTCTCGTCATCGGTATGCCAGTAACCTACGATAAGCAATCCGAAAAGGTTTTGGATACCGTGGGAAGACTACACAGCATACCTGCCATATCCAGACCCATACCCGGAGATGCGCCTCGCCGAACTGTTAAATGGAGCCTTTTCATTTGGAATTAGGATACGTGCACTGAATCGGTTATGGCGATGCGACGCACTTTTGGCAGAATCCGCGTTTTTCAAGTGTTGCATATGAGTAGTATACTGTATCGCGTTTTCAGTACTACTTGACGGTAACAGTGTCTTAGGTTTGGTGGAAAACGCCTGTGGAGTCGGCCGAATTTTCCAAATTATGATAGACTCATTGACAAGGGAGGAAGTGTCACGGGCAACAGCGGAGTTGAGTATTAGACGATATAAATACAGCTGTAATATTTCTCGCTCAAAACACTCGCATACTTAACCAAGCGATTTTGATTGTAATGAGATCTGTCGCATATTTTCACAATCTTAAACACCCGGTATGGCGCGGGGCCACCATCTTAGACAGAAATCAGATTTTCTTACTTTATTCGTAAGTCGCTTTTTCTAGATTGCCAACTCCTTGGACTCTCTTTGCGAAGCCTTGACACATTCCCTTTTGTATGCACAAGTTGGTTTCGCAGCTGTCAGAAGCGCATTACAGTCAGCAGTGGAAAAACTGAAAAGCGAAGGTTTGATAGCTGAGGACAACGAGGTGTGTTGAGATGACGCTGTCTCTCAGAGTACAAAACTTTTTTCTTAACAGGGAACGTTAACTTCATCGCAATTGGGAACCGCAACTTTCGTTGCGAATCTTTCCCCTCTCGAAGCACAACGGCTGGCCACTGATCTGTCGGCTAGCCTTAATGGTGGTCTAGTCTTTTCTTCTCATTTCCATCTGCTCTTCACCATCGCTCCATATGATGCTGTATGTCCCGTTGATTGGGATCTTTTCCACACATTGGTAAGCTACCATGGTGCGGTAAATAATTGCATTATACTTACTGTACATCAGTATCTGGCATTGTCGGACAGCGAAAAGAAGTTGTTATCATCCTATGGGATACCTGAACGAGTGATTCTGCAACATATTGTCAAGAAAAAGCGCTTAGTCAGTTTTTTTCCGTAGTCTAGTCCTAAATTATTTGCGAATATTTTAGGAAGCCGGAGACGCTGCGATGCGCCTTTACATAGGTCTGTTGTTACAAGAGATTTGGAAACAACAACCTCATGCTGCTGTCGCCGAGAGGTGATATTCTTTTTTGACAGTACAGGGTGCGCCAAAATAAGTGGCGCCGAATTTTGCACCACCAACACGAAGAAACCGCTGAGAAATATAAGCTCAAATTTATGTCGTATAATGCTGCAATCAAACTCCACTGAAGGCAAATTACAGATCTCCAAGAGACCTCTTCTCGAGAATGTGGAAAAGAGCAAGATTAATGGTTTTCGAAAAGTTGCTTCGCAGCTGAACAAACCAATACCCTTTTTAATTCGTTAAAAGCTGAGGTTGTAGTGTAAACTCTGTACTGTCGCGCAGTCCAAATTGCATTTTTAGTGAAACTGTTTTTGCAATAAAATATCTGCGTCTGAGCAAGGTCCTTACGTTCAAACAATTGTGTGATTGCAGACATGCAAAAATTTCCTGGAAAGAAGAGTCTCTGTTCATGAGACATGTAGAAATGTATCTATTGAGGCCGATCTATGAAAATGATTATGAAATTAATTTACAAGACATTTTCTGGTTCTCAGGTACACTCAGAAGGACCAAAATTTCGATTTTTTTGACATGCTGCCATTCAAGCATACTTTTGGGAAGCAAGAATTCCCGAACTTAGTTTTAAAATTCCATACTTAACGGTATTAGAGAAACAGCCTTGCTTCATTTTACTGCACAATGTATAGATTCGTACGACTGCGCTTGCGCACAGAACACATTTCAGCTAACATGAGAGTTTCAGTTTTTTTTTTTTCGAGAGATGAAGCAGGATTATTCTTGGTTGAAGCAGGATTATTCTTGGTCTTTTATATCATGATGACAGTGGTTGTTGAAAAACAGACGCATGCTTGATTCGCCGTTAAGCGCTTCTTATATTTTTTTGGCACTAGGAAAAACGCGCCATTTATTTTGCCACAGCTTGTACATACGTGAGGCTACCTACAAAATTCATTCATGATCGACTTAATTATAATTTGTACCAAAAGCAAGATCTTCTATACTTGAAGGGCAAACGTGATAAAGCCAAAACTTGAATGAAATGTAAGGGATCTTGATTTGAAGGTTTGGAGTTGAGCGCGGCTGGCTGCAAAACACATTGCAAAATGCTACATCGCAAGCTGCTGCAATTGCAAAATTCTCGGAGGTAATGAGTGTCAGGGCTTTAGAGCTAGAAGTTCAAAAAATTTTATCCAAGAAAATTCCAAGTTTATGGCCACTTCGGTTACTTCTTCCGGAGCTGGTCCAACGATTATCTGACTGTGTGATTGCTGAGCTTATCCCACTGATGGCCATAGATGGCGTAAAACGAGGTCGTGCTCGGCAGTTGTATGCAGCTGGCTATAAAACTGTAGCTAAGGTAATTTTTGTAGTAAGCATTCGTCCTCAGCCTTCAACTGCCCTTGATCTGATGTATGTTCTTCTAGGTTGCAAAGGCGAATTATCAAGACCTTCTCAAAGATATTGCACATCTTAGCCGATTTAGCGCGATCAAAATGATCAACTCAGCAAAGGTGAGAGCTTAGAGAAAGCGTGAATAGCTTTGATTAAAAAAGATGTAAATAGTTTACCGGTAATGTGCATATTAGAGCTGCGTTTAGAGTTGCCCGTGCCAGGAGCGTTTCAGTGCCGTGTTAGCGCCATGTCAAAATCTTCGATCAATACGGGCGTGTCCGAGTAAGTTCCGGCATGGCGCTAGCACGGCGTTGGAAGGGCGCTGGCACTCAGGTGACTACAGCGGTTTACAATAGTCTTCTAACACAATTTTAATTATGCAACTTTCAGTCGATTCTTCGAGATCAAGTGGACGAAAAATTGGAGGAATTAGATGCATATGGAATTGACGTATCTGAGGTAGAGGAGCGTGTCAGAAGCTACAACTGACGTGAGGCGTACATTTGCGTCATTTCTATCTTTAGTGTGGCTGTGAATATTTGTAGAATAATTTTTTTTCATCGTATCTATGTGATAAAAACTAGATCTCTTCATACTCTTATTCCCAGTTAGATAACTGATTCCGCATTTTGATTCTTGGTCTGAATATTCCATGATTTGTATCTTAATCAATAATTTATTCATTAACTGCTATCTGTAACATAGCTCGACGAATTGGTTCGTAAATTGGTATCGCATTCCGTTTTTCTATAGGAATGTGTTCTGATGTGTTTCTGTGGTTTTTTGTATGGGCTCAGTCTCTTTGCGCTTTCATTTTGTTTTATTGATTTCCTCTTCGATAAATTTAATATCTGTTAGAGTCTGCAGAATGAGTCGAGTCACTGATACAGCACTCAAAAATCTATGTATGATTCCAGTAAACTTTGGTGAATTCGATCATTGCTATAGCACGCCTACTATGCAATGCAGAATCGGTTCCACATAATTCAACCAATGAGAACAACCATCTTTCCCTTCTTTGTGGTCTAAATTTCACCTAAGGTTCCTAAAACAACAGTGAAATTATGAGCTGCCTCCCGGCTAGCCAGGGAAGGAACTCCAGTTGCAATGTGATTCAGAATATCATATCATTAGCTGGGCCGTGAGAGCTAATCTCAAGTCTGCTTATCCTGCTGAACGATTCTTAAAAAGGAGCGTTTATAAGTCCAAGTCAGGGAAGCACTTGGTACCACACGTTCAAGAATCAGGCGCTTCCAAAACATTACTCGTGTTTCCAGAAAATGTTTCTTGTAGCCCGACTCTCACAATGCCAGTTACGCCTTTCTCTGGGCATCTAAGTGCATAAATCATCAAAAATCCAATAACTCACACAGGATGCTCATAACTTTGAAAAGGCTCAGTTATGGAAGGTGGATTGAATTCAGCATCCCAGATCGTCAATGTGATGTGAGATTCTTCTTCTAGATGCAATTATTCCATGTGGGTGGAAGAACATGATTATAGAATAAGCAGCTTCTCGTTGCGCAGTTATTGAATTACAAAAAATCTCTATTTTATTTCAGATCAAGTGGAGGACACGAAAGTAGTGTGAAATAGAGCAAAAAACATATGCAGAGAATCCAAATTTTGCCATACATTCGGTTGATACATTCACTTTCAACAGGAATTCGACCCTCATTGATCACAGCATCCTTTGGAGGTGTACTGTACAATTCAGCTCCTAACTCATGGGAAAAAAACGGATTGCGACAAATTTTTCCGTCGCGACATATTTTTCTTCGCAAAACCGTCGCAATGCTATAACTTTTTTGAAACTAGTTTTCAAAAGAAACTGAGACCATCATTGGATTGCTGAGAACCTAGCGATTCAGAATAACTGTTAAAATTTTGAAAATACTTTTATTTGATCTATCGCGACGTATTTGTCGCGACAAAACCGTCGCACCGAATTGAGTTGCTTGAACATAAGTTTCATGGAGTAACAAGCAGATTTTTGGACTCCTGGCAGAATTCTGACTTAGAAGATGCGTCAAAAAATCAAAAAAGCTCTTCTACGAAGCATTTAGTGATTATTTGAAATATTTTCATCAAATTTAGGTCAAATTTACGAAAAATTTGAATAAATCAGACGTATCTTCTAAGTCAGAATTCTGCCAGGAGTCCAAAAATCTACTTGTTACTCCATGAAACTTATGTTCAAGCAACTCAATTCGGTGCGACGGTTTTGTCGCGACAAATACGTCGCGATAGATCAAATAAAAGTATTTTCAAAATTTTAACAGTTACGCTAGGTTCTCAGCAATCCAATGATGGTCTCAGTTTCTTTTGAAAACTAGTTTCAAAAAAGTTATAGCATTGCGACGGTTTTGCGAAGAAAAATATGTCGCGACGGAAAAATTTGTCGCAATCCGTTTTTTTCCCATGAGTTAGGAGCTCAATTGTACGAGGAAATGCGTCTTGAATGCGAGGAGCAGCGAAAGAGAAAAAGAAAATTGTTATAAGTTTGAACATTCTGAAAACTACTTGGAGGAAGGCAAGAAAGTATCATATTACAGAATTTTTGTTCTCTGTGCAGGTCTGTATCTTTGCAGAAAATCAAAAATAGCAATATAGAGAAATCCCTAGTGCAATATGGAAGTATTTGTTTGGTAATCCTTAGCGATCAGCGGTGATATGACGACTATGACGCGATTCAGCATGAAAACATCGCTCTGGAAAAGGGAAAAGAAGCTGTATTGATTACCATCAAAGAGTCTGTTCGTCGTTATTATTTGTGATTTGCGAGTGCGTCCAAAATTGACAAAAACCTTGGAACAACATACTATAAACTACGAAATGTGATACCCATTACCACAAATCACAAATAAAATTAATCTGATCAAACTTGGAAATCCGATTTGAAAGGAAGTTTAATGCGAATTCGCATATGTGCGCGGAAGTACACACCAAGGCTACGCCTACTCCACATAACCTATAACGTTCTGAATCGAAAAATGACAGATTCTTGGCGCTTACATACGTATCTGCGTCCCAGTCTTACGGTAGGTTTACTATAGACTTTTATTATCATATTGTTAATTTAATGATTTTAAGCTTATCATGATGACCGCATTTGTGCAGGAAACCATACAAACATGCAATTATACAGATGATGATTATAGCAAGACAATTAAGAACGTGGTCGAACTCTACGGTCTTGTAAGCTACTGAATCGTCCATATCTTTCAGTAGAAAACTGATTGCAGGCATATCAATGCAGTTTTGAAGAAAGGGCTTTTCGACATTTCCTTTCCAATGATAAATATCCTCAGAGCGGACACTATGTTGAAGAACGATACAAAGGCAATTTGTAAGTATCCGTTTGTTTACAAATAAGTATCAGGTTGGCTCGAAAGTTCTTGCGTAATACGAATAAGATTTAAATGGTAAACCTACTTTTCATGTACGACTCTCGGTGAATCTTGGCATGTTCAGAGCTCCCCTGTGTAAAATGTCTAAGCCTTCACCAATATTGGTATAACGTTTATTAGGCTAACGTTTCGGCCAAATCGCCTTCGTCAGAGCCTGTAATAAGTGAGTAACATATGAGATCTACTCGGAAAAAGACAAAAAGTTGTACGAAACGACACCTAGGTCGAACAGCTCACCTTAAACTTGAGGTCGAGACCACCCACCACCGAGTGACATGGGTGGTCTCGACCTCAAGTTTAAGGTGAGCTGTTCGACCTAGATGTCGTTTCGTACAATTTTTGTCTTTTTCCTGCAAGATGACAAGGCGTTTGGGCGAGTAGATCTCATATGTTACTCACTTATTACAGGCTCTGACGAAGGCGAGTTGGCCGGAACGTTAGCCTAATAAACGTTATACCTTCGATTCGTTGCGCACAAAGACTGCGGACTTATCGGCGCCTCTGTGATCAAGCGTTCTTTCGTTCCTCTTACCACCTGCTGTCTCTCCCACGCACCAGCTATTTTGGTCGTACGCAATGGCGCCCAGTCTTTGTGCGTTTTGAATCGACGATACCAATCTTGGTGAAGGCTTAGACATTTTACAAAGGAAACCTACTTTTATTGCTTCATGGAAGCAGTAGAAGGTTTGCGCTCCCTGAGGGATGTTTTTTCGTGAGCTAATCGAAGCTTTCGAAAATGGCGTTTCAAATTTTTGATTGAGTTTGGTCAGAAAATTTGCAGGGGGCGGCTAGCTAGCCCCAAATTTGTGAAAATTTATTGCATAGCAGCACGTTACTGTGGCAGGCATTCTCGCTTGGAAATGGAAAAGCAAGAAATTCTGAAAGCGATTTGCAGGGAAACACTTAGCATCTCATCTTCACACATAAACACAACTCAAACCAGACACAATATCACGTAATATTATCACTTATAACACTGTGACGTTTTTTTAGGCATGAAAGTGTTTGGGTGAAAGCAATGATAAGTGGAATTTCCTCTCAAAAAACATGAGTTTGATCTGCTTCCATGCGAGATGGAAACCTGGCGCAGCAACATACGGACCACTACTATGTAGAAATTTTTGGAGGTTTTGTGGGACGAGCTAACGGCCTCCGCAATTTCTTAGCACCAAGAACTGCAGAATTTGAAAAGCCATCTCAAAACTTCGTTTACTGGTAAATTATACAAAGTTATGCTCCAACACTTGCCATGGAATGAAGGTCGTTTAATATCTTTAGGAAATTGTTGTATTCATCTGCAAGCGTCAAAAAATTTAGTTGATATTACGTTAAAGAACTTTCCTTTCACCCTAAAGTTCGGCCTACCTGTCTGTAATGCAGCATCTCAGAAAACATTATTATAGGACAACTGATGGTCTTGCGTCATCCTTTGCCGATACTCTCTTTGAATGGCTGGTCTTGTTCACAGTGGTGGGATATGAGGTGTGAGAAGTTATTTTATTTCATTGAGTTATTGTCATTTTTTCAGAAATCGACTGGCGGCTGTTATCTCTCCGAGGTGCTAAATGGATCAGATACATACGCTATTGCTTGCATACTTGCTTAAAAATTGGATTTATGCTCAAAATTACTTGCGCAATAAATGACGAGTGTTGTAATTGTCTCGCTGCATGCTGCCTATCAAAGAACTCATGTGAGTTAATAAGCAAAAACAATCTACTACAAATTGGACGTCATTTCGGAGACATGATGACGTTTAGGCTTCAGAAAAGCCGATATGGCCAAGACGGCAGTCATATAAACTCAGACAATTGCATCGGGAAGTTCGCGGGTGCTTGTCCGACCACCAATCATCCATGCCGCGAGCTGCCCGGTAATCCCATATATTAGACCCGATGGGTGACCGCGGCCCTGTAAGTGCCCGTTAGGCGCCTATAGTTGACAGGATTGCCATGCTTGTAAGACCTAAGAAGAGTGAAAAACTATTTGATCTGTCTGCAAACTGAGCAACTCGTTATCTAGCTCATGTGTCGACATCATCTAGTGTCGTCGATGACGGTCAGCTGACTGCTAGAGTTTATTTCATAATCATGAAAACTCGATTCTGTTAAACAGGACCAAATCTTAGGTGGTACACCTGGTGATACACCTACACTTACGGTAGCCCCAACGCTGCGGCGTACCTCACGCGGGTTGCGCCTTACCCTACAGCGTGTAAGAAATGCGGCCTTTAATAAGGCCCGCGGCCCGCCATGTGAGGTGATTGCGCCGCGACCTTCCCGATGATCTCTTCCCAATTTCAACTTTGGCCGCGGCGTTCCCGGTAAAATATACATGGGCCGCGGCGTGCGGAGCTGCAATTTCAAGGGCCGCGGCGCTGTAACACGCTTTGAGGCCGCGAACTTTCCGATGCAATTGTCTGAAAAGAACATAATGGTCCTGGTCTGCAGCTCATGCAGTTCCAAAAAGCAATTTTACAATGTGGAGTTCGACAGTTTTTGGATGATAATGTTTTCTTATCATAGAAAAACCAGAATACAGAAACTGCTGAATGGTTACCCGAAAAAAAAAAACGTGTAGTACATCACAGTTCTCTAAGAAAAGATTACAGTAAAAGAAAAGATTAGTTGAAATGGGGCATTGCTGAGAACGTCAACAGTCTTCCAGCAGCTCAACATTCAACAGGCATGTAATACGAGGAAGCTATAGGAACTCGCGAACCTCACGCCCAAAACTTGAGTTTGTCGAAAGGTTCGCGAGCTTCCCATCATGTCTTATGCCAGCGGGGTGAATTGCTACCAGCCCATATCCAAATTCTCTTCAAAGGAAGTATCGTATGTATACACCCACTTGAGTATGTCAATGTGTAAATAGGTTTTCACATTTTTCCTAATTTTTTCTATGGAAGCCGTAAAATCATCATTTTCATGCTCCAATGCGATCTTTTAGAGGCGGGCGGATTCTACTTTCAGGTTGCCGTAAATTGAGAATGATCAATAACGAATGACATATGAAATCTTATGGAGCCAACTGGTGCACTATTCATTTCAACACTCGCCTTGTGTAAATGCACCGCTTTACAAGGGAATGCTCAGAAGTCGAAGGCCAATCCAAGAAGCAAGCTGCCTACCATTCGATGCAGCATTCAACGCTGATTTCGAATCTGTATATCTGCTTATCGTCTTTGTGGACGAAGTTATGAGCAGTTTTATTGTAACGAATTCGTGCATAGACATTGTGAAGTAGCACATTTTTGCACTTTCGGCTCACCTTCAGGCTTTAAAAATATAGTTGTTTAGCTGCAAGTTTTGGGGATGCGTGTAGCCGACATGGCCCTGGACTCCCAAATTTGCGCCTTGCATGCACGATTTGCAGCAAAATAACGGCCTTTAGCGGCTCATAACTTCGTCCACATAAGGGCGATAAGCAGATATGGAATAAGATTCGAGTCAGCGTTCTATGCTGTATCCAGTGGTATGCAGCTTGTTTGCATTGGCCACTTCGATTCCTGACCTTTAGCAGAAGAGTAGCCCCCGCTAGACACCACATCGTCAAATTTGAATTTAAGAGCACACGGCTGCGGTAGAGCGCACCATCGTCACCACTCAGTTCAAGCTCTCATGTTTTTTTCTATCTTTTCGTTGTTTATGCTTTTTTGTGTTTCGTCGGTGTTTTTAGTCAGAAGCTACAATTTTCTTGCCTGAGTGATGTTTCCTATTGGTATTACTTGCTGTGTTCGTTCCTTCGCCTATGCTTGCCTGAACGATGCTGACAAGGATTTTGTGACATAAAATTTACTAAACTAACACTTCAATATAAGTTACCTATCAAACAAAATCTTAAGAGCAAACATTTCCTGTATTCATCGTCTCACAAGCCTACCTTTCATCAGAACTGAAGTTGTGTGAACATTGCTCAGCAAAGCGCAAGTTCTGATCACGAGCATTATCTGATATATAAAGAATCGTAAGGTACATTCAAAAATCATCAGATAGCGGGAAACCGAGAGGGTCCTGAAGCGAGCGCGTCAACTAACACCTTTGAGATAACTGGTTCCCTAGTCTATCTAATATATAAAAGTAGTAACGCCAATTCAAAAAACATCAAATAACCGCGGTGCGGTCCCGAAGCACGCGAATGCAATCTAGCACCTTTAAATACTGGTTCACTAGTTTAAACACAAAAAAGCATGCAACCTAAGGCTCCCGCCAGAGTGCCGAAGTTATGCCAGCGCTACGCCAGCATTTCGATCGATACATGTGTATTTCGTTGGGGACGTCAGCTAGCCCCGCCCAACGAAATACACGTGTATCGATCGAAATGCTGGCGTAGCGCTGGCATAACTTCGGCACTCTGGCGGGAGCCTAAGAAACAAACAAGAAAAAGCACACATGAATTTGAATCAGTGCTGGGAGTGCTGCGCTCTACCGCGCTGGTCCCTGGTGAAGGCAGTCGATCTGTTGTGCGAAGTGATTGCGAACGGATTGTCCGAGCATCTTTCATTGGATTAACCTTAACACCGTCAATTGGAAAGTCAAGAAGCAGAAACGCTTTGTGTCTAGTTCCCTATCGTAAGTTTCAAGTCAGTTTAGGCGGAAAGTGGACTGGCGGGAATTCGCTTCGCAACGATTCGCGCCGCTCTGCAGTCTGCGTTTCTTCATTTGATCGCTGACTCAGCGACGCTGAGCCAGTGGCGGCGCGGACACCCTGGTCCACTTGGAATGGTTCGCCTACTCCGGGAAAAAGACTGCACAATAGGGTTCCCACAGTCTTCTGCTATTTTTTCATGCTTGGAAACTGCTTTCATAATGAATCCCACCTCAGAGGTCCTCTTTGGTGCAATTTGCAAAAGCAGTGCGATTACACAACAGGACTGTGGAGTGTATGCCTTAAAAGCATTGGCAAAATTATACTTTATGTGACTACAAGCCAAGAGAATTTTTCTGTAAGTAAGCCGGGTAAATGATACAACTGAGATCACATTCAGCTAGACAACAAAGGAAAAGTACTAGTTCTCTTATCTTCAGATAATCCAAATCTTCTTTCTTCAGAAATCTTTCATACAACTCAAGGCCTGATCAAATCGAATTAACTCCTGCAACCTTTGCTGAGGCTCTTGATCTTAATTAAAACTTCAACAAACTCTACAAAAATAGAGCTGTTATGGCTGATCTTTGAAACATCGAATAACACCATCTAGCACTTCCTGCCAGTCTTCAGGTTTACTTCCCCCCACAACTAGTTGGCTGAGAAACGTCGACGTCATCATGGTTCCGTCAGTTCGGTAGTATTTGACGGTCGCTGCTTTGCTCAGCTCGTCTGCTCGCATCGACCAGTCGCGGGCAGTGTCAAGCCATTTCCATAAAGAATCTTAAAACTAATGTTGGGGGAGAGAATACGATGTGAAAGTTTTGTAACCCACCAATTTCATATGCGTAGTTTGTCCGATTTAGGTATCTTGACTCCTTGCCTGTGAGAATCTCCAACACAGGTTGCAGGAAAGGAATTACTGTCGCATGGTTGTACCTCTCAAGGTTTTCACCTCCCTTTAGTGATTTTCCGAGGTTCTGTAGAACCTCATATTCATCCCTTGTCGGAGGATCAAGCGCTGCCCACAGCCAAGATAGCTCACAGAGCTGAATAACGTCTATTCTGCTCAATTCTAATTTTCAAAGTCGACTTACGAATGGTTCACTGAGGGTATCAGCTATGCATGCACATGCGAAGGCGTCTCCGTGTCGAGCCATCGAGACACCTGCGAAAATCCATTTTCTCAAAATTAACGAAGCATCTCTACGCGCTCCAGAAATTATGGAAAGCAAGCAGGCATAGTGGAGCATGCACAGTCTGGAAGCAACTTTTTATCTGGGACTTTGTGCTCGTCAGCTCAAGACGGAAAATGCATACCTTTTCAGTAGTTCCTGTCTCAGTACTGCACCGCTTGGAAGTAGTACCTGTCGTAACCCATTGTCCGCCCTCTTGTCGTCACCCTACAATAGTACTCTAGGACGTGTCTGCTAGAATAGGGCTTAGCAGAGGTGGCTCTTCCATCAATGGATGTCGTTTTGAGGGAAAAGCAAAAAGGAACCGTAAAGTTTCAGTCGGAAACTTGGGAAATGTTGGAAAGCACAACTCTAACTCTTAGCAAGCCCAAATTTGAAGGTCTAACGTGATTTTACCAGTTAAAGTGAACTACACGTTACAAACACTACTAGTGCACAAACCTGTGTGCACACGATTTCAACGTGTCAAAACACAGTTCTCTCGCACAAAAATAAACAGTTGGCTTGTTCACAACGAGTAAGCGACATTGAGCCACCAAATTTGGTGTATACATCTGCGGAAGAAGTAAAGGCTACTGCATGACGAAGGCGCAGAAACAGTATTATTGAGCGGACGCGAACCCGGCGCGCGCGTATCTTCAGCGTAGTAAATCCTGCGCCTCATTTGTCCTGCGGCTAATGAATCCGCGTTCGCGCCCGAAGAAAGTGCACCATCGTCGTGCAGCAGCCTATAATTTACGAAAAAAATCCGTGAACGAGATTTTAGGTAGCTCCCACGCAACATGGGAACACCCTGAGGTTGCGCGGGATCAGGCAAAGTCATGTCATGATTTTTGCAATTCCCCGCCTTCCTCACATGAATTTCCAATTTTTTTCTTATAAATCTATTCTTTACATCAACCTAAGCTTTGTACGGCTCTTGATGATATAAAAACAGCCTTTTGTGTATTTCCCTTTTTAATCCTTGATTTATTCTTGGCTTTTCTTCACTTCATTCCACTTTTTTTCTTGCAGATTATTAAAAGAGCTTCTACAAAAGCTACAAAGGATATCTCGTATTTTTCTGCAATGTTAAGGGGAACTTCGTTTTTAAGTTCCTCATATACCACCTCGTGCTGGGTCCTGTGCTATAACATCAGAGCTTACCTCAGGTGGCCTCAAAAGTAGCAGTAATCTAGCATGCTCGTGCGACGTTGCTAGCGCTATCTCATCCGCACTTTTAGTAAGCAGAAATTGTTTAAGTCGCATCATCTGCACTTGTGACAGAAAGGAATGATGTTTTTCTGGAGGAGAAGGGGAGCTGTAAATAATATTTGAACAATGTGGAATTAAAATTAGAATTTTAAGGAGGCTGAAATTACCCGTAAATCCCTGAGTCTCGAGAATCTCTGGCATTACTCTCAATGCTGTCATCACTTGATGCGCTCAAACGATTTTGATCAGAGTCTCGATTTCGAAATTTCGAGGATAACAACTGAAAAGAGTATGAGCTTTTAGCACTACTTCTGCAATTTTTTTACCTCGTCGTATTGATAATCTTCTTGCTTTGTGCGCGGCTCGTCATAATCATCGTTATTTGTTTCCGTAAGCTGGCAAGGGGCAGTGGTTTTTTCAACGGCCGCGACCTATCATGATCGTGAAAGATTGTTTGAGCTTGGAAAAAACCTCCACAAATCTCACATTGAGATTAGGCCGAGGAGGTAAGGGTGGTCGAGTAGGGATGGGCGAGGGAATCTTCATTGAAGGGGACTGCGACCTATAACTGAGGTTGTGGCAGGACTGAAACTGTCTGCACATTCCTGAACATATCATTTCTCATAGTATTAGCGTAAGAGATAGAAGGCGTTTACCAGGTAGTGAAGCTGTGCTTGAGCTGCGGACCTTTTCGTCGAATGTTGATGACGCATCCAAAATTCCATCCATCGCATCATAGTCCATTTCCGAATACTAGGATGGCATTAGAGAATGTCCATTGAACAAGGAGTTAGGTACTCACATCTTCTTCGACTTCTTGAGTATTTCGTGGAGACCGTATAGGCAGTGGAAGTGGACGATTCCTTAAAGCTGCCGGCACTGGTGGTACCAAAATGGTGTCCGGCGCTGTGCTAAACAGAGTACTTACTATTATGAATGTTATAGCTGAAACGGAATCAGACCTCGTATGATCATGGCCGATAGTGGACCGTGGACGCTGCTGTCGAAGTGCCGTCTGATTTAGTAAGACACGCCGTGAAAGCGATCGTGGCGTGACTAAACATCCGGTTACTTGCATGGCTGTGCTGCTACACTTCTGAGTGCTTACCGTGACCCGCATGTGGCGCAAGCACATGCATGTAGCTAGCTTCAAGTTCTGATCCATCACAGGTAGCCGCTTCACGAGTGCGGTCTACAGGTGTGGAGATGATGCATCCGGATGCTGCTGTCACTGGGCGGCGATGACTTCGATAAAAGTTGATCAGGGCAGCTACAGAGGCAAACGATTCTTCTTCTAGCTAAAGTGACATATGAGACCTGTTCTATGTAAGGACTACGAGAGACGGTCAAGAGCGCGATCTTTCCATAGGTCACCAGTTTAACAGCCCAACTTTGAGCTACTCAAGTCTTTCAAGAATATCAAACAAATCTAGCTCCCTAATTATCTGAAGCCACTTGTCAAACTTGACGGCTTTTGGTAAAAATTTGTCTGAGATATTTAAGAAAACACCATTGACTGCATTTTCACGGGTTTTTGACCCAATACCTATGTTTTGAATCTATTTTGAAGTGATAAGTCGAGCAATCCATGGGACGTTACACGTATCTCGCTAGATATTCTATTTACCCTAGAACATCATAAATTATTAAAAATGCGCTGAAATATGTCAATTTGGCGATAGAAATCGCGTTTTAACACTTTTCGGACCGGTGCTGCACTTGGTGCAGCACGCTGCTTCGAAGGATCTTTCTGACGTTTACAGGAGGGTTTCTTTTAGTCCAAAGTTGTTAAGTCAAAGGTCTGAGCTCCTACTTCTCAAATGACTCTGTAGAGCTGTGCCGCTCATATTTGTTTAGGAGATATGAGCACAAATCGAACAACAGTTGCAACGAAGTGCGGCAACGCGAACGACGCGTGCGAAGTCGCAGCTTCTCTTTACTTCAGTATCAAAGAGAAAAACGTAGTTTTAATACTGATGTGTACAGTGTACAACATAGATACTTTTGGATACTATTAGGAAGTGAGTCCTTGTTCCTATCTTTCAGGAAAGCGCAGAAGTCCTTCTCAAGTGGCAAAATTCAAACGCTTCGAATTCACTCAGAACTTTGGGTATGGAGCTTACATGACATGCTGATTACAGATGCAACCCACAGGCTGCGAAATAAGTTCCCCTTGTAGGCTAACGGCTGAAAGTACACTGTTTTTCGCCGCGCGCGATTTCGCGGTCCGAAACGTGTTAACATATACTTAACGATCTAGGCAGAACATTGTAGTTTCTTCGAAAATGATATCCTCTGAGAAAAAACGTAACGAAATTAGATTTATAGGAAAAAGTAGGCCGCGTTTACAGCGTGTCATTTTCTTCGGAAGGGGGAAGAAGGCGCGACAGAAACATCTTTCGAATGGGATGTGATGTTAGCCATGTGCTCCGAAAACATTTTTGGGGAGCTTTTGAAGTTTCTTGCAATCTTATAATCTTGGTAATTTGCGAATAAATTTGGTTTGTTTTTTGTTATTTACAATAACAACAAGTCACTCGCACAACTAGCGTTTCTCATTTTTAAGTGGGAGGGCCCCGCTCTCCGTTGCTCCGCATTTCGCCGCTAGAATTTTCCTAATTACCACTATTAATTTAAACATAATTGTGTATGGTTCATTTATTAAATCGTGACGATGGCAGGAGCATAGCTCATACAAGAAGGCATCACCTCAACGTTCAGCTCATTCACTTCTGGTGTATAAATATCACCATACGTAAGCAAAGAAACCATTCAACCAGAGATGAAAACTAAGAAAATGCGATTTCCGGAAGTGGCGTGCGTGTCGCGCGTGGTCGCGCCATCGTCAGCCTGTTTTTTCGAAGCCCTGTAGGTTTGTTGCATTGTTTAAAGGCAGTGTTCAGGCGAAATCTATTCTACCCAGTTAGCACCTAGCCTAAAAGCATGCCTTAGGAGAAAGGCATCTGCGTTGGTCCGATCCTCCAGCGTGGCCTCCGAGTGGAGACAATGTACGTGAAATCCGCAAAAGATTTCTTAGGCCACGCCCACCCCGTCAAGCTCCGCCTAAGGCTGGGTTCATACTGATTCCCATGTTCCGGAACTGTTCCCGCACAGTTATCGCATTGTGCTGGAACTGTTTCGGAACTGTGCTGCGTGCGCTGCAACCGCTCGCACGCGTTTTGAACGGTGGGAGTTGGAGAATTTTGACCGTATTCAACGGTTTTCTTCCAGATTCCTCTCAATTTGGGCCTATTCATCTACCCCGCTTCTCCTAGTGATGACAAAAGGTGTGAACTTGAAGCGGGGTTAAAGAATGAACGTTGTTCTTCTCTACTTATCCGGAACATGCACATGAAAGAGAACAGCGTTCTCTCTTCAATGCCGCTTCAAGTTCGCAGCTTTTCTCATCACTAGCGAGAAGAGAACGGAGAAGCAGCGATATGGAAAAAGGAAAGGGCCGCGAATGCCTAAAAACGATCATCAGAAAACAAACACAAAGTTTCCATTTCCGCATTTTGGAACGTTCGCATGTCCCGATTCGAGAACCTGCGGAAACTACGCAGCGGCTACCTGAAACAAAGGGAATAGGTTTTAGCAAAAGGAAAACGAAGCGAGAATGGACAAGCGAAAGAACAAACATTGTCGGATACGCAGAGCAGAAAAGCGCTCATTCTTCGACACCGCTTCAAGTTCGAAGTTTTGTTGAACAAAAAGGGAAGCGGGGTGAGGAATAAGGCCAAAATGAGAGAAATCTGGAAGAAAAACCATTGGAAACGGTCAAAATTCTCCAACTCCCGCCGTTCAAAACGCGTGCGGGGCAGTTACAGCCCATGCGCAGTTCCGGAACAGTTCCAGCAGAGTCGGGAACTGTGCGGGAACAGTTCCAGAACATGAGAATCAGTATAAATCCAGCTTAACCAAAGAGAAAGTCGCCCACGCCTTCGAAACAGTTTCTCGGAAATCGGGTTTTTGGTTCTTCGCACATTTTCACATAAGTGTAATCAGGGGCAGAGAAAGGCCCCATAATGACAAAAATATGGAAACGTAATTTTTGAGTGGATCCTGCCTTTGAATAGCTTCCCAGACTGTTGCCGTCCTCGCCTGACATTAGTCACGTGTAGGTTTTCATAGCAGCTACCCTACAATTAACCGACATGCAGCAAATGACGTACACCATTTTGTAACAGATGGTAAAAGACAGATTTGGTTCGCTTACTCAACTGACGTCTTGGTCAAGAAATAAAATAGGCGCTTTCTCACATCGGAAAACTCAAATCGCAATGAGAAATGAATCATTGGGATGATGTAGTCGACCTGGCACGCAAAGATGCCCTTTGTTTGTTTGCTTGATGACCGCTGGATATTCCACATATAATTCTTGGAAAGGCTTGACTTACATGGAAGTGTTTCTTTCCATTTTCGCAGACTGTGTTGATTTGAAAATGAAGAGGACGTCCGTTCCACATGGCTGTTAGTACATACTCCCCTGGCATGGAGATTGAGTCACGAACCTGAACCATTCCTTATTCAATAATTTTTCTACTTTTTTCGAAGTCAGCCTTTATGAGTGCCTGCTTGGGAACCTTCTAATAAGTACAGAGAAGCGCTTTTGCTTTGGGTCTATCAGAAAAATATTTGCACTGAGGTTTCTAACAAGGAAAAGATATTTGGTCGAAGTGGCGTTTACATACAAGACATAACTTCTTCCAGAGTATGGAACGTTGATCAAAAAACCTGCTTTCGATATCTTTCGATATAGCGCTTCTGGGAGGAGAGTTATGGAAATTTTTGGTGAAAAAATTCGAATGCTGCAATGACATTCAGAACTTCACCGTGAGCTCAAATGGGACCATGATTACTACCAGGGCGTTTTGTGCAATCTAATACATTCAATCTAATCTAATAAACTCATGTGAGTCACCACTCCTTTCAAGCGTTGAGAAGACCATAACTGCGTACACCTCAGCCAAACCCTCAAATTTTTGCCTCAAAAAAAAAACTCCCATAACTCTTCTACTGAAAGCGCTTTGCAGATAAAGAAAGCAGATTTGAAAGCTTTCATGCTCCAATAAATAGTTTACGTTTCATAAGAAAACGTCACTTCGACCAAATACCTTTCCCTCGTAAGTACAGTACTTTGCATAAAGGGACCAAAAAAATGCCCATTCACAAAAAACCCTGTCTATGGTCACTTTTGTACGTAAATTAGCAGTGTTCGATGGGGTGGAGGACTATATGTCGCTGAAAGGAGGTGATGCTAAGCGGACATCTGCGACAAAGCACGCAGCTCCCCACGTTACAGGTATTACAGAAATGTACCAGCTGTCTACCCTATCGGCGACATATCGACCCGTGTGGATAAAGTGTACCCAAGAATCAACACATATGCATCTGTGTAATGAGTGTCGACACAGCTGCTATGCTTGTACTCGTATCTGTTCATCCCTAGTGCCCAGATACTCCAAAAATTGGCTATCCATCTGTCAAAAATTGGAGATCGTAAAATTCCAAAGGCTTACCAAAAAATCGCCATTATCGGTGAGCATCTTCTCGGAATTTATGCGGGTGACCAGACCGCAGTACCATGGCTGGCTTTCTATGTTGAAACTAGTGGTTGGGCCGTCGTAATCCGGCATCGTTGCAGAGGTGGCTGACATGTAAAAGGATGAGACGAAGCTACGAGTTGTAGAGAATACAAAAAAGTTCGAACACCAAAGAGCGCTTCAGTGCAACATTCCATTTCATTACATTTTAATTCTTGCATAGGATGGCTTTAGGATACCCGCAAAAAGAACAACAAAAATAAAAACAAACGAAACAAGAGTACAAAAAAATGCAGGCTCATGTGACAGCTCATAAAATCCGTGTTAGTAACAGCGTTTAATATTTTCCAGGATTTCCGTTTGGTGGGGCTTGACAGTTTTTTATTCGAATGAAGGTGCGTGGTGTCAGCGACGCACTTCGAGAATTTTTCTGGGATGCTTCCCAAAATTTTTGCGGGCTCATAACCGCGAAAAAAGAAGGAGGGTGCGGTGCCCCCCCCCCGCTTCTTGGTTCGGCGCCACTGATTGGAAGCACTCTGAATAGAGACCGTGGCCATTTATAATTCGTCATCATCCGCGCAGGGATTTGCAATAAAAACATCGTTCGTACTGCGATGCAGCCATTCGCATGAATTATGCGTGGCTGGGGACGATGTAATCATTGAGATGGACCCTCAAATACCAGCACTCAGACAATTACGCAAATTTCTGGAAAGCTGTACGAATCGAACGGAAAACTCAAAAAATGTTCTGTAACATAGACGAAGACGCGGTTATCAACTTGAAATAAAAATAAAAATAAAATGCAACTGTATGAAACGGCTTCCACATTTGCATCTTAGTGACGTTATACAGCGTGTTCCAAAAGTAAGCACCCATATTTGAACGTCGAGAACTCTCTTCCCCATATTTTGCATAACTTCAAGTAACCCTCAGTGGAGAAAGCTTCAATTTAGAATTACAGTATGGAGCAAATCACGGTCTCCATTAGTGTAGGATTACGGTGAGAATTAAAAGCTTAATGGCCACATTTTACATCAGAATGGATACTAACAAGTCGAAAACTTTACCACTGAGTTAAACTGAGCCGCTGATCAAGAATATAAAATCTGCGGTCACCGTAAGGCTAAGTTATGCCAGAATAAACCGCAGGAGGTTTTTCCAGATATCTCAAAAATGCGAATTAAACGATTCGAAACGCTCAAAAACTCAAAAAAATGGTAGGGTGACAAAATCAGCATGTAACCTTTTTCAAAGGATTGTATTTCACAATGACGTTGTATGCTGGAATTTCTGCCCTAATCCTACAGTTGATAAAGAGGGTAGGTGATTCTTTATTATGAATCTAACTGTAAGTTGAAGACTGCTCTAATGGATGGCACTTGGAGCTAAGCGCAAGACTTCATGGGAAGAGAGTTATTAACCATCAAAAAGTGTGTACTTACAGGATGTTTGAAAGGTACCTGGCCTAAAGTAATTCCAATTCAGGTTCTGACGCTCTTTTTTATTTTATTGTGCTCATCAAATCTAGAAACCATCAATTCAATTCATTTCTTATAGGGCTGTTAGGAAACACAATCTATAAACTATTCAAGTCTCTTTCTTGAATTGCTTGTTACAAAGAAGTAAACATATTTCAAAGAAAAGTTCGTGCACCTGAAGCCCTTTCTTTCTGAATCCTATGTGTACTTATATTTTGTAGAAATGAGCTCTTTTGAAATACCATACCAAGATTTTAAAATTTTCTAGTCAAAAAATCCGGCTTCAAAGCTCTTTTATACTTCATCTTCAACAATGTTACAAACGTGCAAAATTTTTGAAACGAACGCAGTAAAAGTTGGAAGTAATGCTATGATTACACATTGAAGTAAGACTTCCAAAAAATTCCGAACAAAGGAAATTTCAACGCAAACTTGCACGATTGTTTGCTGTAATTTAGCGCATGAAAAAAATCTTTGTTTGCAAGCAAAAAAAAGCGAAGAACTGTACTCGTTTTCCGGATTAAAAAAAAGAAGAACAAATCAAATAACGCACTTTTCCGCCTCTTTAAGGAAGCTGAAATTGGTTACTCCCAGATTTTTTAGAGTATCCTACAGCAAAAAAAAAATTTTCTTTCTTGATTCAGTGCTTTCTAGGTTTAGCTAACACATAACAAGAATCGAGTTAGAACTCGCAGCTGAAGTACTTGAGGCCACAAACACATCGAACACCCTATACTTTTGGACACACACTATATAACGGCAAAGTGAGAGATGCATCAGAAAATAATGTAATTGATAGCACTAATTTCTGAATCAGAAATGTCAAATGGTAGAATCATTAAGCGCGAAACAAGGGGAGGAAATGAGTAAAAACAGCAAATGAAGAAAGTTTTGGAGCTTCTCCGAACCTACTATGAGCGCCACAAGGCATTAGCTACCAAATATGGTGGCAAGTCTTGGATTGTAGTATTAGGTTTTCTAAAAATAATTTTATTACTGCTACAGACAGATTTTTGTCCAGTGTTTGATACTTCCGAAAGGAGCGCCTTAATGAGAATTGGAATATAAATGTTGTTTGAATAGAATTTATGTCCCTATGGAAAAAAGGCACAAAGGTGTGAGAAATCTCAATTTTCTCATTATGCCATAAGAGCTCGAGACGAAGCTTAGAAAGTAAAAAATTAAGCTTCTGAAAATTTGGCTATATTGGGGCATAACTGTCCTTTAGTGACAGTGGAAATACCGAATGGTTCATATATGTTAGCAGAGGCTCTGAGCTACCCTTCCTTAAGAAATCATGGATGAAAAACAACAAGAAATATTTATGGAGATTTACATGAAGAAACAAAATTATCTTTTAGCCGTCTCAATAGAAGAGAATGAATTTCTAGCCGTGTGAAGTCTACTTTGTTACTAAATCTAGACAGAAATATGCGCAACGAAGCCGTTATAGGTGCAATGTCTACGTTTTTCCTATGACTAACAAGCGATGACAACGCTGACTCATCTTGCCTTTGTCATTACGAATTGGCTAGCAGACTATGTGCAAGCGAAATTTGGCGAATTCTGCAGTTTGCGAGAAGTCAGAGATACCATTCTTCTCATAGAGAAATAGGAGTGTATTAGAGTCGCTGATTTCCTGTACCGAAATACGTCACGAAACGTCAGCGATGAAACAAGAAACGATTAATCAGGCAGTTGGTACCCAGATTTAGGGCCAACTAGGGTTAAAAAGGTTTGGCGCGGCTGACATCGGCGTAATTAATCTATTAGTCAGACAAATTGCAGCTACTGCGAGAGCTAACGATTGTCGCCAAAGCCTGATTACGGGTTTCGAAGATGGACGTCGTTGCAATATCTTGTTGACACAGTAGCCGCCCTTATACGGCAATCGGAAGGTTTGTGTTTGCACATTTTCCCTTCGTTTGCGAAGGGGTCGCTAATACAGCTTCGAAATATACTAGGTTTAAAAGAAAAGAACGTCGTTTTTCATAACAAAGCTAAAAGACGAATTCAAAAAAATTGTATGAGGTGTGCCATACGATAGGGCAAAGGAAGTGCTACGAGATGAATCTTGGCGGAAGTCGTGGTTTGCGCAAAGTTCGAAGCCAAAACATACGGCAACTCATGATGCCAAAAGATGGGTTTTTGACCCAATAAATCCAACCAACCTCTCACGTTCTCCTTCATGTACGTGCTTGCTATATTTATTTCCTGCTTAGAAAGTAAGAAAAAATGAATAACGAAAAAGACCCTGGGCTCCATCCATATATGATTTTGTATACTACAAGCCTTCGAAAATCACGCCATAAAATTTGGGCTTCGGACATGCCCTAGCTACTGAGAACTATCAATTTTAGCTGAAAAAAAGCCCAAAAAGCGACAATCTTTTCTCTTCAACATAATAAAATAGAACATTGCCAAGTGGACAGCTGTTAGTAACTTGAAAAATAGTTATGGTTTGCCCAAAGCATCCTCTAGTATACAGAGAAGTTCAAATTTGTAGTTAAGCAGCTCAAAGGTGTCGGAGGCCGGGAAGGCTCCAAGCATTGTTTGATGTCTCATCAGTGTAAACCTCTTATCAGGCATAAATATTTGAACACAGCCGACGGCGGAAACGATTACGCTTGACCCGTCCCAACATATGTTAATAGTATTAGCTACAACATCGCAACACGTTGCTTATTGCTGGTAAGGGTAACCGCCTACAGTCCCTCGCGACAACTGCTCGCCAGGTTGATGTTCAAAAGCACCGCCCACCCAAAGTGAGGGTAATGAGATTTTGATGCCATATAATGGAGGTAATTCTGACTAAGCCATTGCCCAAGTCTCGCTGCAAAAAAAGAACTCCGAAGCTAGAAAACCGCTCCAGAAAGTTGGAGCTCCACGTTGGCTCCACCCATCAACATGGGTGGTCTGAGCATAAGAAGCCCAATGTCGGGCTTTATCCAGAGTTGGTATAAAATCCACCCCTTATTATGGATATAAGATTTTCGACAGTTTTACCTACCCTGAAGCCCGATTTTGGACCTTTATCTTCCGTCACACGTTGACGGAAAGAGCAAAAATGGGGCTTCTAGCTTCTGAAGCGGTATTCTCACCTCGGAATTCATCTTTTGCAGCGAGATTTGGGCTATGCGTTAGTTAGGAATTCCCATTATTTGAGATCAAAGTCTCATTACCCTCGATTTGGGTGGAGGTGCCTTCAGGGCACGGATCCAGCAGAAATTTGCAAGCGGGATACGGCCGTCAATTACTTCAAAAGTTGTTTTGTGCGCACCTCTTCTGAATGAAGCAGTTTAGCAGGCCCCACTACCTTCGTGAAGAAACATGCATAAGAATGACGAAAAAGTAGTGTGGAAGCGATAGCACGGAGTAGAAGAAGATGCAGAAGTTTTCGAACTTCTTGATAGTGAAAGTTAAAAAGTAATGGAATTACAGACAACCACTGAATGAGGGCAGTGTACAAGAGGTCGCTAATAGGCTCAACTCCGCGAACTGCTACGACGAGCTGTTATGGACAGAAACGCGCAATTGTTGCAGATGTCCCCGCCAAATCTCCTCTTCCGGCTATGTAATGGCCTCTACCCATGAAATGTGAGGACGGCTGTATGTACCCAAAGCGACG